TGAAGATGGCGGAGCTCCTCGCCATCAAGAGGGAGCTGACGGTGATCAAGGTTCAGATCGACGGTTTGTTGGACTGTGTGGACAAGATGGACAGACAGAGGAAGGACAGCACAGGTGAGGACAGGCTGCTTACCTGAAGTGGACTCAGACTGAACCCAAAACCTTCAGCTCAGACCTCCATTTTGTTCTTGATGGAGAACCTTAAATCCAGACCCACCAGCTTCTTAGACCAGTTTTAGTGTTCACATTGAGATCGCTTCAGTCCAGACCGTCTGCACCGACACAGATTTAACGGTGTCGTCAATATCAGTCGTCAAAATCGTCAATTCACGATAGCTGAAGAGCAAAAGTGTCACGAATATGATCGTTAAAACTTTTAGGAATTTTTTTCAGTAAATATAGGGTCACAGACATAATACTAGACACCAAACATCTTTTTAACTTTGACTCATTTCTTTAGCAAAGAGACTAAACACAACTCACCTACTCTCTTCCAGCAGACGCTTGTTCATACGGAGTTTCGCAGCTCAAGGAAGAACATTTATGATCATTTCTTTATCATTTCCTTGTAGTAATAATCATCATATTAATCATTTTACAGACGCTGTAGTCCTTCTGTCTTAGCGTCTCGGTCTGATTGTATTTCCATGAAGAAATGATCATAAATGTTCTTCCTTGAGCTGCGAAACTCCGTATGAACAAGCGTCTGCTGGAAGAGAGTAGGTGAGTTGTGTTTCGTCTCTTTGCTAAAGAAATGAGTCAAAGTTAAAAAGATGTTTGGTGTCTAGTACTATGTCTGTGACCCTATATGTCCTGTTGATGAAGTTAGGTGCTGTTCTGAGCATTATTTGTGGATATAGAGTGGCGTTTTGGTTGGGGGCGTGGCTCTCTGTATTTCTATCCTGCGGTCGTTACTAAAGTTGGTATAACTAGAGAAGCAAGCGGTCGACAACATTCATCTCTGGAGGGGGGGTCTAACTCGGTGTGTTTGACCCTAAATTAATTTGACACCAGAATATCCCTTTAAAGTGAGGGATCTGTTTCTGTCCTTAGATGTTCTGAATCACAATCAGATCAAAAAAAACAAAAACCTGTAAAATAGGATCCAAGTTGGAAAACTGTGTAATTTCCCTTTAAGTGTTTCCATATTTTTATTCCACCTGAAAGTTTGACTGTCTCTGCAGGGAGGAGAGGAAGTTTTCTAACGTTGATACAGGAGAAAAAAAATGATCTGAAGAAGTAAAGACTGTCAGTGTGTCATTTTGGATAATTTCCTCATCTTTTTTTATCCTTATGAGGAAATAAAACCCAAACACACACACAGAGCTGGTCGTCAGGGACAAGATAACTCCTGAGCGCTGAAGGGGAGCTTATGAAAGGTTATGGGGCCGCTGTTTATCGCTGTTTACCTCCCTGTCATAATCCACGCTCTGCTGGAGGCAGTTTTGTCATTGAACCATTCCTCACAGATGCAGCCTGATAGCCGATCACATCAGAGGGTAAACAAACCGACTCTCTCTCTCTCTGCGCCGCAGCAGTCCTGAACGTTCGGCCCACAAATCAGCCGCGTAAAACCCTGATCAGATTTATGAATGAGGCGGGCGTGTTCTGGATCACGATCATGATCTGGACTGACCGCTGCTGAGTTTAGTCACATTTGTGCTGCAAAATAATCCTGATCACGCTTTTCTGCGCCGTCAGAGGGAGTGACGGGATCAACCAAGTGTGTTCACCTGGAGCCGAGCTTTTGTTTGTGTGGTTCTGATCCGTTTGTGGTCAGTAGGAGCTGATGGATCTAAAGATCTAAGAGCTATCTTTGAGGCTGCGGTGTTCTGACACAGCAGGTGTGTGTGTGTGTGTGTGTGTGTGTGTGTGTTTCAGAGTGTCCTCAGAGGGAGCAGAGTGTGCTGGACTCTCCTCACAGAGGTTCGGTCAGCAGTCTGGAGAGAGAAAGTCCAGAACCAGGAGAGGCCAGCGAGGACGAGCCGCTGCACTACCAGCACTACTACCCTCACAGCTCCCCCTACAGGGTAAATATATAACTGTAATACCTCACAGGTGTCCATATACTGGACCCCAGAAGGGTTCCACCTCTAATTTAAACCACCAGGGGCGTCACTTCTAATTCTGGGCTCCAAGAACTGATATCTGGTGTGGCCCACCACGGCAGCCAAGGCCCCCCCTGCACAACGATTATAACCAGAGCTGTGAAACAGTGGCGGCTGCAGGTCTTTCAAGGAGGGGAAGCTCATTTTTCTGGCCTACATCATAATTGTATTTGTTTATTTGTATGTAACAGAACAGAGTCGCCAAACACAACGGCAGTCGTTTTTAACAAAGACAAAAGTCGCTGAGGATCGGTAAAGTCTCTGGAGCAGTTAAGAACAACGGAATGAATAACTTGGAAAATGCTCTGGTAGATGTTTTATTCTTCAAGATCGCTGATTCGCTCGTTTAGCTGTCAATCAAAAAAGGATTTCGCCTCAGACAGCTCATCCAATCATGAATGCAGAAGCTTGGAGTCCGGGAGAAAGTCGGGACCGCCCTCTCGCCATAGAACTCCAGTGAAGCTGGGCTTCCATTGGGCGGGACAAAGCCCAGCATTTATCCAATGAGCGTCTAGTTTCGCTGCTGGAACAACCCACTTTGAGCTTCCACATTGAAGTCAGCAGAAGCCCAGCGTCCGACTGTTTAAAGCGCTGAGGCGCTGCGAGGATGAATGAGAACGAAGTTATGCCGGTTACCTGTGATTATCAGCTTCTTATCACAGTGTCTGAACAAAAGATGAAGGCTTTCTAGTGCGTATTTAGTTAATGAAATGTACACACAGCAGTACGTATTTCACCACTTTTTCTTTTTTTGGGGGGGTGACATTTTAAGGGAAGCCGAGCTTCCCTTGCAGTCTTAGAGCAATCGCCACTGCTGTGAAGGTGTCGGATTTCACCTGGAGATTACTGTGGCCATGAGATATCATGAAAACAACATCATGGGGATATTTGACTCTCTACTGCAGTTTGTATCATATTTGATCTTTTATATTTACTTCTATCAAATCAATATGATCAAAAAATTACTAAAAAAAACCCACCTGAATACAGTCCAATAAATGATAAAAATGTCCTCTTGTAGTTTATTAGTTTCCATAAACTTTTTGGGTTATTAGTAGTCAGTAAAAAAAACATTTTCTGGCCATAATTTATGGTTTCAGGCATCAAAGAGAATCTGAGAATGATGCGACACCGTCTGTTAAACTGAGGAAAAGAACGACAATAATGGAACGGTAAATTAAACTCCTGCTGCGGCGTTCCTCAGGGGTCGATTCTTAGTCCGTTATTGTTTTCTATATTCATGCTACTTCCTGGTTCAATCATTCTGAAACACTCTGTTGTGTGTTTTTCTGTATTTAACTGTATTTTGTTGTTGTCTTTAACGCACTTTGACCTCGTGTGTGCGTGTGTGTGTGTGTGTGTGTGTGTGTGTGTGTGTGTGTGTGTGAGGATTATCTTACCTGTGAAGTGAAGCACTTTGTAAACAGAATCTATTATAAATGTTCAAACTACTGTCACATACGAACTCCTCAATGATCTATGGACAAACTTCACTTCTTTTCCATCCTGATGCTTGATTTTAAGCTGATAATGTTATACTGCCACCTTGTGGACAGTCTGTTATGAACAGCAGCTGGATGAAAATCTACTTTGAGTCAGTCACTCATAAAAAGTCAGAAATAAGTCATTTAAAAAAGCTGTCAAAACTGGTGATGACTTCAAATGTCAAGAAGACTTAGAAATCACCACGCCGACGGATTTATCTTCAGTTTCAAGTCTAAATAACTTAAATTCACAGAAATCGAGGTTTGAAACTCCGTACAGCCATTAAATCTCCAGTAATTCTCTCTGTATAATTCATAATGATAAATGTCAGATCTTTAAAAACCTTCATGTAAGAAGCTGAACATCCACCTGCTCCTCTCTTACCTGTCCATATACCCTGACCTCTGTCATGTTCGTCCTCCTTCTACCACAGAGAAGAAAAAACACTAAAGCTCGCCTCATTGCTTCGCTCTGCACAGAGCGACACAAAGACCATTTGCATAATCTGCCTTGTACGATGCGTTTACTGTCGCCTCTCAGGTCTTTTATTTTTATTGAAGCAGATCAGCCGAGCGGGGAAACGGTGATTTCACTGTTTCTGTTTCTTTACAGGGAAACATAATGACAGAGAATTAGCCTGCAGGCCTCTACCTGACAGAGCGAGGCTGCCTCATTAATCTGAGCGAGGCGGAGGACAGACCGGCCCCTCATCTGTGTGTGTGTGTGTGTATGTGTGTGTGTGTGTGTGTGTGTCAGAAACAGTGTATTAGTGATAACTCAGTATCAGTAGGAACAGTAGATCTGTGGTTCCCCTGCAGGAATATTTGACTTTAAAGTCTCTTTGTCTTTGTAACACAGAATCAAAGCTACAGTGATGATGAAGATGATAGTGATGATGATGATGATGATAATGATAAAGACCATGATTATGATGATGAAGATGATGATAGTGATGATGATGATGGTGATGATTGTGATGATGAAGATGATGCTGGTAATGATGATGACAAGGAGAATAATGATGACAATAATGATGACCATGACGATGAAGATGATGAGGATTATGACAATGATGATGATAAAAAGGATGATGAAGATGATGGGGACAAAAATAATGATGATGAAAATAATGACACTGACGATGATGACTGTGGTGATGATGATGATGATGAGGATGATGTTGACGACAACAGAGATGTTGATGATGAATATGATGAAAATGACAATGATGACGATGATGATGAAGATGATGTTGGTAATGATAATGAGGAGGAGGAGGTTGATGATGACAATGATGATGATGACAATGAGGATGAAAACAAGGATGATGATGATGATGATGATTATAGTGATAATGATGATGATGACGATGAAGATAATGGTGATGAAAATGATACTGATGATGACGATGACCACAAGGATGATGATGATGATGATGATGATGATGATGATGATGATGATGATGATGATGATGATATTGACGATGATGATGATGACGTCAGGTAAAAGCTCCATCAGGACTAACTGTAGTGTCCTCTGTGTTTCCAGATAAAGCAGCATCAGTCTGACCTGGAGGACGACCTGTGATTCTGCGGACCAGGTCTGGTTCTCATGGAGGTTTTACACAAAGAAGACGGGTTCTGGTGGTTTCATGAGTTTTTAACCCTTTAGAGGACAGACTATCATGAAGCAGAAACTCACAGTTGTTGAAAGTTCAGCCTCTCTTGTGGTTGTGTTTATGTTTCCTCCTCTACTCTGACAAATCAGAGTACTGCAGGAACCCCATTGGCCGACAGAGCTGTCAATCATGATATCACGTTCCCTCTTTTGGGTGTCAGCTAATTCAAACTGAAATCAAAACTCATGTGTCAGTTTTCATGTCTTTGAGATGGTGACACTCTGGTCTGTTTTTCCAAACTCTTCCAGGATCAGACTCTTGGATCAGTTGCAGCAGGGATAGCAGACGCTTCTTGAGGGTTCACAACATGAGCTTCATCGGACGGACTCACCTCGCCCCCCCTGACTCTGTCCCTCATTGGACCAGTTTGACTTTTTAATTCTTTGACACAAACTCCTGCTCCTGGACTTCATCACAGACTCTGGTGCCTCATGTTTGCAGAAGAGAAAGGAAAGCTTAAGTTCTTCACTCTCATACGTCCGGCGTTGTGGTTATGATCAGTTTGAAGCTGCATTTTAATTCTTTATTTTTAGACGGCACTCTAAATGATCTTGGATTTTTCTAACACCTCCTTTGACGATCCTGTCAGGAGAAGGTGAAATAAATAGTGGTTTTTTTTCTGTTTGGCAGCTTTTTTCTCTCTTTTTTCTCTCTCTTCTGTTTCATTAAACGTTGCTCATCATCCCGTTAAATCCATCCGTCACCCTCTCTGTCTGCTTTATGTAAATAAAATCATGGTGGCAGCAGCTGGTCGCTCCTTATCACACACTTTATTCTCATCAGGCCTGTTGTCATTATGTGTACGCAGATGTGAACAGGCCCTTATTACTGTAGCGTGTTTAAGGCTGAGTGAACACGCTTATGACACTGTGGGTAAATTAGTCATCAGTTATTTATATTGACTTTGGTAATTTCCTCAAATACGTCTCATAAATTTGACCTTTTGTGGACATAAACAGAAAGGTTATATCTTTATTTAAAAATGATAATCATGCAGCTTAATTCACCAGCTTTGACCATCCTGAATAAACTAAAACACACGAATCAAACCGAACAGATTTTGTGTAAAGCTCCAGTCAGGAACTTGTGTCTATTTTGGCGCCCCCTAGTGGAAAAAGCAGTCTTTGCTTATCTTAATTTATAATTAAGTCAAATTTATAATTAATTTTGATATTTTTATGTGAGGATTTAAAATCAGTTCATCCGTCTGCTCCCTCGTAGCAGTTTAAGGTATTAAAAATGAAAACATGAAAATCATCCGTTTTGTCGATGTTTTTTATCCTTTTGCAGTTTTAATTTTTGGTCTATTTCAAAAATGTCAAAAAACATTTTAAGTAGTTCAGTCCATGCTCGCTAAAATGCGTCCACATTATGCGGCCTTCAGATGGAAGTGGCGAAGTCCTGAAGTCGTATCGTGATGTCGTAGAAACAAATAGGAAACGGCGTCATGGATGCCGAAAGATCAGAAATCGTCTTCTTAGTTTTCTCTTGAAACGCTTAAATTAAACGACTTTTTTAGAGGAAGAAAATACTGGATGATAAAGTTCCCGATCTTGACTGACTCTTGCTGTAGCGCCTCCTTTTGGTCCTTTACTCTCATTGACGTTAGCCAACTTCGACCCCGTCAGCTGCATAATAACGTGTTTTATTGACCTGAAACTGGCTCACACTGGAGAGGACATGTCAGGAGAGGACAAACTCGAAGCTTCTCAGAAAACTTATCGTTGACATGGTGAACTCGGACATGGTTCATTCGACTCCTTCAGAGACACAATCAGACACAACAATCATTTTCTCGCACAAACAGCTGGTTCAGTTCAGCTAGTTTAGTGTTTAGAAACAATCTGATTCTGAAAGATTCAATAAAAATTAACATTTTTTTAAAGTAACTTGAGAGGTGAATCTTTGTCCTGGATTTGAATGTCTGAACCCTTTAAAAGTGTAAAACACCGAGTGTTAAATTCATACTGTGTATTTTTTATTTTTATCGTCTGTAACTGTTTTTTTTTATCATTTGTTTCTTGTGTTTTTCTTGTTTTAAAAACAGAATATTTTGACCCTCAGAGTCGATGCTCTTCCACTTGCTTCTCTACGTCCTTTAAACCAACATGGATGTTTAATTTAACCTCTTTACTTCTCAGTTTTTTAATAAACGTCACCGAGAGCGAAGCCGCCAGACTTAACGAATGACTGCAACTGACTGTGAATATGTTAAAAGACTTCATGTAAAATAACTGTTGGCTTCAAAAGAAAGTATTTATGTGTATAAAAGAGGCTCTTTGTACTTCGACAGGAGTTCAAACTGTCAAAGAGAGACGATGAAATGTCGTGTCCAGAGCAGTTTTGGAAACATGAACTCGTAGTTTGATGTCGGTGTCGCCGTGTTTGTGAAAGTGTTTTTATTTTAGTGTGTATGTGAAGTAAAAGTCTTTTTTTCTAAAGTGGTGTGTTGGAGATTATTTCAAATACTAACGATGATCATCTTTATATCTATGAATTTGAGTTTTTAGTATTTAAACTCTCACTGGTGCTGGGAATTGAATTTCTGAGACTCTTTGAACATGTGGAAATTAAAGATAATAGTAACCGTGAAACTGTGATGAGCAACTATTCCACAATAAAAGAAGAAATCCGAGGACAGAATAAACACAGACCTGATGTGTCTGTTATCTTAATGAAATCAGAAAAAGCTTATCAGCGCCACAGTTTACAGGAACAGGATCAAACAGGATCACGTGTTGTTGACTCTCTCTCTCTCTCTCTCTCTCTCTTGTTTTAATGATTCATCTGAGCCAGGACAACCTTTGACACCACCTCTGTTTGCGGTGCATGCTGGGTAAGTGGCTGTGAGTGCAGTGATGGTACGGCTGGTCAGATAAGTTTTTGGGATCTGCCTGAACTCGCTGCAGGAGAGAGAGCGGTCCACTTTGAGGTAGGACTGAACTCTTCATTCCTGTTTCAGTCACGGGGATCACGACCCTGTCCAAGCTCTGATTATTGAGCTCACTGTGATATTTGATTGTTTTCTGCAGCTCAGAGTTTCTCACTGTTTGACCCTGTTTATCCCTGATTTTACAGAAAAGGTCACTTTAGATGTACTGAGAGTAAATATGTTCGTGTCAGCGGAAATGAAAAAGAAAAGATTCTCAGCTTTTGGGAAAAACAGTCTTAAAGGTCAAATGGCTGTAATCTGCCTTTCTAATAAACATGATTAGAGAAATTTGACAGAAATCGATCAAATTTTTGATTAATAATAATTAATAATAAAAAAAGGAGGAGGAGTTCAAGTATCTCAGGATCTTGTTCACAAGTGAGGGTAGGATGGAACAGGAGATCGACAGGCGGATCGGAGCGGCGTCAGCAGTGATGCGGACGCTTAACCGATCAGTGGTGGTGAAGAAAGAGCTGAGCCGTAAGGAGAGACTCTGGATTTACCGGTCGATCTACGTGCCGATCCTCACCTATGGTCATGAACTTTGGGTAATGACCGAAAGAACAAGATCGCAGATACAAGCGGCTGAAATGGGTTTCCTCCTCAGGGTGTCCGGGCTCAGCCTTAGAGATAGGGTAAGGAGCTCGGACACTCGGGAGGAGCTCAGAGGAGAACCGCTGCTCCTCCACGTCCAGAGGAGTCAGCTGAGGTGGCTCGGGCATCTGGTTAGGACGCCTTCCATAAGAGGTGTTCCAGACATGTCCCACCGGCAGGAGACCTTGTGGCCGGTCCAGGACCAGGTGGAGGGATTATATCTCTCGCCTGGCCTGGATGAAGAAAGAAATGAAGAAAACGACGACGACATCAGGAAAGATTTCCTGCTCCAAGACCAGCCTGAGACATTTTTGCCACAGTGTCAACAGGCAGAAGGGAACCGTGGTGGACTAATATTGCTGCTTTCAACTAACTTCGGAAGTCAGATGTCGGAGCTGAAAATGACGTCACACCCAAGTCCCCAGCATTTCAGTTACCAAGTCGGAAAAAAGAAAAATCAGAGGCCCGAAACAAGATGGCTACATGTATGAAAGTTATTTTAGTGCTTGCCTTATGTTCGGACAAGGCTAGTGATAACATAACTTTCGTAGATGTAGCCATTTTGTTTCTGCATCTGATTTTGCTTTTTTACAACTTAGTAACTGAAACGCTGGGAACTCGGGTGTGACGTCATTTTCATCTCCGATATCTGACTTCCGAAGTAAGTTGAAAGTAGCGTATGGCTTCTGATTGGACCTTCACGTGTCATCTGATTGCAGAAATGGCCCCTGATTGGTTAACTGTCCAAAACAAAGATAGCAGCCTTCATGCACAGTCAGCCAACAGAGAGACAGAAACATAAATCTCTTTTTTTATGATTACCGTCCTTTTTTTTAGATTTTCTAAAAACTCACACTTACCTTCTCATCTCGAGGATGTTCTGAGTTCAGGTTCTTTCCTGTGTTATTTTTGTTATTGAGAATTAAGCATCATTGGTCTGAGGTTTTAACCAATCACAGTCAAGTATTTCACAGTCAGGGTAAACAATAACCGAGCATCACACCGCTCATGGAGACCATGTCTTTACCTGTCGATCAGATCATGGCGGCAGCAGACTCCAGTCCTCTGACCACACACGCGCTGAACACCGGAGACGGCGTCCCTGCGGCCCGCCTGGCCCTCAGCCTGCACCGCCTCGACTCCACGCTGATGATCTGGAACATGCTGAGTGTCGGGTAAGAGTCAAACCTGCAGATCAAACATGTCCTGCACAAAATCTGCAAATAATGCTTTTAAAGTTTTGACCTTTTTCCTGTTTTTCAAGTTGGAGATAAATTATTCCAAGTTACAGACGTTTAAATTCATATTATTATTTTAATTAATGAGTCATAAAGCTGAAGTTATCAGAGCAGGAGCAGCAGTAAACATACAGACAGTCTTTCCAGGTGACTCACAGTCGATGGATGCCCTCTACATCGAGGTCATCGGACTACAGCTCCATTAAACCTCCATGTTTCTTCACTTTCAGGACTACAAATGAAGATGGCCGCTGTCCGGGACTCATTGGCCGGGGAGCGTTCAGCCCAGGAATGTATAAACTGCGCTTTGAGACGGGTTCATACTGGGAGAGTCTGGGTCAGACCTCATTTTACCCCTATGTGGAGGTGAGCGTCAGGCTGCAGTATCGACTGTGTGTCAGGTTAGATCAGGTTACTTTGATCTGGGCTGAAGTTTCATGTATTTGGACAAATATCCAACCTTATCATTTTCATCTTTTCAGTTCAGATAACCTGCTTTGAGTCGCTTACATTACATCATACTCTCAGAGCACATGAACTAAGTTTCATTTACAGAAAATATCAAATCATATAAAAACTTACAAAATAAGCTATTTTTCAAAATAAAAGACATGTCAAACATCAGATGGGCATTACATATTTACTTTTTTGACCAGCTGTTTGCGACCCATCCAGAACATGTCCATGACCCACTTTTGGGTCGGGACCCACCAGTTGAGAATCACTGGCATTAAGTGTTTTAACTGAAAAGTCAACGTTTCTCTCTGAAGAACAGTTGCTGAGTTGCTGAGTTGCTGAGTTGCTGAGCGGTGCTGCAGTGTTTACTCTTGTAGAGTTACAACAGCGACTTATAAAATCACTCTTGAAGTTACCATCTATGCCCACCAGGTGTCACTAAAACTGTCCATTTTTAAAACTCGTCTTAAAACCCATTTTTATTCATTGGCTGTCAACCCTCGGCTCCTGTTTTGGTGTTTTATGGTTTGTTTTTAGTTGTTTGTTTCTATGTTTTTAAATTAGTTTTTAAAAACATTTAAACTATATTTTACTTTTTAATATCTGCTTTTATTTTATCCATTGTTTTCATTGTTTTTTTAATAGTTTTTTATGATGATGCATGTACAGCACTTTGTTCAGCTGTGGTTGTTTTAAAGTGCTTTACAAATAAAAGTTGAGTTGAGTAAAAACCAAGAATCAGACAATCCTCGTGTCGTGTCCAACCAACGTGTTTTGGTTGGATATTTAAAACTCAAGGTCACAGGTGTTAAACAAAATATTTCAACACAACCCAAAAATGTAAAGCTAAGTTCATCTTATTGCTGCTGACTTGGCATGTCTCCGGTGTGTTTGTTTGTTTTCAGGTTGTGTTCACCGTCGCTGACCCTGATCAGAGAGTCCACCTCCCCCTGCTGATGAGTCGGTTCTCTTACAGCACGTACAGAGGGAGCTGAGACACAGAGACGAGAGGACGGGTCTGCTCAGTTTGGACTTGTCTGGTTATTTCCTCTTTGGGGCCATTTTGTGTCACATTTTATACATCTATGTTTATCTGTTGTTTTATATACAGATCTAATCATGATCTCTGGCTTCATTTTGTCCTTTTAGGAAATTATTTTAAGTTGAATAAAAAATAAAAACAACACTTAACTTATTTCTAATAATACTGCAAACAGAAGCATCTTTAAAATACAACTTAAAATATGTCTCTCTCAGTCGGATCGATGTTGATGGTTTATTTCGGTGGACTTTGTCTCTGAAGAAAAAGTATTAGCTAAATAAATGACAGAATAATGTTGGTCACTGTTTAATGTTTGTTACTGTGACAATCAGGCTCTGTTGAATGTGTTTTGTATTTTATTTTGTTTTATTGTTTTTTCTCTACACTTGATTAAGCAAAATGCGCATACTATGAAAAATAAAGTATTTATAGCCTGATTTTAATCGGCTTGTCTGACTCCTACCTTTTGACAGTGGGTTCAGCAGACCCGGCAGCAGAAACAAATGAGAGGGGGGACATTACATTTTTTCAGGGGCCACACTTATTTAAATCTGTATTTTATCTGCTTCAGGCTTAACGGCAGCTCCGTGGACACTCCTACAGCATCGAAATGTTATTTTCGCTCAGTAATAAGAAGCTGTAACGTTACTGCGAAGCTGCGGTAATGTATTGTTATTCACGTCGATGTTGCTGCTGCTCCCTAGCTGCTGTTGCTCCCTCCGCTAGCATGAATGTTTACTCTGGTGTGACTGTTGGCTTCGGTGCTTAACTTCCTACAAGTGGAGCTGTGTCAGTGTCAGCTCCCCTCAGTGGTTGTCGTACTTTTTTGGCGAACAAAAAAACCCTCTTATATCCATTTTTAATAGAATGCCAATGCTTACCGCCGAGTCTGCCATCTGCTGCGCCGAATTCGTCGATGAATATTTGACCTTTGACTAAGGCTGTGTCCGAAATGGATCCCTCACCCCTACATAGGTGACTATATGGGGGTTAGCACCATTTTGAGGGGTGTCCAAAACCTGAGTGATCAATTCTAATGCCCCATATAGGCGACCCAAAATTTCCCATAAAGCATTGCAAAATGTAGTGACCATCCGTCACTCACCGGTGGTGGCCATCCCGTCATGCATTGTGTCTCCAGCGGCAACGTCACAACGGTAGTGTCTGAAACCTCCGGTGATTGAGTTCACTACATAGTCAGCTATATCGTAAAACCCCATAAGGGGTTTAGAGATTCAATGATTTATTTCGGACACAGCCTCAGTGAGCGGCCCGCCCCCCTTCACCTGTAACTGGCTAACACGTTGCCTTCGATCGATTGGATTGGTTGGATTGATTGACATATATCAAGATAGATGGGATTAACTGAAGATGACTACTCTGACGGAAACAACAAACAAACCCCAAATCAAATTAACAGAAAATTTTGCTTTTGTCCCCCCAATGCCTGCCCGTGCCGGCGCGCCTGGGGTTCAGGCGTAAATAAATAAGTGTATTAAAAAACACAATCCTGACGGTAATGACTGTTTGCTCTTTTAGCCTGAATTGAAGCATCAATATGAAGTATTCTCTGATAACTGGCTGCAGTTTTATAATTTCTTCATCCTGTACAATGATAAAACTGACAAAAATATGATGTAACATTGCCTCTTGACTTTTCAAACCTTTTTTATGCGTCTAATGAGCCGTTAATGAAATAATTAAACACTTGAAACACAATATAACTTATTTATATTTATAAATATCTATATTTTTATGTTTTTATTTGGTTAATTTGTGTATTTTGGTTCTAAAACAGCCGTAAAACGCTCAGTCATTCCGTCTGTTACGCTAACGGGAAAAACCTTTTGAGGGGCCAACCAATCAGAAACGAAGTTTACTGTAAGGCTCCAAGGTTAGCCTGAGTAATGCCTAAATGAAATTTCACAATCTTTACGGTCCAACATCTTCATTGACTCTTTTAATACTTGATAATGAACTAATAACACGAAAATAGCGAGTGATTGGTTCTATTTTTATTTCTTTAAAACACGAAGAGGAGTAGTTTTGGTCTCATTTGATTTTTCTATCAGGCATTTGAAGAGAGAGTCCGCGGGGTCCTAAAGCCCTTCTTGCCTCTGGTTGACATTTCATGCTGTTACTCTTATTCAATAACACTGACAGAAGAACATGAGGACATCGGCAGGTAGAAATTAGACAAAACGAGTTGTTTTTTTGGACTTGAAGACTTGGCAAACGGCACTGGAGGATGTCTCAGGTTCTGAGGCTCCTTTCGGCGGCTGCCTTGCCACTGTGCCGGCGGACCGGAGCTGCCCGGGCTCGGCTCTGTGCGGTAACCGCCAGTCGGCTCCTCTCAGGCGGATACCGGAGCTCGGCTGCCCTGGTCAGTAAACTTTAAATATTTCTGTAACAACAGTTAAAAAAAAACAATCTATCTAATGACCAGGTCACCTGACATACGAGTGAAGAATAAAATTGGAATAGTAAGTTGGTTTATACTGTGATTTGTCACCAGCTAGTTCGCCCTCGCACCAAACCCCAGAGTAAAATCATCATTTTAAGGAATAGTTTGCCTAATTAACTTTGAAACACTCACTATTAGATCCTATTTGCCTGTATTTAATCTACTTTTAAATTCGGCGTCGTTCAAAATCAGAAAACACAAATCCACTGACAAGTAAACACGTTTCTTTGTGTGTATGTTACTCAATTGACGAGCAGAACGTTATATAGGAGTAACAGGAGTTTTTGTGCTGTAACCAACTGTTACGTATGACTTAAAAACACCCCAAACTCAATTGAACCTACATCTTTTATTTGGCTGAAGCTTCTGTATTTAATAAAAATGGAGAAAGTGGTTCTAATGTAAGTAAAAAGTGAGTGAGACTCAGCAGTCAGAAATGTGAATTTAAAAAAAAATGAGCCATCCTGTAAAAGAAGAGAAAAGAGTTAAAACAGAGACAAGAAACACTGATAATATGTGGAACATAAACAGAATTTACATTCCTTTTGGAAATCATGGACAGTAGACCCGCCTGTAATCACCATGAGTATGTCATCTGTAAAGGCTTAATGCTGAACAATATCTCCAGGTTTAGGAGGAACAGGACTCTGTAGTTGAAGTCACCACATGGGCTTAATATCACTCGTCTGTGAACTGTCCAGTAAGGTCTAATGAATCAAAATCTAACACTCTAAATCATAGATGCTGCAACCTCAGCTTAAAACGATATCTCCAGGTTTAGGAGGAACATCTGCGTCCATCCAGACAAAGACTTTTTCACCATCATGACCCAAATAAATAAGACGGATGAGACAAGAATGGGACAACCTTTCACTTTAGAAACTCCACAAACTGATCTCCTCGGTTCTCAGATGATGACCAATAAATCCCTTTCCCTCTCACTGAGTTAAAAATGTTAAAGAAGTTTGGTCTCCATCCCTCAGAGGAGCCGTGTGCAGTCAGATAGGTGTGCCCACGCTGCTGTCGTTCCCTCATCAGTCTGACATTACTCTGCTCTCTCACGGCAATTTATGATTCAGCGTTTGCATAAGACAAGTCAGCATCCGAGTTACAAAACTGACCTCAGCTTACGGGGTCAGGTGTCTTTACAAGGACCTCAGTTTGTTATTCTTCCACAAACTCATTCCACTTTCTCTCTCGACATAATGAATGAAGGTAATTCATCAAGATTAAAACAGGATAACAAACATACAAAGATAAACCTATACATGTAAAAAGCCTTTAAGACTCGCTGTCTTTTAAGGAAATGAATGGATGGAAAGTGTATTCATAATTTTGTGCCGTTTACCTTGTGTCAGTGGATAACGTTAGAAGATGATAATGACATAAACTATCTTGAACTGGTTCTGGAGGTTCTGCATCTGGATTTTGATTCCCATCCCAGTCATAGAACTAATAGGTCCTCTGTGGTCTTTCCAGAACCTTCCTCGGACTCCTGTGAACTTCCTCCCCTGCCGTAGATTCCAGTCAGCCCAGAGACGGTTCTACTCCTCAGAGCCCAAAGGTGAGCGTCGAAAAAGGAGAAAATTACAGTCTGATTAACAACCGGTTCAATGAATGAAGTAGTTTTTACTTTACACAAAAAAACATGAAGATCCATTTTTTAAAACTCGTGTTTTTCTTTTAGAATTAAGTCTGAATTTTAAGAAAAATTATAATCCGGACCGAGTTAGAAATCAGATGTCAACCTTTTAATTTCAGAGTCCTGAACTTAAAATTTATTGAAAAAACTCTTTATTCAGACTTTTTTCAAATCCAAAAACTCTCATTTAAAGTCACTCTGACTAAAAAAGTCTGAATTTAGAAAAACAGGTCAGACTTGATGAATCTCAGATTTCTGAGTGAAAAATTCTGAATTCTAGGATTTGAATAAAATCATAATTTTGAGGTTTGAGCATAGACGCCGTCTGGCTCCTCGTTGGGTGAAGACACTCTGAGTATATACAGTCTGTGGTTTTGAGTCTGAATTCTGTTTTATTTTTCAGAACTTCTAGAAAAAGGTTGAATTCAGACTTTTTTAATCCCAGATTTCTAAGAATTTAGTTAGAATTCAAAGATTAAAGTCAGAAAATGAACTTCTTAGTTTTGATATTTAGAGAAAAAAGTCAGAACTTCGACCTCGATCACAAAATTTTATGGGAAAAAAATAGGTAAGAAAAGTTTGACTTTTATACTTCATTTTCTCTTTCTTCTTCATCTTCTGTAGTCCTTTAAGAACTTTTAAGAAGAGTTAATAACTCCTTAAACAGACGGTAATTTCATCAGACAGGAGATAATCGCTCTCCTTAATCACTGAACTCTAGAGGTCGCTGCTGTTGGTACAGGACTGCAGGGTTTTATAATGAAAGGTGTTCCTTATATTTTGTCCACATCAATAAGACAAAGGGAGCAAAAGTTTGAATATTTTTCACCTTCATAGTTTTTTATGGATGAATATTTTTTGACGTTCTCTCTGTGAGTTTCAGATGGGAAAGGAGGAGCAGCAGGAGGAGGAGGAGGAGGAAGACAGGGCGGAGGAAAGGGAGGAGGAGGAGGAGGAGGAGGGAAGGACTGGTGGAGTCGAATACAGAAGGTCAGATTTCCACACTGAAACCACAAACTCATCACTGTGAATAAACTGTGAGTGTTCAGATAAAAACCTCCTCCTGCTCCTCAGGGAGACTTCCCCTGGGACGACAGGGACTTCCGTTACGTGGCGGTGACTGCAGCCGGGGTCGCCTCCATCTTGCTTTTCTTTCAATTCAGAGACGGCGGCAAAGAGATCACCTGGAAGGACTTTGTGCACCGCTACATCGGCCGAGGACTGGTGAGGAACACGCTGACACTCAAAGCCTCCTCCTTAAAGGGACAGTGTGTGTGTTTTTGTGTCTGCAGAACCAGAGAAACCACATCTCTGCACCTCCTGGTCAATGTTCCTCCTGCAGCGTACAGATCGAGATAGATCATCGTTCGTTCTTTCGAGTTTTCAAATAAAAACACAGATTTTTAACGTTTTTAGGTCCACAAACTTCCAAAGTGAATATTTGTTTGAGTGATGGTCTCTCCTCTGCAGGTGGAGCGGTTAGAGGTTGTGAACAAACAGTACGTCAGAGTGATCCTGGTCCCCGGAGCGGACTCTGATACGGTGAGGAGCGGATCGTTTTCATCAAACCTGCAGGACTCAGATCTTTATTTGAAGTATCGATGCAGGACAAAATAAATAAACTTTATTTTTCATGTATTGAATCTAAACTTTCTAAAACGCTCTCTCTCCGGCGTCATGTGACCCGCAGAACTACGTGTGGTTCAACATCGGCAGCGTTGACACCTTTGAGAGGAACCTGGAGGCGGCTCACATGGAGCTGGGTTTGGAGCCGTCACGCCGTCCTGCGGTGGTCTACAGCAGCGAGAGCGACGGGTGAGTTTGAGTGACAGGTTTGAGTCCTGTCAGTCAGCTGCTAGTATTAACCCTCCTCTCCTCTCTCCTCCTCTCCTTCTTTCCTCAGCTCCTTCCTCATCAGCATGGTCCCCACCCTGCTCCTGATTGGCTTCCTGCTCTTCACGCTGAGGCGAGGGACGATGGGAGGAGGCCCCGGCGGCGGGCGTGGCGGCCCCTTCAGCATGAGCGAGTCGACGGCGAAGATGATGAAGAACAACATCGACGTGAAGTTCAAGGACGTGGCGGGCTGCGAGGAGGCCAAACTGGAGATCCTGGAGTTTGTGAACTTCCTGAAGAACCCGCAGCAGTACCAGGACCTCGGGGCCAAGATCCCCAAGGTACACGTACACACACGTACACACGGGGGCGCTGTGGCGGGATCAGGGTTCGATGATGGCAGTGAAATGACTGTCTGGTGTCCTGTTGTGGTCTCAGGGTGCGGTCCTCTCTGGACCTCCAGGGACCGGGAAGACCCTGTTAGCCAAAGCCACCGCCGGAGAGGCCAACGTCCCCTTCATCACCGTCAACGGCTCCGAGTTCCTGGAGATGTTTGTGGGCGTGGGTCCGGCCCGGGTGAGTGTGAACGCTCTGAGACAATGGCGTGAACCTGAAGGAAGCGGACAGTCCGTTTAGATGTCTCTCCTCCGCAGGTCAGGGACATGTTCGCCATGGCCAGGAAGAACGCCCCCTGCATCCTCTTCATCGATGAGATCGACGCCGTGGGGAGGAAGAGAGGGGGCGGGAACTTTGGGGGTCAGAGCGAGCAGGAGAACACGCTGAACCAGCTGCTGGTGGAGATGGACGGTACGTCTGAGACAAACGGACGTTTTTTTAAAAGATGGAGGCGGCGGGTTAAAAATGTCTGTTTTTATGTCTTTATTTAAAAAAAAAAAGGTTTCAACACGGCGACCAACGTGGTGGTCCTGGCCGGAACCAACAGACCCGACATTCTGGATCCGGCTCTGATGAGACCGGGACGCTTCGACAGGCAGATCTACATCGGTGCGGTTCTACGCTGAAACTAAACTCAGGGATTTAAAGCTCCTGTAACTTTCGCCGCTCTTTACTCTCCTTTGACTCTGTGGGTGTCTTCAATCAGGTCCTCCGGACATCAAAGGCAGAGCGTCCATCTTTAAAGTCCACCTGAGACCCATCAAACTGGACCCCAACATGGACAAAGACGTCCTCGCCAGGAAGATGGCGGCTGCTACTCCGGGGTTCACCGGTACGTTACTGTCGCTCAGATTAAAGTCAGGAGGGAGACAAAGTTTTTCAAGAGTTTTCAAAAAAGTGTTTTCTTCAAAAAATTCAGTTTCACACCAACTGAACAGGATGAGAGTTAATATTTTATAAAATAATCTCTAGATGGATATTTAAAAAATAAATAAATTATATTAATAATATAATTATATTAATAATATTAACAATAACAATAAGAAAAACGATAATAATAATAATGATAATAATAATATTAATACATATGATAGTTATTATATGAATAAGAATAATAATAATAATAATAATAATAATAATAATAATAATGATAATAATAATAATAATAATAATAATAATAATATTGATAATAATACATTTTTATTTGTTTTGCCCTTTACATGAAGAGACCCCAAAGGGCTACACCTTAAAATCAAAGAAATATCACAGTAAAGTAATAAAAAAAAAAAAACAGGTTATTGGTGAAAAAAAAACAAAAGAAACATCTTATTAAAAAAGTAAAAGCAGTTTTTTTTTTAAATAAAAAAGAATCCATAAAGAGGGACCAAAAGTTCTGTTAAAAAAGACGTTTTGAGTCTTTTTTTTTAATACTAATAACTGTTGGATTTCTGAAAGAAAACTTCACAAACTTAAATCTGAGAAGAAAAGTTTTAAAAACAGTTTTAAAAGTCAACGCTGAAAAAAGTTTAGAGTTTCATCGATGAAAAGATGAGTCAGAAAAAACAAACATTAGATTTGGTGATATTTGAAATAAAAATACAAACAAACAAACAAAAAAATGTTTTTCCTGTTTTTATTCGTCAGGAGCCGACATCGCAAACGTCTGTAACGAAGCAGCGCTGATCGCCGCCAGACACCTGGACCCGTCTGTCAACGCCAAACACTTTGAGTACGCCATCGACCGGGTCATTGGAGGTCAGTGGTTTAATGAACGTGTGTGTGTGTGTGTCTTTTTAATTTATTTATTTGATTCAGACATTAGCACATTAATTGACACGTCAGCAAAAGCATCGATGTAAATATGAAGTTATCATAAATCAGAGGTCGGCAATTATTTTGTCTGAAGGGCCTCGTCGGGCCAGGTGGTGAAACCAACCCCCAAATATGGATGAGGGTTAACTCATAATCCTGCTTGATGACAGGGAGAATATTTTTGAAGAGCCTGTAAACTGGCCCCTCCAGAGATGGTCGATGACGCTTTAAAGGATCTTTGGCCCCACGTTCTTGAGATGTTAGAGAGCTGGATAAAGGGGGTGGGGTGAAGGGATGACACTTTTTCTAACAAATCAAGCTCACGATATTTGGCTCGTGGAGTAATGTTCCTTTTTTTTGTGACGGCTCTGTGGGCCAGATGAAATTGTTAACCACTTTCGTTTGAACTTCCTCTGAGAGCGTCTGGTTTTTGAGTTCGCGGGTCCTAACAGAGCTGCAGACTGACTGAAGACCCTCTTCTATGTTTCAGGTCTGGAGAAGAAGACTCAGGTGCTGCAGCCCACAGAGAAGAAGACGGTCGCCTACCATGAAGCAGGTCACGCCATCGTGGGCTGGTTCCTGCAGCACGCCGACCCGCTGCTGAAGGTCTGACTTCCTCCTGCTGGTTCAGTTTCCTCTGATGGTTTGACGTCTCTGTACTCAGGTTCAGTTCTGGTCTGTGTGGGCGTGTGTGTGCAGGTGTCCATCATCCCCCGGGGTAAAGGTCTGGGGTACGCTCAGTACCTTCCCAGAGAGCAGTACCTGTACAGCAGAGAGCAGCTGTTCGACAGGATGTGCATGATGCTGGGGGGCCGCGTGGCCGAGCAGACCTTCTTCGGCAGGATCACCACCGGAGCTCAGGACGACCTGAAGAAGGTCACACAGTCCGCCTACGCCCAGGTGAGCGCTCACACCTGCAGCGTCGCGGTTAGAGTTCGCTAAACGCCGCTCTCTTAAACCCTCTCTCTCTCTCTCAGGTGGTGCAGTTTGGGATGAGCGAGAAGGTTGGGCAGGTGTCGTTCGATCTGCCGCGGCAGGGAGAGATGGTGATGGAGAAGCCGTACAGCGAGGCCACGGCCGAGCTGATCGACGAGGAGGTCCGGGAGATGGTGGAGCGAGCGTACCAGAGAACCATGGAGCTCATCCAGGAGAAGAAGGAGCTGGTGGAGCTGGTCAGTTCTGAGAGTGAAAACACCTCCATGTTTGTAAAAAATATAGATGACGATAATTTAAAGAGTTTCCTCCTCAGGTGGGGCAGCGTCTCCTGCAGAAGGAGGTCCTGGATAAAGCCGACATGCTGGAGCTCCTGGGCCCCCGACCGTTCGAGGAGAAGTCGACGTACGAGGAGTTTGTGGAGGGGACGGGGAGCTTCGAGGAGGACACGACTCTGCCCAAGGGTCTGAGAGACTGGAACCAGGAGCGAGGAGAGGAGGCGGAGGAGGCGAGCCAAACTCAGGACAAACAGCAGGCCATGTAGAGACGGGAAGACCGGACCAGAACCAGGAATGCTGCAGAATAACTGAACCATGGGGGGGAGGGGATCATGAACCGTTAAACTCTCAGGATTATCGTCTCTGTTACAGTAAAAACCTCTCAGGTTTAACTCTGATCTGACCTCTGCTGCTGTGGACTGACTGAAACTTGACCTCAGACTAGACCGGGTTTTAGAGAGATTCAGGGTCTGATTCTCCTCCCTGATCTTCACTGAAAACTTCCTGAATAAGTCAAAACATGAAATGAAGAGAGTTTGTAGTTTTATCTGCTCGATTTTAACCTTCAACTCTTCAAATCTGAGCGAACCAAAGTGTTTGTGTTCATCTTTAATCCTGGAGACCGTCTGAGGACATGTCTGATATCTAAAGTAGAAACAGGGCAGAGGTCAGAAACAGCTGCTCGTTTTCCTTTTTCAGACTGTTTTTGTGAATCACATGGAAAACAGTTTAATTTTAAATCCTCATCAGAATATTTTTAAAGTTTATTTTCTTAAAACTGACAAACCAAGAAAAGTAAAGGTCCATCGAGTTGTTTTTACTTTAAAGCTCCTGTGAAGAAGTTTGTGTTTGTGTTGATTCTGGCGCCCCCCTGTGGACGAAGTGATACCTCTTCTCCCTTTGCTGGTCTTGTTCCTATTTGTGGCTCGTGAATTGTCTTAACATCAGTGAAGAAAAACTCTGAATCCGCCTTTAAGGGAGACCAACATGGACGGACTGTTTCTGAAGATCTCAGACTGATTTTGTCTCTTTTATTTATTCCAGAAAAATTGAGTTTTTCTCACGAGGATGAAATAAAAACTCACATTTTCTGCAGGTTTTGATATTTAAAGTTTATAGTGTGAAGTTATTTCTGATTCCTGCCGCTGATTTTTGACTTTATTGACTCAAAATGTGGATTTTTTTTTTCTATAAACACACTGATGCTGTAAAAATGTGCTGATGATTGTAAGCTTTTGTGTCATAATGAGTGAAACGAGCTGCTACATGATAAAGTTTATTTTCACTCCGACGGGTTTTTACTCGTTTGGATGAAAAACCAAATATGCAGAGTTTTTTCTCTTGAATCAGGTTTTATTTTTATGGGATAAAAGTATTTCAAACTTTGGACATACTGTTGCATTAAGTGAAATATTAACTTTATTAAAGTTTCTCTCCTGTAAAATGAACTCCGTGGACCACCTCTCCGGCGCTCTGCCCCCTTTTTTTTCACTGTCTACCATCTTCGGTGCAATGCTCTCCAAAGCAACCCTAACCTTTATGATGGTTGGTACTTGAGATGACCGCCTTTGAGGGTTGTAGGTCAATTAATGTGAAAAGACATCAGAGTTTGAAAGGACGCCATGGCGACTGCATTTGGCCTAAAGGATGAATTTTTGATATTATCTTCCTTGAGGTCAAATTAAAGACTGAAAGAGAAATAATGAAAGTGTGAATGTTTAAAGGACGTATTAAGGAGCACGCTTCAGACCATTTGGAGTCAATAGTATAATATGATAAAAATTAAAAAATTTCAACATGAAAAAAATGTAGAAAAGTATAGTATAATAAAATTTTCAAATATTAGTATGAAAGAAAAAGTCATAGAAAAGCATATTAAAAATGTCATAGGAAAGTTTAACAAAATTTATAGGTTTTACGATAAAAATTGTCAAAGTATAGGATGCTAAAAGATATCATGGTATAGCATGTCAAAAAATGTCATAGTATAATATGACGAAAATTTCAAATTTAAGTATGAAAACAATGTCAGTATAATTAGTTAAAAAAGATGTCATAGTACAGTTTGATAAAAATTTTCAAATATAAATATGAAAAAAAGTCGCCGTAAATTATGCAAAATGAAATTTAAAAGGATTGTATACAAAAACTAGTAAGTAATATGCTGAAAAAAATGTTTGTTAAAAAATGTCATAGTATAGTATGATAAAAAATGTCAACGTATAGTATGGTCAAAATGGTTAGGGTATAGTATAATAAAAATGTCATAGTATAGTATGATGAGAATTTAAATTTTAGTATAAAAAAAATTCTGGGTGTAATATGTTAAAATACAGTCATAGTATAGTATGATAAAATTTTCAAATATTAGTTTGAAAGAAAAAGTCATAGTAGGTGTATGTCAAAAGATGTCACAGGATAGTAAACCACAATTTGTAGATTTTACTATAAAAAAGTGTCAAATTATAGGATGCTGAAATATGTCATAGTATAGTATGATGAAAAATTCAGATTTAAGTATGAAAACAATGTCAGTATAATTTGTTAAAAACAATGTCATAGTATAGTTTGATAAAATTTTCAAATATAAATATGAAAAAAAAATCAATGTAAATTATGAAAGAAAAAAGTCAAAGTATATTATGTGAAAAAATGTCATAGTACAGTATGATAAAAATTTAGTATGACAAAAAATGTTTTAGTATAGCATGCTAAAAAATGTCAGAATAGTATGAAAAAAAATGTCATGGTATAGTGTGATTAAAAAATGTCATAGCATAGTATGAAAAAAATGTCATAGTATAGTGTGATAAAAAATGTCATAGTATAGTGTGATAAAAATTTTAAAAAATGTAATATGAAAAAAATGTCATAGTATAGAATGTCATAAAATGTCATAGTACAGTGTGACGATAATTTCAAATTTTAGTATGAAAAAAGTTATATAATATGTTAAAAAACAATGTCATAGTATAGAATGATATAATTTTAAGATATAAGTATGAAAACAATGTCAGTATAATTTGTTAAAAAAAATGTCATAGTATAGCATGCTAAAAAATGTCATAGAATAGTATGAAAATAATGTCAGAGTATTGTATGACTAAAAAATGTCATAGTGTAGTATGACAAAAATTCCTAATTTTTGTATGAAAAAAATGTCAGAATAGTATGAAAAAAATGTCATAGTATAGTATGTTTAAAAAATGTCATAGTATAGCATGCTAAAAAATGTCATAGAATAGTATGAAAATAATGTCATAGTATAGTGTGATTAAAAAATGTCATAGTATAGGGTGATTAAAAAATGTCATAGTATAGTATGTTTAAAAAATGTCATAGTATAGTATGTTTAAAAAATGTCATAGATTAGTATGAAAAAAATGTCATAGTATAGCGTGATTAAAAAATGTCATAGTATAGTATGAAAAAAATGTCATAGTATAGTATGTTAACAAATGTCATAGTATGATAAAAATTCAAAAATTTTTCTAATGAAAAAAAAGTCATAGTATAGTATGTTAAAAAATGTCATAGTATAGTTTGATTAAAAATAGTATGAAAAAAATGTCAGAGTATACTATGAAAAAAATGTCATAGTATAGTATGTTTAAAAATGTCATAGTATAGTATGTTTAAAAAATGTCAGAATAGTATGAAAAAAATGTCATAGTATAGTATGTTTAAAAAATGTCATAGTATAGCATGCTAAAAAATGTCATAGAATAGTATGAAAATAATGTCATAGTATAGTGTGATTAAAAAATGTCATAGTATAGGGTGATTAAAAAATGTCATAGTATAGTATGTTTAAAAAATGTCATAGAATAGTATGAAAAAAATGTCATAATATAGCGTGATTAAAAAATGTCATAGTATAGTATGAAAAAAATGTCATAGTATAGTATGTTAACAAATGTCATAGTATTGTATGATTAAAAAATGTCATAGTGTAGTATGACGAAAAATTTTAATTTTTGTATGAAATAAATGTCAGAATAGTATGAAAAAATGTCATAGTATAGTATGTTTAAAAAATATTATAGAATAGTATGAAAAAAATGTCATAGTATAGTATGTTAGAAAATGTCATAGTATAGTATGACGAAAATTTCTAATTTTTGTATGAAAAAAAATAGAATAATAATAGTGTCATCATTTCTATAGTTGACCACTAGAGGGCGCCCTCACAGTTCATTTGTTCCTCTGAACCTGCAGATTAACAGAGAAGATCAGTGACCCTGCAATGTTACAAAATTTGAACTTTTGTGTCATTTTAAATGCTGCTTCAGAGATTTCACTGAATTTAAAACGATATTTAAGACAAATAGAAACAAATCTGTTCAGATTTCTTGATAATAAATTTGGTTTTTGAAGTTTGTTTTCTGAGTTGTTGAAAAAGTCAAGTAGAAAAGGAACTTTTTCAGGATCACAGGAGGAAAGAGAAATAAGGAGACTTTTCTCAGGAAGTACAGGTGACGTTTTTAAACGGTATCATCAGGTCTGACTGACAAACAGGCTTCAGTAAATACAGACAGACAGACAGACAGACAGACAGACAGAGAGCTCCACAGCTTCACTTTGACTGCAGGTTATATTTTATTACGCTGCTTCACTGGTTATGGTTCTTTTACATTTGGCCGCTGTTGCTCTTTTAACCTCTGACCCCTCAGAAACAGGATGAGATCCTTAGTGTGAAAACTCTCACTCTTCTTCCTGTGTCTTAGAGAAAATCACTGTCATCAAACTCTACTCATTTTTATAAAAAGCTACAAACACGCTACATTCTCTGAGTGTAATGGCGAGATTCTCCTCAAGCTGCCGTTTACATCTGTCCGTACGTCAGTCTGTGTTCTCCTAAAAACTCTTCATCCTGATTCAGTCCAGGAGGGAGAAAAACGTCTAGATTCAAGTAGAAAAGAAAAAAGTCAGATAGCCCTTTAAATCCGTCATAAGGCGAGCCGAGACCGGTCTGAACAGGAGGAGGAAAACCCACAGTCCTGGACTCTTCAGCTCCACAGTTTTTGGTACTTCCTCTCCTGTTGACCTGCTGACTTCCCTCGGAGTGTCCTGATTGGTCGAATCTGGTCTACGTCCAGCGCTGAAGGAGCGACGAGACGAGCAGCGAGGACATGAAGAGAGGGAGGGACAGGAAGACGGTCGCCGCCCCGCCGCACTCCTTCGCATTTTCCTGTCGGAGGATTTTAACGTTAATGTTAGCTCTGATGGTTCGTAACTGTGACAAACTCTTTGATGAACTTTAAGACAATTAACAACAATTTCTCATCAGCCAATCAAAACAGTGTTAGGTCACCATGGTAACCATGCACACCAGCCTTGGAATGTATAAAATGAGTCATATGCTGAGTTCGAGTTTTCTCGGAAGTCAGAAGTCCGAGCTGAAAATGACGTCACACCCGAGTTCTTAGCGTTTCAGTTACCAAGTCGGAAAAAAGCAAAATCGGAGGTTCATGTTAGCGCTAGCCTTGTCCGAATATAAGGCAAGCACTTAAATAACTTTCGTAGATGTAGCCATCTTGTTTCCAATTTTGCTTTTTTCTGACTTGGTAACTGTCCCCTCAAATCGTACAATCATCACAACATAGAGTGTACAGTTAAACTCTGGCCAGCAGAGGGCGCTCATGCTACAGAGAAAATACCAGTCCAAGTACAGCACGGATAAATAATTGTATCTATAACAGTAGAAACAGAATTCATAAGACCAAAAAGTCGATTCCTGGTAAGTTACAGCATTTATGAACAGCTCACAGAAACTGTTGTAGAAATAAAACAACTGCTGAAGTCACTCGGGTTAAAAATGGACTTTCTTTTCATGTCATGCTGTTATTATAGAGTTACACGGAGTAAAATTACAGTCCAGGATGTGAACCAGAGACCGTCTGAATGTCTGACGGCGGGTAAAGAGCGCTCACCTTCGGGTGGTAGGAGTGACAGGACTCTGGACGCCGTCTGACCTTCTGAGACTTCATCCTGTTGCACTTCACTGTGGCGTTATGTTCACGGACGTCAAGGAAAACACAACACTTATTTCTGGGGTTCATAGAAAGGCATTAAATTAAACCGGCATTTTTCATATTTTAATCTGAAAAAATGTCCAAGAATAGGATGTTAAAAATGTCAAATTTAATATAAAAAAAGTGAAAATATAGTATAAAAAAATGTCAAATTTTAGTTAAAAAATCTTATGTTATAATTTATATGATAACATTTCAATACTAAAGTATAAAAAAAGTTAAAGTATAGCTTGTTAAAAAAAACAAGTTTATGGTGAATCCAGCAGGGGGCAGCGTTGTAAAAGTTGTAAGCTGTCTAAAGGATATATTTGATCTCTTTGGGGTCCAGCAGGATGGGTCCGTACTGACGGGAACAGTCACAGTCGGCCTGAGTCACGACCAACACCAGGTTACTGTTGGGGATCTGCTGCACCACAAACATCCTGGAACACAAAAAACAGGCGGAAACAGTGTCAGAAAAAAAATGTAGAGAATTATGATGAAGTGTTTTTTTCATTAAAAACAGTTTAACTAGGATTTTAAAACGATTTAAGTGTTTAAATACAGACTTTTTATTTATTTTAAGTTTACAAAAAATAAATCAGGAAAAATGTCAAAATCTTTTTAAAAGTGTTAGAGTAACGTTAGGGTAGAGGGGTTTATTTTGTGTGTGTGTGTGTGTGTGTGTGTGTGTGTGTGTGTGTGTGTGTGTGTGTGTGTGTCGTTCATACTTCTGGCAGCGTCCACACTTGATGAGGCTGTTTGCCTCTTTGATGGAATAGTCGTACATGAAGCCGGGATACGCCGTGTCGCAGGGCTGTAGGGCCTCCACCTTCTTCTGCTTGTGAGCTGAGAAACACACACGTGCACACACACACACACACACACACACACACACACACACCATTAAACACAGTTACACTCACTTACACACACAGTTTATATCTTATCTCCACACACTGGGATGTCTGCAGCCTCGTCGTACTCACTTGTGTGATAACCAGCTTTGGCTGAATGGATGAAGGTGGATCACAGTGAAGACACACCCGGGTGATGATGATGATGATGAAGATAATGAGGATGAAGATGATGATGATGAGGCCGCCATGTTCGAAACAGAGACGTGAAACAGTGATGACATGATGAACAAATCTGTTTAAAGACTTTTTACAACACGGTGGTTTTAACCTGCTGTTCTTACCGTCCACAAAGTAGTCCGAGTGCCAGAGTCCACAAAAGTTAAAGTCCAGCAAGAACCTGCAAGGAGACAGGGACACACTAGAGTCAGAACCTACAACTACAACCTTCATACGAAGACTCCAAACACTTCCAGAGCAGACAGAAACACAGACGGCAGATTAGCTACAGGAATACGTAAAAAAACTTGCATCAGTGCGTTGGAGAAGATCCATCGTAGTAACGCCACGATGCCGTAAAACGGCTGCAGAGGAAAAAAACAGAAAACAATTATTCTCAGGAGCAGGTCAAGAATTTCAGTCAGCTTTGACAAAAAAGATTCTTCTGAAAATTCCAGAAAATTAAGCCTCAAGTGTAAATAAATATCTAAAAATGCAGAAACACTTTCACACGTGCACTCCTGAAAATTTCTGGAATTTCTCTTCTGTCTCGATTTGCTCGGTAAAGTTTTTTTCCCACATTCACACAAGTCACATGACATTTTTCTGAACATTTCATCCGCCGCTCTTACATCTGCTCAACCTGACTTCACACAGAAACTTTACAGCAGGAAAAACGCTTTCTTTTACGGTACACTTATTACCAGGTAATTAACAGGTAATTACATAGTAACAACATGAAATTATCTGGTAATTACGTGATAACTACTAAGTCAATATTGTCTAGCTACCAGGTAGGTAACCTTCCATCATCATACAAATTTGAGGCCGAATTGTTCTGGTATCTCCAGGATTTTCTCCGCTTCCTGGAACCACCACTTGCACGGCGGGCGAGTCGCTGTGATGATGCGCGGCTCAAACAGCGTATCGCTACGCAATCTTCGCATGCCCATAGGCTGTATCAAGTGTCAATCATAGAAAATAAGAACCACAAATAGCTTTTGAATATGGAGCTGTACAGAAAAAAGAAAAACTAGACAGTATTGACTTAGTAGTTATCATGTAATTACCAGATAATTTCATGTTGTTACTAGGTAATTACCTGTTAATTACCTGGTAATAAGTGTACCGTAAAAGAAAGCGTTACTGGAAAAGTCTGGGTAAATTTGAGGTGTTTGCATTCACACATGAAGCCCATCCTGAAAACTTGGAGAAGGATTTAGGAGTCTTTTCTGTCATGGCCGTCTCTGTTGTGTTAACTGGACTTCTAAAATCTGGGACTCATCAGACGTTTGATTTGACGGTTTTTTAAAAACAGTAAAAACTTTATCGGATTAAAACAGAGCCGAATGTTTCAGCTGATTGAAGCCGTCTGGATCAGTGTGTGTCTGTGTGAACAGTAGGAGACTCACGCTGAGCAGAGGACGGGCGCTGCTGGCGTGATGGTGGCTGTTCTTGCACATGGCCTGATAGTCGAACAAGGAGACTCTGAAAACAAAAACAGTGATGAGCCTCAGCGCCGAACAGCCAGTGATAGAATTTACGACTTAGTTATTGTATTTTCATCAAACTCTACAGAAGAACAAAAACAGTAACACATCTGTGAGTCATACTTTTTGTACATCCCCATCTTGATGAGTGAAGCCATGACGGAGCCGTCCACCGCGCCAAAAAATTTACCCACCTGCAAAAGACGAGAGGAGTTATCGACTAAACAAACAAATGATTTATAATAAAATATAATCAGATTATAAATGCAGCCGACGTCTCAAATAACAGGAATGAAAGCAAAATGACCCTGAGGAAATCACACATGGCTGTGTTTGGACTCTTGGCTCTGATTGGTCAATACTTCACAGCAGCAGTCTGTTATATCTAGACAGCCCGCTGTTGCTATGGAAACTGCTCTTTCCCAAACCGTAATCAGATCAATCTGCTTAAGAAGATGAGTTAGTTTGACGTCAGTTTGTTTATGATGGATATAGATATATATATAGAGTATAGGGCTGGGCGGTATGTCCTCAAATCAATATCACGATATGTTGATCAGTTCACCTCGATAACGATAAATAGACGATAACTATTGATACATTTTCAGTTTACCGCCCAGCCCTATATAGACTCAAAGTGTATTTTTTGGTATCATAGCGTATTTTATCTTATCATATCATATCATAACATATTCAAAGCATCTGGAGAGGTGGCCAATCAGAACAAAGTAGGCTGGAGTGGGAGGGGCCTTAAAGAGACAGCAGCTAACAGAGGCTGAAATAATGATACTTTAATACACCAGAGTGAGACACAGGAGGATATTTTTGATCTGAAAATCATATAAAGATATCAAAGATCAGAGAGGAAGTATAGAGTTGCAGAGTAACTAAAATCCTAACTTAATGACCCTCGGTGTGGTTTATTTAAGCTCTGCAGGGAGAGTTTGTAAGAGTCCTCCTTCTGTCCGCTCCCTACAGAAAAGATCTGATCATTAACATTTAAAGAAATAATAAAGTCGGGTTGATGCGCTCAGATGCTCGGAGGTTGCAGGAGGAGAAAAACAGATGGTGTGAGTGTAAAGCTGTGATTGAAGTCGTCTCTGAGTCTGCGGTGTATTGGTCCTGGCCCTCAGCAGCAGCAGCAGAGGCTCTGAATTATTCAGAGCGTTTTGTCTCAGCAGCTCTGTTCATGTTTACACTCTGCTCTCTGCCCACACTCTATCTCCACCTGGACGGGATTTTCCCAGCAGCCTCAGAGGGCTCCAGGGTTGCTGAGCGATAGCAGTCGGATGCTGCTCGCACCGAAACCTGACCCTGTGTTTATTTGACAGCAGCGGCATCAGCAGCAGCGGAGGGTAAACGTGCTGGAATCAACAAAAAAATAAAGGAGTGAAGATGCCAGGATGAAACTGCTGCCAGGAGCTCAGCAGCAGCAGCAGCTGAACACACGTTTATTTCAGCCTGAAGAAGAGCCACATTAAATCAGGACTGCAGCACGAACCTGAGAGCCCTGCTACATACAAAGAAGATCATTAAATCTGAGGTGATCAGCTGCAGATTCAGACAAACTAACTCCAAAGATCAAAAGACGGGAAAAAGCTCTGCTGCTGCTTCTGACAAACTTTATAGTCGAAAATTTCTCCTCAAATATCAGATTTCCATAAATTTAAAAACGACAGTAAAGACAGACGTGAGTGAAGACGCCTGTTTGGGATTTCTTTGTTTACTCTCATTAACCTTTCGATCGTCGACAGCTCTTCATGTCGATGTTGATTCAACGCTGAGAAACAAAAAGAGGATAAAAGGAAAACGAGGATTTGATCGAATCTTGAATCTCACATGACAAAAACAAGAAGTTATGGATGAGTGAGAGGGTTCCTACAGCAGAGTATCATCTGACCCTCCTCTTTATTACCAGGCTGTGTGAAATACTTCATTCTGATTGGTCAAAACTAGTCAATGAATCTAAGATCAGGCAGAAACCTCGAGCAGAACCAGACTGATGTTGGACCGTCATCTGCTGGGACTGAGCTGAGGAGAGAGAGAGAGAGAGAGAGAGAGGAGAGAGAGAGACCTAAGACCTTAAACTATGACTGTCAGACCTTTTGTTTAAATGAAGTAGAGGGTTCAGATGTCTATATTATGGTATCATCTGCATAATCTGGGAGTGAGAGATCATGAGTATCCTACAGTGGAGCCTCTGAGTTGAGGGAGTCAGTTCTGCACCCACTAAAAAACAGTGAAAGTGTATGATACCGGGGCTACATGCAACACTTGCGAAGCTTTAATTTCATCAAACGGAAACCAGAAACCAGCGGTTAGCTCTCGCACACCTTTGGCGGCTCCTTTCATCGAGGCGGGGAAGAGTAAAATGACAGAGGCGAAGATAAACGAATGTGTCTGAGCTGAGAGCTGATTTATGGTCAAAGGGAAGGTCACATAACTAATTATTAGTGCACGGATACGACACATCTTCTGTTCAAAGGTGACAAACCCATTTGTATTATTTTATTTCTCACTCAATGAGAATCGAAACGAGAATTAAAATCACTAAATTCTTAGTAATTCTCATCCCTACTGGTCAGTTTGGTAATAAACAGGATCATTTATGGTGAACAGGTGGTTATTCACACTGAAATCATCCCACTTTGGAGCTCCGTGGACTGGAGCAGCTTCTGGTGCATGAAAGGTCTACGTCTTCAACCTAGATCCAGCTCTGATGAGGAACAGAGACCTCCTGCAGCAGCTCCTCAGACACCATCAGTGGTCCAACATCTCCTCTGCATTCAGCAAACAGCCCCGGTTCTGCTCCGTCACGCTGCTCACCGCTCCTCCTCCTCTCTCTGACCCATTTCTTCACGTCAGCACCGGCTTCATTTCTCCTCTCTTTAAATATTTACCCTGCCCTGCAATGCACCGCGAGCTGCGCCTTCACGGCACAGCGGCTCGTACACCGGGGGGGATTCTGGGTGTTTCCACAAACTTCCTGTAAAGTCCAGAGCTCAGCAGAAAGACGGAGGAAGCACTTCATCATAATATCTGCTTAGTAAGGCTGCTGGGAACGCCGCAGACATGCAAATCATGAAAAATGAGCTCCTGCTGGAAACGATCCGCGCCGCTTTAAGGTTATTCTACACCAGAACGTTTCACTGCTGTGTGTGCAGAGGCGGATTTAACTTTAATTATTTAGAACTTTATAACGAACCTCGGCGCCACACTCTCTTGGTGTTGAAAGCGACAGTCATTTACAAAGAAATGGAAATTAAATTAAGACCTTCAGCTGATGAAGTCCCCTCCTCAGGCAGACGTATTAGTTTCTGGGTGTTATTGCGCCGATATAATCCACTTTGTGAGGCTGATATTTTAATCGAGCATAAAGACGCATAAAACCTCCAGTTTCAGCGTCAAACACCTTCGCTGAAGTCTCTGAGATCATGGCGTTGACTCAGCAGCTCGCTCCCTCTGACCCTGACACGGTTACAGAGGTCACAGGGTCGCTGAGCGGCAGCTAAGCCTCATCTGGCCTCAGAGGAACCAGCTGCTGCCTTCAGCCGGCAGCCGCGCCGTCACTGAGAACAACCTGAAGCGTGAAGGTCGCAGGTTCGAGTCCAGGTGACGAGTCCTGGACCTCAAAACCGAACCCAAAGACCAAACGTCTAAAAATAGAAACGAACGAGTCAGCGGGGGGGGACGTCGAAGTGGGCGTCGCTGCTCAGCTGAGTGTTTGTGGGAGCTGGACGGCTCAGATTAATCCTCAGTAATGTGGCTCTTAACGGGCCGACTTAATCTGGAGCTAACGAGCAGCTGTCAGATGGACAGCAGGATGACGGTCTGTACCGCACAAACACACACAGACACACACAAACACACACAAACACACACAGTCATGTTAGTCTTTGAAATGATCTCTGACGTAACGTTTCAATGGAGGACAAGTCAGGACCGCATCAGTCCAGGACATCTGGAGGTCTTCCCTGAAAAACTCTTCGTCTGGATGGACGTAGATGTTCCTCCTAAACCTGGAGATGTTGTCTAAAACTGAGGATGCAGCATCTATGATTTCCAGTTCTTCGCTGAAAGGACAACTGGACTTTCTTGAGTAAGTCCAGTTGTCCTTTCCAAAAGAGTTCCCAGCGTTTATTTTTTGATTGACATTATTTAGAATTTGTCCCAATATTGTCTTTTCCTTAATTCACTGTAAAGCACTGATTAAATAGAAGACGCTCCACAAACAAAGATCAATAACCTGGTTGATCGATCGGACATCTGTGATGAGATTTGTTCTGCAGACTGAGAGTCACCAGCTCAGCATGTGATAGAAGTAAAAGCAGACCTGAAGGTGGAGCGGACAGAAAAAGGACCTTTATACGGCGCTATCTGGCAGCAGTGTGAGCCGCCTTTAATGATTATTTCCATTATTGATAAATGGATGAATTATTCAGCCAGAAATGTCTGAAAATGTGGAGAGTGAAAAATGTTTTTGAGAGCCAGAGACCGAGTAAGAGAAGAGGGCAGACTCTGAGAGGACTGGACCTTTAAATCTGCAGTACCTTTGACAGCCAGCAGGGGGGCACTCGACAGGTTTCAAACATGAGTCTGATAAAATAAAGGTCTTGATCCTGTTCTCAGTGAGTTTAGTCCCTCAGTTAACACGCTTTAATGAGTCTGGGGTCTCAGTCTAAAATTCCTGCTTCTTTCCAATACAGCCTGATGTGTATTTAGTAAATTATGTTCTTGTTTACGTTTTATTTGTGCTTCATTTACCGATGAACAAAAAGACGTTAACAACATTTCACTGCTAAGATTTAAGAGACAGTTTCTCTGAGCTTCAGAAATCCAGGATCTGAGTTTGAGCAACAGCCACAGCATGCTACCCTTCATCGTTTTAGGCTGAATCTTATTCTAATATGAGAGGGGCGGGGCTCTAATACAAGGAGGAGGGGCTCTACTATGAGGAGAAGGCGGGGCTCTAATACAAGGAGGAGGCGGTGCTCTACGATGATGAGGAGGCTGGCTCTATTTAAAAGAGGCGGGGCTTTTATTCATGGGGGAGGCAGGACTTTTATTGAATATGGAGGCGGGGCTTTTAAACAAGGAGGAGGCGGGACTTTTTTTGAAGATGGAGGCAAGTCTTTGATATGAGGAGAAGGGACCCTTATCAGAGAAGGAGGAGGAGCTTTGATACCTGAAGGAACCAGGGCTCTCCTTAGAGGGGGAGGTAGACTTTAATAAAAAGAAGGAGGCTGGGCTCTACAATGATGAGGAGGCGGGCTCTACTTGAAAGAGGCGGGACACTACTGTGAGGAGGAGGCAGGGCTCTAAAACAAGGAGGTGGAGAGGCTTTGATACAAGGAGGAGGCAGTTTTAATTTGATGAGGAGGCCGACTCTACTTTGAGGAGGCGGGATTTTGATATGAGAAGGAGGCGGGACTCTTATACAAGGAGGAGGCGGTACTTTTTTTGAAGATGAAGGCGGGGCTTTTATACGAGGAGGAGGCGGGACTCTTATCAGAGAAGGAGGCGGTGCTTCACGTTGATTGTGTTCTCTGCAGCTCTGCTCTAACAGGAAACTCTTGCTGATGTTGTCGGTCACAAATATCTCTGTTATTACCTGTAACTGTTTCTGCATCGATGTTGGTAGAACCAAAACTCCACCATGAAGAAACATTTTGTCAAACTATTTCAAAAATTTTGCTAAAATGTGAATTTAGTTTTGTTTAAAATCTCTTTGAATCCCTTCTTCGAGGATACATGAGTTCAAACTGTCAAAGTGAGTTTCAGGGTCGTACCTCGCTCCGTTCTTTGGACAGCAGGACGAAGCCGTTGTTGTCGACTACGAAACAGTTCAGATCCTGAACAGAGGAAAACGAAAAGTTAAAGTTTGATATTAAATATTTTAACAGAAAGTTTTGATTAAAAGTTTGGAGAAGAGAAAGTAGAGACACTTACAAAACTCTCACAGTTGAGAGGACACACACCCTCCACGTTTGAACACTGAAGTAAAGACAGAGACACTGTCTGAAATCTGTGACCCGGCATTAAAACTTAAATAAAAACAGCTGATTAATAACCTCCAAAAAACACAAACTGTCTGATTTAAAGTGACTGTGTGCGTCAGGAGGGGGCGCATGTGCAGACAGGATAAATTCAAGTTTACTCACGTCTGTGTCGCTGGGCTGGAAGCATCAAGATGAAGAGAAGGAAACACAGAAAAGACGAATATTAAAGATTCAAACATTTCCAATAATGATATCTGCATTTATTCAGATTTAGTCCTGCAGCTTTAGAGATGAAAATGAAAAGAGAGAAGTGATATAAAAACATAAAATTTTTTCAGTCTAAAGGAAATAAGAGAAGAGAGGAACAGCTCGGACTCTCAGCGTTCATGGAGAGGTTATATAAACGTCAGGACCCGTGAGTGAGCTAATGTGAGCGGTGAATATTATTAAAGCGTCGGTCACAGCTGTCAGCTCTCATTAATAATCTTATCTGCACCGTCAACCTCTACAGGACATCTGCACAGCCGCCCGCTGCTCCACTGAGCCGCAGGAGACGACGGCAAGGTCACAGACCTGGAGGCGGAGGGTAGAGCCCCGGTCAGTCTGTGCAGATGAGGAAACATCAGGAATACATGAGGAACGATAATGACGGATCGAAGTGAGTCGGTTTTTAACGTTTATGACCCACACAGAATTCACAAACCACAAGAGTCCAGGTATGTCAGGGCATCTGGATTTTCACTCTGATACGACACCAGAGGAAATGTTGAATTTTTATACGTGTTCAGGACCACAGTGACCAAAAAATGTGAAAGATTTCAGCCTAAACAAAGTTCTGGTTCAGAAACAGTCAGTACAACTGGGACTAGACTGGCATGTTTTGATCGGGTTCATCAAGAACTTAAATCACCGACTGTATAAAACATGGATGTAGTCTCAGTCATGGAACCCAATAGTCTTTAAATTCAGGATGTATTATAAAGCTCACAGAGATCTTTCAGAGTATCATGGAGAAGAAAACTTCAGTGGATATCAACAGGGGTTCCTCAGGGCTCAGTACTTGGTCCTGATTGGACTCTTCAAGGTGACACACCTGTCTTAGCTGGAATCCCATCATGCCTCAGTGACATTTCTTAATTGATGAGCGACCCCGACCTTCAGCGAAACCAAAACTGAGCTCCAAATCCACAGATAAGACCAAACAATCTAGTTTTTACTCTAAGTCTGCCCTGAATCAGCTGATCTTTAAAGGGATATTCTGGTGTAGAATTAATTTATGGTCAAACCCACCGTAACACCAAGTTAGACCCCCCCTCCAGAGATGAATGTTGCCGACCGCTTGCTTCTCTAGTTATACCAACTTTAGTAACGACCGCAGGATAGAAATACAGAGAGCCACGCCCTCAACCAAAACGCCACTCTATAGCCACAAATAATGCTCAGAACAGCACCTAACTTCATCAACAGGACATATAGGGTCACAGCCATAGTACTAGACACCAAACATCTTTTTAACTTTGACTCATTTCTTTAGCAAAGAGACTAAACACAACTCACCTACTCTCTTCCAGCAGCCGCTTGTTTGTAGGAGTCGATTACCGAGTGCAGCGGAGTTTCACAGCTCAAGGAAGAACATTTATGATCATTTCTTTATCATTTCCTTGAAGTAATAATCATCATATTAATCATTTTACAGACGCAGTAGTTCTTCTGTCTTAGCGTCTCGGTCTGATTGTATTTCCATGAAGAAATGATCATAAATGTTCTTCCTTGAGCTGTGACACCCCGCTGTAGTCCGTAATGGACTGGCCATTGGATGAGAGTAGGTGAGTTGTGTTTAGTTCATTTCTCTTTACTGCTCCTCGTCTCAGCTCACATCAAATACACAACTTTACTTCTTCTGCAGCCAATCTGGAATCTGCTCTGCTACTGAGGGGCGCCTGGGACTCCCATCACAGCAGGGCCCGAGGTCGTGATCCAGGCTCTTCTCCTCTGTAGTCCCTGTCTACCTCTAAGACACTCCTGAACTTCTGGAGTCAGAGTTTCTGGTAGTTTTTGTGTTTTGTCTTTTGTCGGTTTGTGTCTTAGATTTCCGTCCGTTTTGATCGTCACGTGTCGTCTCTGTCTCTGTAAAACTGTCATGGTCGTGAGAAACTAACTTTTCCGTTTCTCCTTCTTTTCCTCACTTGTGAAAGCGAGAGTGGACTAATGAGCTTCGGAAACCTTCATCGTCACTTTGGTCTCTTTGGGGTCAAATCCTGTTGTTTTACATTTTAATGGGACCTAATTATGAACACTTTCCACTTTAATCTTCATTTGAAAAGTCTGAAGGATTTAATGGATATAATTAAAGGGAGATCTGTTCCCTAACGGAGGAAATGAAAAGTTGAAAAAACGACCTCTGAATCCTGAGGATTATTACTGCACATTCAGGCTCGAATTCGTCCTTGAGAACTTGGTGAAGCGTGCGCGCCAATGAGCCGACCGACTTCAAATCAGGTAAGGTCGAAGTAGATTTGAAACACAGGTCAGAAAATGACTTTCCACACGTGTGAGAGGAGGAGTGAGTCATCCTCTCACCTGCTTGGTGATGTCCCAGAACCTCTTTTCCATCCAGTCCAAGGAGAACTGCAGCCCGATGGCTAAAAATAGAAAAGACACACAAGTATTAGAGACAGGACAAGATGAACTCTGCAGATGCGGCGCCGAACACTCCGCCGTGTTTGTGGAGGGAGGAGGAGGAGGAGGAGGAGGACGGGAAATCAATTCGACCCTGAGTTCACCTCTGCCGTGTCCCGGCTCTAATGAAGGGATGTAAACACTGATGAGCCTGATGGCGTGTGCGCTCCCTGCAGCAGCTTTATTACTGCGAGCATCAAAGTGACTCCCACAGCAGCATTAAGGAGCGAGACCATAATCTGTTGACAATCTGTGTGCGGGGAGATGAGCGCCGGAGGACGCTAACATGTCGCCGTGTCTCTGAGAAAGAGTTTACAGAACTCACTGGACCCGGGTCCAACCGAAAAACTACGATGGAAGCTAGACTATCCAACGCCGCAGATGGATGCCGTGGTTTCAGGCCCATGCGGTGATGTCCACTACAGAGTCATGTTTGTTTTTAACCCAGGACCGCATCAGTCCAGGACCCTTCTCCTACAGAGCCATGCTGTTGTCAGAATATAGTTTAGTCTAAAACTGAGGATGCAGCATCTATGATTTCCAGTTCTTCGTTGAAAGGACAACTGGACTTACTTGAGACGTTTCGCCTTTAAGTCCAGTTGTCCTTTCCAAACGAATGTCAGATTTTGATCCATAAGACCACCTTAAATGGACTCAGGTCGACATGACAGGGTCTCTGATGATCCCAAGACCATCAGGGATGCTGGATTTGGACTGGGCGCTGAGAACAAGTCGGGTGGACCAGCTGTAAGCGGTCTAATGGTGTTAGATTTTGATCTATCAGACCTCAGGACGGTTCTCCTCTTAGTCCACCATAAATGGACTCAGGTCCAGAGAAGTCTCTGGTGTTCCTGGATCCTGGTTCTATCTAGATTCCTCTTTCCTGGTTCAGTTCGAACCTCATTAGTAGACACAGCGATGAACTGTGATTTCCACTCCAGAGTCTGTTTTTAACGCCCTGAGGATCAGGACCATCCAGTCCTGGTTTTGGTCCTTGTCCCCCTTTAGTACAGAGATTTCTCCAGATCCTCTGAATCTTTTTATTGATATTATCTACAGTAGACGATGAAATCCACTCAAACTGTTGAACTGTTAGCTCACGCGGTCTCTCACAGAGTGACCTTTGACCTGTTTGGTCGGTCCTCTAAAAACTTTTTAGAACTTTTTGCTTCCGTCAAATTTCAAATAAGCGTAAAGTTCTATAGTTTTAACATTTGGTAAGTTGTGTTTGCATTAGAGGTGTCCTGATACGACTATTTTACTTCCCATACAATACTGATAATGTAGCCTTCAGTATCGACTGATACCGATATTGATCCGATATTAGCACAAACTTGTGCATGACAAGTTTTTCACTCAGCTGTAACGTCTTTTCAGACTGTAACGAAAAATACCGACACACGGCTGACATCACTCCGACTCCTAGCTTCTTTGTTCGTACTTTAGTACACACTGTTGTTGTGATCACGTGGGCGCTACATGATCGATCCGGTGCTGCTAGATAGAGGTGCAGGAGCGGAATCTGGAATGGACTGCTTCTATCAGCGTGCTGATATCGGAGATTTTAAAAGCAGGCCGATATGATCCGGTATTTGTTTTTTGTTTATCGGGACAGCCTGTTTGGCTCTGTTTTATAGAAATAGAAAGTTGGAGTGATATCAAACCATCGACAGCTCATGTTTCATAACTGTTCGTGAAGTTCTGGTCCCGGAGTTTAGATGAACACATGAATGTGTCTCTTATGGACCCGGCAGGTGGCTTATTGTTGGATCGTGTTATTAAATCACCTCCGACCCGAAAAAGCCGCAGTTTGCTGCTTCTATTTCATTAAAACCAGAGCAGAGTAAAACCACAATCATCCTGCCGAGCTCCACAGATCCAGTTTCTCTCTGAGCCTCGGACACATCAGTCAGCGAGAGCGCGGCGTTAGAGGACCGGCGGGGGTCGTTTCTACTCACGCGAACAGAAGAGCTGCTGCTGTGTTTGTCACCTCAGTAATGAAAACTCTTCCTCATACAGGCAGCTGGTCTGAACCATCACACTCACCAACTAATGAATGATCGGAGGCCACATGTGGAGCCGCGTGTTATTGGGGAGCAGGGCGGCTGTAAAAACGGTGATTTCAGGTCGTCTGTGGTTAGAGGAGGTTTCAGCGTACGGCTGAAGATACTTAGTGATGCTGCAGGACACAGAAAAAACTACAGGGACCAGGTCCACAATATAGACCTGGATATGAAGAGGGGGAGTCAGATTAACCCCAGGAGGAGGAGAGAGGAGCGAGAGAGAGAGAGAGACATAGTTGTAAATCGTGTTACAAGTCCACGTCTAGATGTGATGAAGAGTATTAGAGTTTAAAGTGGCTTAAAGTTCCAGTTTTTAGGATAAATCTTGAATGTAAACTCTACCCCTCCAGACCAGTTTTCCCCTCAGCTCCTCCCCTCTTAAGCCCCGCCCACAAACAGACGCTCCTGCTCGCTCGTCTCGTTCCAATTAAATTCAGATATAATGCAGATAAATCCTTCAGATCATTACAAATGGGGCCCAGTCAAGGTGAAAGTCAAAAGCATTGGTGCTACTGTAGATGCCAACAGACTACCAGCAAACACAATGTTTGCAGGACTTCTACAACGAGGATAAAGTGACATAGTCCAGGACCCGAGGGAGGACAGTTTAGCGATGGCGCTACAACACGCTACAGCAGGTCCGTTTGACAAGAAACACTTCTGTTACAGACACTTGTCTTACTTTGTTAAAGCGGTTTACCTGTCCAGCAGAAAGGTTACAGGGTCACCAAGATCCCCAAGCGTCCCCCATCGTTTATGTTGACCCGGCTTTTTAGCTCTTGTCCGGTCTACCTCCGTTTTAAGCGCCCGTTATTCCTCCAGAGTCTCCGGTATTTACTTTGTTTTCTTGCTTGTGTCGGCAGTCGTGGCCAAAGGAGGATTCAGACAATTTTCCGAACTTTCTGGTTGGTTTCTACTGTCCGATATTGTAGCACGCTAACTTTGTTTGGGCTCCTGAACGACACGGGGGAGCAGCATTTTCTTGTTGACTGTTTTCTTGTTGACCGGTTTGGTGTTGACTGTTTTCTTGTTGACTGTTTAATTGTTGACTATTTTCTTGCTGACTGTTTTCTTGCTGACTGTTTTCTCGTTGACTGTTTAATTGTTGACTATTTTCTTGCTGACTGTTTTCTTGCTGACTGTTTTCTCGTTGACTGTTTAATTGTTGACTGTTTTCTTGCTGACTGTTTTCTTGTTGACTGTTTTTGGTGTTGACTGTTTATGGTTGACTGTTTTCTTGTTGACTGTTTTCTTGTTGACTGTTTTGGTTTTGACTGTTTTCTTGCTGACTGTTTTCTTGTTGACTGTTTTGGTTTTGACTGTTTTCTTGCTGACTGTTTTTTGTTGACTGTTTTCTTGCTGACTGTTTATGTTTGAGTCTTTTCTTGCTTGTGTCGGCAGTCGTGGCCAAAGGAGGATTCAGACAATTTTCTGAACTTTCTGGTTGGTTTCTACTGTCCGATATTGTAGCACGCTAACTTTGTTTGGGCTCCTGAACGACACGGGGGAGCAGCGTCTGCCTCACAACCAATCAGGTTAGAGGAGGTGGAGAACGTCTTTGTTTACAGTCAGAAAGAGCGGAGCGCTCAAAAATGTTCAAATGTTGACGACACAGACATAAGAGAACACAGAGATATCGATATATTACCAAATGTCATCAATAACTAATAACTATTGACTGATATTAAAGATTTTATGTTTATACACCACTAAAAAAAGATGCTTCTTTAACGTTTTCCTGCCTACTTCACCTTTAAATCGAACACAAAACTAAAAAAGTTCAAAAAGACCAAAATGAGACTCAAACTAACAGAGTCTAAATCTGGATCTGAGTCTGAAACAGCGGCTGAAATCACAGGCCCGCCCTTTAAACCGCTTTAAATCATCAACCGTCTCTGACTCTGAGTCTGGATGTTTGTGCAGAGAGGATGTGATGCTGCAGGAGGTGTGACCTTTGGGTCCTTTAAACCTCTTACCCCCCTCCCTCCCTTTCTTTCTTTTGGAGGATTCTCCTCTCTGCAGACTCAGAGCTCTGCAGCTTTGCTCTTTCATTTCATTTCTCTCTTATTTTTCTCTCCTTTCCCGTCAGCAGCAGCGTCCTTATCGCCGCCCTTCAGCGCTGCAGCTGCAGCGTCGTCTCTGCTGCAGTCTGCGCTCCCGAACAAGAACGGGTCCACGACGAGAGCGACGGGACAAAAACATCAGACGCTTCTTTTTAACCTGATGTTGAAATTTCTCACGGCGTGCTCGCTCTCAGGATTAGAGTGTTTTTATGAGCGGCGCTGATGACAAAGTCAGAGACTCTGCAGGTTTATTCTCACAGGAGAGTCTTTTACTTCCCTCAGCCACTCCAAGTCTAAATGAAGTCTTACTTTTGATCCTTTCCGGCAAAGTCATCAGCTCATCTCTCAGTTTAAGACACAAAAAAGACAACTCATCCTGCTACAGAGCTGAGGATCATATAACACTAAATTTATCCCAATCAGAAAGGAACGATGCAAAGTTTTTACCTGTTTTTAGTCCAACTTCACCTCTGCAGGGTCGGGATAAAGAATAAATACGCAGGAACAGAAGGGCTGGGCGATATGGGAAAAATCTATCATGATATTTAATATCAGTCGATATCGATCAATATCAGGATATAAAAATCTAACAGTGTTTATTGGTCTCATGTCTTTTCCAACACAATAATCTCCTGCATCTGTGAGGTCTTTGTGTCTCTTTGGCGTTTTGTCGTAAGGCGTTGCTCTAGAGAAAGACGACTGAATGGTCGTCTGTTTCGGCTCCTCGCTCCTCTCGGGGTTTGTAACCTTTTGCGTTGCGCGTGCTCTGCGGCGTGGCGCTGCTTCAGGTGGTGAAAAAGATTTGAGGTATTCCCCGACTTTGTGAGAACATGTACTCGACATAATTTACAGTCCACATTACTCTGCTTCATGTCCGACCTCAAAACACCAAAATACCTCCACGCCACCGATGTTTTCCTAACGCCAGTGTTGTGGTTGACATTGATGTGGTCATCTGTTGAGCCTTCATGGTCATTTCTGTCGGGGGTAGCACTCATTTTCTTTGTTTCTCACCAACAGTGCTGTCGGCTTCACCTGTTAAAGTGCTATGGTTGGGTGTAGCTGCTGTGTGCTATGATGCAGTTGGTTCTAATTCAGAACATGATTGGTTCAGACCTGGAGACACTCCCCTTTTCATTGGCTATTCGTGCAGTCGACCAAAACATGTCAGAATGACGACTATCGAAAAGGATAATTAATTTTCGATATATATCGTCATCGTTTTATCGCCCAGCCCTGATACACAGCAGACCCGACCACCACACATCACTCTTGCAGCCTGGGGAGTCAAACTGTTTCCTCCAGATGAAAACTTCAACGTCGCTCTTAAACTTTCAAACCCCTCGGACAGGAAACAGCTGCCTCCATGTTAACTAGCTAACAAGTGACGGTCACTTTTCTGGGGTCTGTTAAAGCCCGAGTTTGTCCCCGACACTTATTTTTAATAGTGGATACTCGTTTGGGAACGTGTCTGATTATGACCTTTGATGGAAGAAAGACACTTAGAAGTGGCGCCACCTGCTTGATCCACGCCGCCATGCCAAATTTTCAGAAAAGTCATGAAAATTAGATTACAGCGCCACCTACAGGGAAAGAAACCTCTCTCTGCAGTTTGATCATCTTTAAAAGGTTCAAAAGTGCGAAGTTTACTTCAAAATTTAGACTTTGTTCTGCCTCCACCTTTTTTTGATGAAATATTTTGATTGAGTGTTCTTCGTTCTCGTGACGTAGTTTGGTGTAAACAAACATCCCTCTCTCTCGCTCTCTCTCTCTCTCTCTCTCTCTCTCTCTCTCTCCTGTCTTCATTCATTCACAGCCCAGCCTGCAGCAGCTTCACTCTGCTGTTACTATTTCTGACAAACTGCTTTAATGCCTTTACACACTCAGTACAACACAGAGAGGATGCACACACACACACACACACACACACACACACACACACACACACACACACACACACACACACACACACACACACACACACACGCACGCACACACCATTAGCAGCAGCTCAGCAGCAGCATCTCTCTCTCTCTCTCTCTCTCTCTCTTAAGCACACACACACAGGCTCGCTCGCCCTCAGTCGGCAGAGGAAGCTGAGGGAGCAACAGTGAGGATGGAGACAGAGAGGAGGAGGAGGAGGACTGGCCGCGTTAATCCGGAATAAAAGTCCAGGTCCTGTTTTTTTTTCAGTCTGGAGACAAACTCAGACCTGGAGTGAAGCTTTTTGATTTTTTATTTCTTCAAACGTCCAGATTTTTGTTTCTCCTGGTTCACAGACGGACAAGCGTTGGTTGTTTTCACTTTAGAGTCGTCTTCGGCGTCTTTTCTTGCAGCTGCAGATGAAGCAGGAGACGAGCAGAGTGTGTGTCCTCTCTCTGTTTGGAGGCTGAAGCAGCAGCAGATGGTGAGCAGCGTGTGTGTGTGTGTGTGTGCAGATACTGAGTGCACATCCTGAGCATGTGCCTTTGACAGTGAGAGTGTGTGTTTTTGTCGAGTGCGCGGACACTCCTGCACGTCTACTTCAGCAGATTTCAGTCAAATCTGAATTCTGTAGAAAATGTCAAAAATACTGAAATGTTTCGGGGGAAAAGTGTCGTTTGTGTTTCTGGATTTGTCCTGAAAAAAACTCAAAGATAAATCGTCACTAAAGTTCAAAACTAGAGCAGACCGGTCTTTTGTCGTTTCTGTTTCTATTGGTGCAAATTTAATAAACAATGCAGAAATATTCAGTTTTTTACCGTGCACTACTCTCTGTGCATGAATCCACCTCCATAAATAAAGAGTTCTGACGAAAACAAACTCAACTTCTCTGCAGGAACACCAAACTGTTCGCAGCAGATCCTGATCCATCTAAAAATGACCGGACCTCGAATCAGATCTGTTTCAACTCTGTCAAACTTTCATGGTGTTAAAATTGTCAACGTTAATAGTTGCTGCACTGCCAACTAGTGTTCAGGTTGGGTATTGCAGAGCGATGTTCACACTCCAGCGCAGAAGTACGAGCTTTAGGTCCAATATTTACTACGATTTTAGCCCGTTTGAGACAAATCGGTAATCGGCCAAAACTCGCCGATTTTCACCGATATTTTCAGAAATAAAATTCGGTTTCACTACGAAAATGTTCCGCCATTTGAAAAGTTCCCTGACTTATCCTGTAGATGGCGCTACAGCGACCTCATGCCGATCTTCACCCACTAACTCCCTCACAGCACAGCAGAGTGACGGATCTGAAGCAGCAGCTCAGGGACACGGAGGAGAGTGGTCCGCCTCGACGGTAAATAAACCAGTTTGTGAAAAACACAATAAGTCAACAAGTTTCAGTTCAACCCACTTCACCATGTTCCCCGCTGTGCTGGTCTCGGTCACGCCCACTTAACGCTGAAGCACCATGGGATATGAAGCTAAAGTTAGAGTTAGCCACCTGCTGTTAGCCTTGCTACACTGTTAGCCGTGTCAGTAACGGTAGAATAAACAACAGAACACATTAGTGATCGAGATACTTCTCTGACTGAGGCAGCTGCATGTCTCCAGATCAGACCGGACCGGACATGAGGAACGGGAGTGAAGACGAGGAGGCACCGATCGGCGGGGTTGAAAACGCTTTTCTGGTCTGAGTTTGATCAGTCGGTCTTCCTGTCAGCGTGAAGAGCAGTAGCTTACAGTATATCTACAGTATATATGTTTATTTTTTATAACTTAATAAAACATTTTAAAAAATCGGCTGATTAATCAGTATTTAGATTTTTTTCCTCCCTAATAATCGGCATCAGCCCCAAAAAATCCATATCGGTCAAACAAAGTTAGGATGTACGATGACGTCCAGGAAAGCTGCTGAAACATTTAGAGTTCATGTTGGACGATGATGGAGGGTTTTAGGATGAGTTTTGAGTTGATTTCTGCAACTTGGTTCAAAATTTTTGTATAAAGGAAACAAATCGAAGACTGGATCAGAGCGTGTCCGACCATCACGATCTGAGCGCTGAGAGGAGAGCAGAGACACGAATCAGACAGGGGTGTTTCTTTCTACACAGCAGACTCAGACTTTATAAAACTCGTCGTCCACTCGGACGCTCTTCATACTTCTCACTGATGTGCTGTTGAATTTTCAGGGAGGTACCGCGCTGTAGACTTTGGTCTTTGGTCCTGGTTTTTGTTGGTCTAAGGTGTCCCCTTTATGCCCGCCCATCTTCAGACTGACTGATCTCCAGACTAGAAGCTGAAGTAAAAGTTCACCCGCTCCCACACTGGGTATTAAACTGACGAGTGCAGAGAGACAATTATATTAAGCTTCCATAAATCTTCCCTCTTGTCCTAAAGTCCTTAAGATTAAGTCAGATCTGCAGACCGTCCCAAAGTCTCAGTTTTAGGTTTTTAAAAAGCAGTGACAGTGAAAAGGTTCCCCTCAAATCCCTGATCCATGTCCCTAAAGACTGAAACTAAAGGAGTGGAGGTCTGAATAGAAGCCCTGTATTATGGAGACACGTCTAAAACTATCGCTCTTCAGTGCGGTCAACAGCGGTCTGCAGATTCTTGGTCGTGCTCATGCACCAGTGCATGCTGGTCCTTTTAACAGAGAGTCTAAAAGCATGGAGGAGTGATCTGAGCTGCTGCTGCTGCTGCAGTGTTTGGACCGGGCGCTCAGCTGACTCCTTCTCAGGCTGTTCGGAGGAAAAGAGCAGCCATGGGGGGTGGAGACGGGGCGGGGGGTCTGCCTGTCAGAGGCCATTAAGCAGCCGGCAGGACGCTGAGACCGAGAGAACGAGGAGAGGGAGAGGAGAGGAGAGAGAGGAGAGGAGAGGAGAGGAGAGGAGAGGAGAGGAGAGAAGAGGAGCACTGGAGAGGAAGTCAACGACAGGACTTAAGGAGAGAAAGGAGAGAGAGAGAGAGAGGAGAGAGGGAGAGAGAGAGAGAGAGGAGAGAGAGAGAGAGAGAGAGGAGAGAGAAACAGAGAGAGAGAGAGAGGGAGAGATCAGATAAAAATCCTCCAGGAGCAAAAAAGAACTAGAGAGAGAAGAGGAGAGGAAGAGAGGGCAGCGGGGATTTTTAAATGTCAGGATTTATCAGAAATATAATAAATAAATTTGAAGAAATAAAAAACAGACAACATGGAATAAAGACGCAAAGAAATGAGAATAAAACACACCCAAGAGGAGGAGGAGGAAGAGGACTAAGATGGGATGTTCTGACTCCTTCTGGAGCTGAAAACCATTTTATTATCGAAGGTCCTCCTCCTCATGTTCCTCTCCTCTCTCCTTTCATGAGTTAAAGTTGAATCTGAAACTTTTCTCTGAATTAGAAAAGTTCGTATTTGATGATTTTCAGCCTGATCAGAATCGATTGTTTTTGTTTATCAGTCAAGTCCTGGTCTCGATCCTCGTCTCTCTACTGCTGGTCTCAGATCTGCTCATTGTTGAAGTTTGATTTCTTCTTAACAGACGATGTTTATCTCGTACAAACTTCTGCGCTTCCTCAGGCGGAAAAAGGTAGACTGTCTTCTCCGGGTGAGGGTAGGATGGAGCGAGAGATCGACAGGCGGATCGGAGCGGCGTCAACTTATTAGTCGTGGTGAAGAAAGAGCTGAGCCGTAAGACGAGACTCTTGGTGGATCCTCACCTATGGTCATGAACTTTGGGTAATAACCGAAAGAACAAGATCGCAGATACAAGCGGCTGAAATGGGTTTCCTCCTCAGGGTGTCCGGGCTCAGCCTTAGAGATAGGGTAAGGAGCTCGGACACTCTGGAGGCGCTCAGAGGAGAACCGCTGCTCCTCCACGTCCAGAGGAGTCAGCTGAGGTGGCTCGGACATCTGGTTTGGACGCCTTCTGGACGCCTCCCGTTAAAGGAGACCTCGTGGTCGGCCCAGGACCAGGTGGAGGGATTACATCTCTCGTCTGGCCTGGGAGCGCCTGGGAATCCCCCCAAAGGAGGAGCTGGTGGAAGTGGCCGGGATGAGGGCCGTCTGGGCTTCCCAGACCCTCTGCACACGTGTAGAGGTCAAACAGTGAATCCACAGGAGACAGGGGTTACCCACTAAAGCTCAACCCACTGACCCTCCACACACCATAAGATCATGAAGCAGGGACTCGGACTGTTATCACCACTATTTGTCCTCTCTCCAAAGGCCGCGGTCCTCAGTTATCACGCTGTTGTTCGTCTGTCGTCTTTAAAAAGATTTTCAGGATAGAAAAGTAATCGTCTCGAAAAGAAACCACTGAAGACCGAGCTCTTTCCTCCGAGCGTGGGCGGACTCTGTACTCCTCTGATACACCTACTGGGTCAGGTTTGAGTGAATCTGACATCGTCCTGACCTACACCCAGCAGCGCCTGAGCTCTCTGCGGCGTCCCTAAAAGTCACGAGTCCAAAAGAGAGAGAGAGAGACGCAGGAGAGAAAGACAGAGAGGAGAGCAGGGAGACCTCTCAGACCTCTCCGCTCGCTTTGTTTGGCTCCTCGTCTTTAAGCCTCACAGGTCTGATGGCGTGTGAATCCATCGAACACAGAGCGAGTCGAGTCTCTCTGTTTTTCCTCGTGTGTAAAAATTGACAACAATAGACTCTGTGTCCCGTCCACTCGGGGAGATTACGTCAGGATGTGTCTTGTTCCACTGGAAATCCTCCTTAATGCATCCTCTCCATGTCACATGATTTAGCATCAATCTGTTGTTCGCCGCTTCAGACGGGGAGGGAGGTCAGAGGTCATCCTCTCCTCAGGTCACCCTGCTCCGATAAAGACTCGTCGCTCATCCTCTTACAGGCCGCGGTTTTAGACGTAATATGACTGACAGCTGTCCGTCAAAGCCTCATTCAGACGCCAGCCTGTGCGGTGTGTGTTTGTTGTTATTGTTACTTAAAGGGATATTCCGGCGTAAAATTAAGAGAGAGATGAATGAGATGAGATGAGATGGATGTTGTCGACCGCTTGCTTCTCTAGTTATACCAACTTTAGTAACGACCGCAGGATAGAAATACAGAGAGCCACGCCCTCAACCAAAACGCCACTCTATAGCCACAAATAATGCTCAGAACAGCACCTAACTTCATCAACAGGACATATAGGGTCACAGACATAGTACTAGACACCAAACATCTTTTTAACTTTGACTCATTAGACTAAACACAACTCACCTACTCTCTTCCAGCAGCCGCTTGTTTGTAGTGAGACTTCCAGCCCGGGGTGTCGCAGCTCAAGGAAGAACATTTATGATAATTTTTTTATCATTTCCTTGAAGTAATAATCACCATATTAATCATTTTGCAGACGCGGTAGTTCTTCTGTCTTAGCGTCTCGGTCTGATTGTATTTCCATGAAGAAATGATCTTAAATGTTCTTCCTTGAGCTGCGGCACCCCTCGTTACAACAAGCGGCTGCTGGAAAAGAGTTTCTTTAAATCACTGAAACCGGAAAAAAAGTAGCTCGTCTGGAGGAAAGTGAGTTGGGAGGTCAGATTACCTGGTAAATTGTATAAAAACATTTGTCTATCACTTGATCTCACTGGGATTACTGTTGAAATTACTGTTGACGCGTTAATGAGTAAATACTTTATATTCATGTGTCCAGATTTGCGCAAATTAAGCGAGTAGATGATTTTACTTGCGCTTGGTGTGAGCGCCCCATTAGACGTTGGGCAGTATGACATAAACTACTTATTTAATTTCACATAAACAAAACAGAAATGCTAATAAATAAAACATTACAAGAGCTTTCACTGTTACGCCGACTTCAGGGGGGCGTTCCGGATGAATTTCTGACTCGGGGCTCAGAAATCCAGACTTCCCGACAACTGGAACGCAGCATAACCCACGCAGACTCTCTTAAAAATGGTGAATTATCCTTTCTAAGTCAGTCTACAGCTCCATACTGCACACAGAACTTAATAACTTTACCTTAGCTTTATTGTATCTGTTTTTATTTGTCATACATTGTGATTTTTAAGTCTTGATTGCTGTAAATTTCGGCAGATTTTTTGCACAAATCAAACACGGATTTCTGCCTTTTTTGTAAAAGTCGACCAAACAGGAAGATCTCCAGGAATGAAGGTAGAAGGAAAGGTGGTTTTTCGGAGTTTTAATCGATGGTAGGAGTGACGTTGTCCATTATGTTAGCATAGAGTGTTTGGAAGAATCTGTTTTTGAGACCTTGGCTCTGAAAATTTGGTGTCTGAATTATAACGTCAAAGTCTGTGAAGCAATGTGAAGTCAAGGATGGAGGTCAGTCTCTTTTAATTTTAAATATGCAAAGTTATAAAAAGTGTCTTTTCCTACTAACATGACATCTTTTAAACCTGCCTGACTTTTGAGGTTTGCAAATGTTTGTTCTTCTGCAAACTCAAAATGAAGTCTCGGTTTGTCTGTATGTGAAGGAAAAGAACTGCAGAGGCTTGAAGAAGAGCCTGAAGGTTCTGGTTTGGAGCAGCAGGTCAGAGCCGCTTCTTGTTCGGAGGCGGATTAGAAATCAACGTGTTGATGTGAGAAACAAATCCATACAGGTCAAAGAAAATCAGCCAAGCAGCTCTCTCCGAGCAGAACCTGCACAACATCTGAGAGCAGGAACAAGGAGAGCCAGCGGGACCAACATGGACGCTGGAAACGCAGAGGTTTTCCATCGCATCGTGGTTTTCAGCCCAGAAGAGGCTAACCTTACGACATCATCATTCAACTAGCTGAACATCTGGGAGGAATGAGCTGCACCAAAGTGAACAGCAGCTCAGCTCTCAGCCCCTAAACCCTCTGTCATAAACCTCTATTTTAATTTATTGACTCACAGCAAACTGAAAATTAAGCCCCAAAAAAATCATCTTTGTAAAAGTCAACAGCAGCTCAGCTTGCAGTCTTTACAGCGCCAACTAACATCCTTGAGGATTAGTTTCATATTATTGTCACTTTTTCATACTCTAGCTGTTTAGGGATTTGGGGGTTTAGTAAATCTGGCAAAACGGGAAGAACAGCTCAGCTTGCAGCCCCTAGAGGCCTCTCAGAGAGGAGTACCAATTTATTTCATGCCATTGATGCTTCTTACGTTGTGGTTGATTACATATCTTGTTTTTGATGAGTCTACTCTAACAAAAGCTCTCCAGCAATGAACAGCAGCTCAGCTCTCAGCCCCTAAAAACTCTGCCATTGTTTATATTTTGATTGCATAAACCTTTATTTTAATGTTGTTGAAGAATTCAACTCACAGTCACTGAAAATTAGAACAAAACCCCCAAAAAACCTCTTTGCAAAAGTCAACAGCAGCTCAGCTTGCAGTCTTTACGGCTCCAACTAACATCCTTGGGAATTAGTTTCATATGATTGTAACTTTTTCAGACTCTAGCTGTTAAGGGATTTCTGTTTTTAATAGCTGGATATTTTAACTTTTAGCACACAGTAAATCTGGCAAAAAGGGAGGAGCAGCTCAGCTTGCAGCCCCTGAAGCCCCTCGAACAAGTAACTACATTCTTGACAATTTATTTCACCTTATTTTCATTTTCCATTTTGATTGTTTCAGGCGGTCTTTTGTTAATTAGATGAATATCTGAACTCTGCAAAAGTGAGCAGCAGCTCAGCTCACAGCCTCTTAAGCCTACCTAAGCACTTTGCATAAAGAGAGTTATAATGTAAACGTCCTAACTCTGTGATTTCAGCCGTTTTTCTCACAGTTATAGTTTATAACGAAGGACCACTCATCCTGGGAACCGAGCTCTAAGTTTGCACTCCTGGACCCCGGTTCATTTGAATTGACGTCAGCTCCTCTCAGGGTCACATTTGCCGCTCTGTCCTCTTTCTTCATTGTCATTTCTCCTAGTTTTTAATGTCACTTGTGGCCTGAAGGCACCTTCCTGCCTCACGCAGTCCGCAGCAGAGTGACTGGCATCATTGAGCCGAGTTAACAAAGAAGACCTGCAACAAAAGAAAGACCTTGAGGCGGCGCTTCTCTGGCTCTTTGTAGCAGCTACAGACTTATGATGGAGTGACAGCACTCCTCTTCTCCTCTGCAGCTTTATCTCTCATGCACACTCTCTCTCCTGCATATCTGAGCGCCTCAAACCACCAGAGATGTGCAGGGAGGCAAGCGATCATCAAAAAGTACAAACATATCTCCGATTGCACACGTGAAACAATGCTGACGGTGTACTGTTTCTGCAGCGCGCATGGAGAGCGAGTGGGTGTTGAGAAGAGAAAGTTGGCACTGACTTTTCCACCGGTGTTGGTGGAGGATTAACTCTCCTCCTTGTGTGTTCTCAGAAGAATGAAAAGGATTGAGGACAAGCGAAAGACGGCGAAATACGGCACAGCTCAGGGTCCTAATGCCAATATACCGTAGATCAGCTCTGCCGGGAGCTAAGCTGTTGATGTTTTTAATCAGCACACATGAAATACTCCACTTAATCTCTGGTGGCCGGTTGCACTCTTTACGGTGGCTGAGAGGTTTGAGAGAAAAGCTCGTAAAAAGAAATCATCTGCTCGGGTGGAGGAGCAGATGGAGAGAAGATAACACAGACGGTGGAGGACTAAACTCGAGTTTGTAAGCGACAAAATGAATGAGCCGAAAAGAGAGTAAAAGCTGAATGAGCACAGAGTGAGTCGAAAAAGGCTCAGAGAGGATTATCCTTCACAGTCGGAGGGTCTACTGTGAAGAGTCGGACTCGCTACAGAACCAGGTCACCAAGAAAAACCGTGGACAGGAGGAGCAGCGGTGGGATAGAGTGATATTTCATGAGCGCTGAATCGATATGTTTGGTCCTAGAAACCGGAGCGCACCACAAACAGTTGGATCCATCGATTAACCGTAGTTCTGCCGATCTCTCTCGATAACCTTAATTAAAGGGGAGGCAGAGCGTACAGCCTCCATCTTTGACCTCCGTTTGTGTCTTCCAGGACTTCCTCCTCAGCCGGACGTTGGTGTGAACCGACAGAAAACAGAGAGAGCCAGATGAGAGCCTGAAGCTGCAGGATAAGACATGAAGAATCGGGACCAGAATGGACCAGGTCACATGGAGAGTCTGGGTGAGTCTAAGCAGGTCCTCTAAAAGGTCGAGAAGATGAAACTTAAGACGGGTTCATGTGAGACACTAAAAGGATATTCCAGCGTAAAGTTGATTAACTTAATTTCACACCGGAATATCCCTTTAAATCCGTCTCCTGTGATGTGGTCTCAGCTCTAATGTCTCCTGTCTCTCTTTGTCTCTCTTGTCTTCCAGTCTGGTCAGCTCTGTCCAGTCTGGTCCTGGTTCTACTGGGACTGCTGGGCCAGGTCCACGGCTGTCCAGGTATCTGCACCTGCTACAATAACACCACCGACTGCTCTGCCGCCGGCCTCGTCTCCCTGACTCCCATCATCTCAGTGCTGGACCAGGACTCTCGGAGCCTTCGTCTGCCCCAGAACAACCTCTCCTCTCTGGGGACGACTGAGCTGTCCAACCTCAGCAACCTGGAGCTCCTGGACCTCTCCCAGAACCACTTCTCCACCCTGCAGGCCGGAGCGTTCTCAGGTCTGAGCGGTCTGCGCTGGCTAAACCTCTCTGCAAACTACTTTGGAGTACGCCTGGTGACCTCTGACCCCAACAACAGCACTGATGTTTCACAGGGCCTGAATGGAAGTCAAGCGAGTCTCGGTCTGAGTAAGGAGGTTTTCCAGGGGCTGTGGAGGCTGAGAGGGCTGGACGTGTCCTCCAACGGGCTCCTGTGGCTGCCAAAGGGCCTTCTGGATTTGCTCCCAAGACTCACCTGGTTGTCCTTGGCGAGCAACCGGCTGATCACCCTGGACAGAGTCACGTTCGAGCCCCTGGTCGGGCTGCAGCAGCTCCAGCTGGCCGGGAATCCCTGGGAGTGTGACTGCAGGCTGAGGGACTTTAAACACTGGATGGAGTGGTTGATTTACAGGGGTGAGCAGAGCTGTTAGCAGACCTCTCCAAATCTCAAATCCTCTGAAGTTGATAGCTTTTGGCAGTCGGCTTACAGCCCTTTAAGACCTAACCAGAGCAAATCGCTTTGTGTTTTCTGTCTGTACTTCAAAAGCTGTCTAATCGAAGCAATTAATCTCCGCTCTGCAGGACGGATGTGTGCTCAGCACAGACATCTAAGAATATAATGACCTCCATCTCTCTCAATCCTCCCCCGTCTCCCCCTGTTTGCCTCTCGCTCCTTCACTTCCTTCCTCCTCCTCTTCCTGTTTCCTCTCTTCCTCTCTCTCGTAGATGGACAGGTAGATGCGATGCAGTGCAGCCTCCCGCTGGATTTGAAGGGCAGGGATATTCGTAGCGTTCCGGCGGAGATGTTCAACTACTGCCTGCAGACTCTCACCAAGGAGGGCGCCCCGGGTTACTCCACGCGGCCTCCCTGCCCGCCAGGACGCATCAGCAGCAACGACGAATGCATCCGCCAGCGCTACCGGCCCGTCAGCGTCCGCCGAGCACACGGCACGCAGATAGTCGCGGGAGTGATCTGCGGCACGGTGTGCGTCATGATGGTGGTCGCAGCGACGTACGGCTGCATCTACGCCTCATTGATGGCGAGGTACCAGAGGGAGATGAAGAACCGCGGTCAGCCTCTGATGGCCGAGTCCGGAGCGGACACTGACGTTGAAGACGGACAAATGTCATCGCCAACATCGCCGGAAGAGTCGCCGCCGAAAGAGGCCTGCATAGTACACGGGTATCGAATCAGCAGCTTCTGACCCGCTGCTTTGGACTGATTCGACCTCCTCTGGGACGCTCTGGCTGCTTCTGCTCCTCAGCTCTCATCGCTGATGAGACGGCGTCCGCAGAGAGGAGTCCCGCGGCTGTGTGATTGTGCTGAAAATCTCCGGCGAGGACTGATTGAACCGCTAATGGAGCAGACTCGATTCAGAGAGAGGCGAGCGCTGCGGTACTTCCTTTAATGTATGGATGCTCTGTGAATTGTTATTCCCCGCGCTGCATCTCACAGCCGGCTCTTAAAGTCGTGTGAAGCTGCAGTTTGGCACTCCTTCACCTGATCCCTCTTCAGAAATATCAGACTCCCTTTTTTGTTCTCGCTGTTCGTCTTTGTTCGCCCGACAAGCACTCGCTCCAACAAGTCCAAACCTCTGTGGATCTGTGAAACGTGACGTCTCTCCTCTTATTTCTGCACAAAGTTTGTTTTCGTCTTTTTCACTTTTGTGTCGTTTACTTATTTTCACGTCTTGTAAACAGACTTCCTGTTTAAACCCTCACATTACGATCATCGTAGACAGTCCAGAGTTTTGTCGCTTTCAGGGAAACGCTGCTTTAAGCTTCATCACTGAGGTAAACTGCATTCAAACAGCTGTACTGCCACCTAGAGGGCAGGCTCTGAGCTGCAACAGCTTTCAACCCAGCACAAATGGACTCTTGAGTTCTCCAACAAACAGATAAACAGGAACGATTCTGGATTCAGCGTTAAAGACGCGTGTGAGGATATCAGCCCACAGCGACTGTAACCTCTCTGTGTTTGAGTTTCTTTTGTCCTTATTCTCTGTGAAAAGCACATCCGACGACTGTTTATCGAGCTGAAGATAATAAACTATATTTATCTAAACTGCTTTTTTATTCTTTCAAAAAAACATTTGGCCTTTTGCCTTCCCCACTGTGGTTTCCCCCCACTCCTTCTTTCCCTTTTCTAATATCAAAACAGTCAAAGTCAACATATCAAATATATTGACTTTAAAAAACGTCGTTTACACTTTAATGGAAAAAACTTATTTTTAAAAAAGTATTTAAATGGATAAAAAATGGGTAAAAAGTTCTGATAGAGGAACAACCAAACAGGTCAAAGGTTGTATTGCTAAAAAAACATCTGGAGGAACGTCTCCAACCAACGAGGTGAACGTCCAACAGGTTAGTCACATGACCAGGTCTAAGATGGACCTTCAGAGAGGCGGAGTCTCTTAGAAGGAAAGATGGAAGAGGTTCAGGACTCTGTGAGAGGCTGTGTGAGCGAACAGTTCAACAGTTTCAGAATAAAGTTCGAGAAAAATCTCTGTACTAAAGGGGGACAAGGACCAAAACCAGGACTGGATGGTCCTGATCTTCAGGGCTTTAAAAACAGACTCTGGAGTGGAAATCGCCGCATGGACTCAGAATCACTTCAAAAACCATCGACTGTGAACACAGGAAAAAGGAGACCAGATAGAACCAGGATCCAGAAACACCAGAGACTTCTCTGGACTTGAGCACTTAAGGTGGACTGAGGGGAAAACTGTCCTGAGGTCTGAAGGATCAGAATCTAACACTCTTTTGGAAAGGACAACTGGACTTGAGACGTTTTCGCCTCATAGATGCTGCATCCTCAGTTTTAAACAACATCCCCAGGTTTAGGAGGAACATCTGCATCTATCCAGACAAAGACTTTTTCAGGGAAGACCTTCAGATGATCCCAAACCACATTCTGACAACAGCATGGCTCTGTAGGAGAAGAGTCCTGGACTGATGTGGTCCTGACATGGAGACCCTGAACAGTCAAGCAGCTGAGATCCAGAATGGGACCACATTTCACTGTCAGATCTGAAACACAGATCTTCTCTCTAATGGATTGAAGCCTAAGAGCTAGTCCAGACAGGGAACATGTAGCCAGCTCTAGAGAGTTTTGAGCGACTCACCTCCGGCCACAGCTGTCCTTCCTTCAGATGACACAGTCACAGCCGTCGCCGCCACCACGTACTGCACTCCTGTTGATGACAGGTTGACCTCAGGAGTCAGAAACAGGAAATAAAAGTGAGGAAACTGAAGGTTCGATCGTTTGCGCTGCGGAGACGAACCTTTGTCATTGATGGCGTAATAGAAGAAGCTTCCAGGAGTGTTCTCCACAGCCAGGCGGTACCACAGAGGGAAGTGATCCATGGTGAACAGGTTGTCTTTATCAGACGCAGTCAGGAACCTCCTGATGAGAGGATGAAGACATGAAGAAGACGACTCTTAACATCTGAGTTTGGTTAGACTTCTTCTAACTGTCACCTCCTTCAGGACCGGACAGACCTACATGAGCCCAGCAGGGTCTGAGTCTTACTTTGCCATTCGTTTCTCCACTCCTGCGTATCTGAAGATCCTCATCAGGCCGGCACGAGTTCCGAGGAAGGCTGTCTCGACCCCCAGCTCGATCCTGCGTGAACACAAAAACACACGGACATATGAGGGCGCTTTCAGGAACTTCATGCCTCGTCGTTTTTTTATGGAGTTAGGCTGATCTGCGCTTTAGCTGATCCATATTAACTTACAGTCTCTGTAAAACACAATACAGGGGTGTAATTGTGTGCCCACACTTAACGCAAATTAGATGATCGACTTGACACGTGTGTATTCAAATGCCTGAATGTTTTGCGTTTGGTCATTTAATTCCAGATCGCTAATAACTCGCTCCATCTACGTGACAAATCCCAACGACCCGAGTGTCCAACTTTACTCCATCCAACTTCCTTTTTTATTCCTGTTTCCATCAAATAACCGATTCATACTGTGGAGCTCGACATGGCTGTGCTTTGACCTCCACCAGCCTGTTATTGACATACGTCAGCAGCAGATCTCCGTGCTGATTGGCTATCGCAGTTCAGGTCGAATGAGGGAATGAGGAGAGTAGTGCGTTGAACATGAATCAAATTAGCATCATTAGCATTGTGTGTGAACAAAGAAGCAACCTCGAGTGCTAAAAACTGCAGTTCCCTGAGTGTCCACTAGAGGCTGGCTGCAGAAGCACATGAAATCACATACACACTAATTCAAACAAGCTAAATTTAAAAGTGAAATAAACTCGTTGACGGTCTGGTTTGACTTCTTCTGCACTCGTCACGGTTCTTTTGGGAGGTTATGAGATTAGCGAATCAGACGCATGGCCAACATGACTGACAGGTGGGCCCTGACTGTAACTGTTTGCCAAGAGGCCAAAGTCCCGCCTCAGGTAGGTCGACCAAAAGGTAGGTTGAATGGTGACGACCGCCGATGAGCTTTAAAAGTCCTTTAGGTTGTTTTAGGTGACAAGCTGTGTAAAAAGTAACACCCCCAAAAGCTGCGTCTAACTTTTGATCTTTAGGAAAGAAGCCAAAACAAAGTGTTTCAGATAGAGCTGATATAAGAGTTTTATAGACGCCAGTTTAAGACGATTGAGGAGTTTCCTGAGGTGCTACCTAAAGAAGGTTAGATCTGAACACAGACCAGGACTGAACTCTGAAAGACTCTTCACTTTTATAAAACCATCTAAAACCAAAATGTCCTGGTCGAGCCTCACTTGTCGCTCAGCATCAGGGCGTTCCAGTAGGCCTCCAGTGGAGCAGTGACCACGGCGTCAAACAACGTCTGCTGCAGCAACACCTCGTCACCTAGGCAACCAGCAGACGAGACCACTTAAATATGACTTTTAAAGGAAACACTCGCCACCTTGAATGAGAACTTCTTCAATAGTTTAGTTTGTTTCTTCTGAATAACTCACACTCCAGGTCGGGTTCCTTCCCCAGCAGGTAGCGGATGGCGGCTTGAAGCTGGGAGTATTTACGGTGGGCGGGGTCGATGTCAGTCTCACAGTACGTCCTGAGGAGGAAGGAGAGTTTAAAGGGATATTCCGGCGTAAAATTAATTTAGGATTAAAAACAACGTAACACCGAGTTAGACCCCCCCTCCAGAGATGAATGTTGTCGACCGCTTGCTTCTCTAGTTATACCAACTTTAGTAACGACCGCAGGATAGAAATACAGAGAGCCACGCCCCCAACCAAAACGCCACTCTATAGCCACAAATAATGCTCAGAACAGCACCGAACTTCATCAACAGGACATATAGGGTCACAGACATAGAACTAGACACCAAACATCTTTTTAACTTTGACTGAGACTAAACACAACTCACCTACTCTCTTCCAGCAGACGCTTGTTTGTAGAGAGACCTCAGGCCAGTCCATTACGGACTACAGCGGGGTGACGCAGCTCAAGGAAGAACATTTATGATCATTTCTTTATCATTTCCTTGAAGTAATAATCATCATATTAATCATTTTACAGACGCGGTAGTTCTTCTGTCTTAGTGTCTCGGTCTGATTGTATTTCCATGAATTTCCATGTATTTTCATTTCGCTACAAACAAATGGCTGCTGGAAGAGAGTAGGTGAGTTGTGTTTAGTCTCTCTGCTAAAGAAATTAGCAAGAAATATAACACTCTTTTGGAAAGATGAAACAACTGGACTTCTTAAAGAAATGTAGAACTGGAAATCATAGATGCTGTGTCCTCAGTTTTAAACAATATCTCCAGGTTTAGGAGGAACATCTACGTTCATCCAGACAAAGACCTTCATTTGATCCCAAACCACATTCTGACATGATAAAGAAATGATCATAAATGTTCTTCCTTGAGCTGCGGCACCCCGCTGTAGTCCGTAATGGACTGGCCTGAGGTCTCACTACAAACAAACGTCTGCTGGAAGAGAGTAGGTGAGTTGTGTTTAGTCTCTTTGCTAAAGAAATGAGTCAAAGTTAAAAAGATGTTTGGTGTCTAGTACTATGGCTGTGACCCTATATGTCCTGTTGATGAAGTTAGGTGCTGTTTAGGTGCTTAGGTGTGTTTGACCCTAACTTAATTTTATGTCAGAATATCCCTTGAATATCTGAAACAAGAACATGAAATTTCCTCCTTTTTAATCCAGGAGCGTTCTTATAGTAACAGGTGACGTGGTTTTGGACCTACCACTCAGAGGCGATGCTGAGATCAGGGGAGGTGAGATCATGTAGACCTGGAGAGAGAGGAGAGAAGATTCCCGTCCAATCAGTGAAGGTCTTGTTTGACTTGTGGGTCATGTCAAGGACTCCACCTAATATGCATGTCCTCAGAGGCAGATAATAACATCCAGACAGATTTCTGCTTTATGGTTCAGGCAGCAAAGGCTCATGGGAGTCCTACCTTCTTCCACTGACACGTTCCCCATAAACATGAGTCTGCCGTGACCTTTAGTCAACACCATGCCGAAGCTGCAGAAACACAGAGAGAGAGGAGACAGTGAGAGCCCTGCATACAGAGTAGGATATCTTATTAAATACAGTGGGAGATGCTGCCCTCTTGTGGCCAAACCACAGAGGTACAAGTGAATTTAGAAACAGTGACAGAGAAATCATTTAAAACTTACAAAATCAAACCAGGATGACGGTGGATTTCCTAACATACCAAATGATACTAAATCCAGGTAAGCATGGGGACCAACAAATCCCGGTCTGGGATCTTAGTCTGAAAGGGTGCATGATAAGAACATCAGATTTACCTGAAAGGTGTCTCATCTATGTTTGTGAAGAAGTAATCGTTGACGAGGTAGAGCGGTCGTTTCTGCGAGAGGAGAAGAAGAAAACAAGGTTAGGATCTGAGCTGTCTGAGTCTTCATCTTCATCTTCATCTCCTTGGATTAAAGCTGTGAGTGATCAACACCAAGAGAACATGACCGCCATCTCCTGGGAAAAGGTGAACCCAGCAGACCAGGTTCTGGAGTCTGAAAGTGCCTGATGGAGGATTCCAGCTGCTTGATGGTTTAGGGTCTATTTGGTTCTGTTTTTGGGGTCATGATGCCTCAAATGTTTTTAATGGAGGACAAGTCAGGACCGCATCAGTCCAGGACTCTTCTCCTACAGAGCCATGCTGTTGTCAGAATGTGGTTTGGGATCATATGAAGGTCTTTGTCTAGATGGATGCAGATGTTCCTCCTTAACCTGGAGATTTTGTTTAAAACTGAGGATGCAGCATCTATGATTTCCAGTTCTACATTGAAAGGACAACTGGACTTACTTGAGACGTCTCAAGTAAGTCCAGTTGTCCTTTCCAAAAGAGTGTAAGATCACAGTGACTCCAACTACAGAGTCCTGTTGCTCCTTAAACTGAAGATCTTGTTCAGCATTAATGAGGCCTTCACAGATGTAGAAGATACCCCTGACAGAGACTCTCATGATCCCCTGACCATCAGGGCTGCTGGATTTGGACTGGGTGAAGTCTCTTGCTGGTATCAAATTTAAAATAAGTGAATATTTTTGATTTTTTCAGTTTCAACACTTGATTTTTTTTGTCTGTGCACATTTTTTATTCAGATATAAACATTTAAATAATTTGCAAATTAACAAAATCCTGGACCAACGTTTCACACAGCGCCCAGACTGCTTTTAGATCTTCAGGATGAATCTGATTGGTCCCCTTAGCACCGGCATTAACCCCCAATTTCCACCACAACTGGAATGGCTACGCAAAGGCTGTATCCGCTGATCGTAACCATTCAAGTTAACGTGTCAATTTACACCGACTTCTTTCCGTTCCTCTGCGGATCGCCGGACTCCTCAGCTGATCACAAGAGTTCTATTTTTTCTGGACGCCGGAGCATGGCGGATAAATTCAGCACAGATTAACCCGTGCTGGAAAGGAAGTCGGGCACAGACACAAAATAAAACATCCGGCTTCTTTTCAAAATAAAACACTCCGTGTTTCAGGAGGATCGTATTTCACACCATGCAAACGGGCGGAGACGAACAAGTGAAAGGTTTTTAGACGTCATTTCACCCCGATGACACCATGGATGAGGAGATGCTGATTCTAGAAGTCTAGAAGTAGATTTCCTCCTCTGGAAGGACACAATCTACTGCTTATATGGTTAGCCTCTGTGGCTAAGGGACAACTTGTTATCGCGTGATTGCAGGTGAATCCACGGGTTCTTATGAGTTCTCACGATTCCTGCTGTCTGTAATCCACCACGAAATTTGTCTCACTAACGGATCTGGTAGGAATTGGCGTACGGTGGAAATCCCAGGTAAATCTCATTCAAAGTGTTTCAAAGTACTATGTTTCCTTTTCCCCGTACTTTAAATCGATATTTATCGTCTGTTTGTTTTTTGATCTGACTGTTTCTCACCCCTTTATCCACAGACGCTCGGACACTCAGGCTGGTCTGGCCGGTGCTCCCCCTCACCATCGCTGTTCTCAGCTGGAAGAAACACCAGAGGAAGAAAAACAAGTTTAAAGAAGTTTTTTTTAACTTTCTACAACTTCCTACTTTATTCTGTGTGTGTGTGTGTGTGTGTGTGTGTGTGTGTGTGTGTGTGTGTGTGTGTGTGTGTGTACTCACCGTCTCCTCTGTGTCCTCCCACTCCACCTCGGCCAGATCGACACTGTTGTAGTTCGGCTTCGGCTTCAGTTTCTTCCCATCTTTATACTGCGAGACAGAGGACACGCTGTTAGTCTGTGTGTGTGTGTGTGTGTGTGTGTGTGTGTGGTGAAACACTGTATATCTGTCCTCATAAATACTTAAAAGCACTTTCCCTCAACACAACCTCTTTAGCGGCAGCAGTTCATCTCCTCCTCTGAAAAGCGATAAAGACAATCGGAGCTGCTGCTGCTGCGGAAACGAAGCCGAACTCACCAGAGGTCGAAGGTCAGGGTGGGCCAGGATGTAGCCGTTGTTGGTGATGAGGAAGGCGTAGCCGTGAGCTCCAAGCTAATGAGGAGGAAGAGGAAGATTTAAGTCTTTAAATCACTGCTTCACGTCCAACTCGGAGTCAAAAGTCGTACGTCCGAACTGAAAGTAGCTAAAATTCCTCAAACCTGCAATACTTATACTGTCCAGCAGGGGGAGACTATAATAGTCTAATAACCACATGGGGTGCCGCAGCTCAAGGAAGAACATTTATGATAATTTCTTCATGGAAACACAATCAGACCGAGACGCTAAGACAGAAGAACTACAGCGTCTGTAAAATGATTAATATGGTGATTATTACTTCAAGGAAATGATAAAGAAATGATCATAAATGTTCTTCCTTGAGCTGTGTCACCCCGCTGTAGTCTGTAATGGACTGGCCTGAGGTCTCTGCACAAACAAACGGCTGCTGGAAGAGAGTAGGTGAGTTGTGTTGTGTGAAGTTGTGTGAAGTACACTTACGGGAAGACAACAACTACTGACGTCATTGGAGTTCTTATAAGAAAGAGTTCTAGGGAGAATTGTTTGGGATTATTCGGCTTCTGCTGTCCATCTGATTTGTCTTGAGCTGTGATTGACACGATAAAATCCCGCGAGAGGCTGCCAACTTGATCTGTTTTCGGGTGGTTCATTTTTGCACCTTTGCATCTATGAAATCCAGTGGCGAGCCAGCCAGGCCCGAAATTTTTTTTTACGCCGGAATATCCCTTTAAAGGTTTTAAATCTAAAGTCTGTAATCATCTCCTTTCCTGATATTTGGAGGACTCATTAGTGATGGTATCAAATCTGCACACAGTAGAGAAAACAATAATTCATCTAGGAGCAAAAATAAGAAACAAACAGTCAATTTTTCTGTGAGTTAAAGCGCACCAGACCTGAGCTAACACTGAATCACAAACTTGTAGAAATGGTCAGAATCTAAAATCCGTCTCAAATCTTCAGCTTGTCTTTTCATGTTGAAGTACAGGTCGATAAAAACGGTTTTTGAACTCTAAGGATGATTTACAGTTAACTTGAACCCGGACTCACCATGTATCTGGGCGCCAGCTTCATCACCTCCATCAGCGGGATGTCAGTGCCGACCACACCCAGCAGGATCCCGTGGGAGAGCTGGAGAGACAGGTGCAGGGTCAAAAACAAACACCGTAGACCGAGTTCTCAGATCTCAAATCAGATACAAGTGGATAAAACCCATTTGTAAAGTCCGGTTTTCATTTCACTGACCGTTTCCTTCTTCTTACTGAAGACCGGCATGGCCACAGAGGTCATGAGCAGCAGACTCTGAGCTTTGGTGGTGAACAGCTGACAAACAGACACACACACACGATATTTAAAACACACACACTCTGAAATGGAATTGTGAGGTTTAATGATGTGTCCTGTACGAGTAAATCTGTTTATCTACAGCCTCTAAACTTCTCCTCTTTACCTCCTTGGTGTTTGGAAGCTGCCATGGCGATGGAGGGAAAAGCCCAGAGGATCATGGGAGAATGAGCAGGAACACAGAGAGGAAGCAAACACACAGATGAAGATGAAATGATAATGATGATGATTAATGTGCAGTATGAAGATTTAAAGGAGTAGTTCACTGAAAATGATGTAATGAAGGAAGACGCAGGGTGAACTCTGATTGGCTGTCGCCTCTCACCACAGTGTCCATGTACGCCTCCGTCCAAATGATGTCATGGTCGTGGTTGATGACCATTGGTCGACTGAGCACGTGCAAGTATTCCATGACGTTCTCCTGGACGTCGGCGAGCGTAGAGATGTGAGTGTAGTAACCTGAAAACACACAAACATAAGAATCTATGTATGAATATAGAATAGAATAGAATATTATAGAATAGAATCATATAGATTGTTAATATTAGCATAGAGTAAAATAGAATGATATATAGAGAATATATATAGAGTGATATTGAATAAAATAACACAGCAGAGAAAAGAACTACATAGATTGATATAGAATAAGATAATATAGAATCAAATAGAACACCATAATAGAATAGAATAGAAATAAATAGGATAGAGTGATATAGAAGAGAGTATAACAAAATATTATAGAATAGTATAGAATAGACTTATATAGAATGATATAGAACAGAATAGAACAGAATAGAATAGAATAATAAAGAATACAGTAGAATATCATTACATAGAATGATATAGAATAGGATACAATAGGATAATATAGAATAATAAAGAAAATAATAAAATGGAATAGAATAGAATTATATAGAATGATTTATATTAGAATAGAATATAGAATAGAATCATACAGATTAATAGAGAATAATATTGGCATAGAATAAAATAGAATGATATAGAGTGATATAGAATAGAGTAACATAGCATAGAATAGAACTACATAGATTGATATAGAATAGGATAATATATAAAAAATATAGAATAAAATAGAACAACATAATATAATAGAATAGAATAGAATAGAGTAGAACAAAATATTATAGAATAGTATAGACTAGACTTAAATAGAATGACAGACAACAGAATAGAATAGAATTATATAGATTGATATAGAATAGGATAATATAGAATAGAAAAGAATAGAATAGAATTTCTATGCTGTCATTGTACATGAACAACAAAAACTGGATAAAAGTCCATCAGGTTTGTATAAATAATGAACTTTGGCGCCTCTAGTTTGGCGTTTTGGGCGTGTCCACCTGGGTTTTCCGGTATAGACCATATTTGGACAAGGGGGTGGGGCCAAAGTGGAGCAAAAGGTCATATAGTTAAAAAGATATATATTCTGTCCCCAGTGATGGTCATAGCCGACAGAAGAGCTGAACCAGAGCAGGTGAGTATAAGATCATGTTGATGTAAACTGAGAAACGACTTCTCTAAACTAAGACCAGTTTTCTTTGACTTTACAGGAAAATCATCAGAAACAACCATCCTGACCCTAAAACATTTACCTTCAACAGTAAAATCAGAACCACAAATGAAAACTGTGACCCTCACCTTTGTTGTTGCAGGCGATCCACTTTGTGTTCTGGGCGAAGGTCATCTCTCTGCCGATCAGGTAGGTGAAGACTCGAACCTGAATGAAAAGACGCGGACGTTTTAATTCAACTGTGGACGTTCAACGAGTTATTGTCAGCAGGAACGTTTCTGACACTTCACCGAAAAGACGATTATGTTTGTTAGCTCGTTCAAAACTGAGTTAATGCAGATGTCAATATAGATACCTATGACAAAAATATAGATGTAGATGAGTTCAGACTGACACCATCAACTCATCTGAGAAATTTGGAGCAGATCGGACACTGTTTATTTAACAGAGATACTAAAGTCACTCAGGGTCCTTTAAAATCTTGAAGTTTACAGGACGACTCTTTTTTTTTATCACCTAAGAGAGAAAGACGTTCTTGTTGTCTGGTTTTTCACTCACCCTGCGCTCGGGCCAGTTGAACTCCTGAAAGACGGACTCAAAGTCCTCCATGGCGCCATCTGTGATCAGCATGATGGCCTGGTTACACATGCTGCCCTGACCGTTGGCTCTCGCCTACACACACACACAAACAAACACACACACACAAACACACACACGAAAGAGTTTACGCGAGGACGTAACATCTCATGACTCCAGCATGTTTCAGTAAAAGTTTGGCCTTCAGATGTTCCGAGTGCGCCGCCTCTGTTTGCATATTTAAAACAGGTTGGAAGTATCATGACGTCGATCAAAAAACCACAGATACTTTGATATCGTGTGTCGACAACAGATGGTCGTTGAAAACCGACCTCGTTGAGGATCTTGAAGGACTCTTTCATGGCCTTCTTGATCTTTGCTTCTCCTTTGACGTGCAGATCCTCCACCAGCAGCTTAAAGTGCTGAAAGACAGAAAAGGAGAAGATTCGTGTGAGTCTGATTTTAGTTTCATTTTGAGACATGACTGGAAAAGTCAAACCTGAAACAGTTAATCCTCAGTAATCAATCATTTTCATGTTCACAGAGGAGAGGAGCACACCTCCTCGTCACTTTCTCTCTGAGCTCAGGTCGGTCAATCAAAGTTCAAACTGAGAATAAAACACGGAGGTCAGAGGTTTGTGATGTCTCTGCAGGATTTAGGCCAGCAGGTCGATCTGCCAACCAGGTTGAGGGTTTTCCTGAGTATGTGTGTTAGTGTGTTCGTGTCTGCTGGCTGGTAATTCTCCTCTTTAGCTCCTAAAGCCTCAGTGAAGCAGATAATGGTCTTACCTCCCTGTTGTCCAAGTCCGCCTGGACCAGAGTCCCTCTGAAACACGGCTCAACGTACCGAACGTAGTCTGTGTACTGAAGGCAGAGACACACATATAAATATATATGTACAAAAAAACACACACAGGTATGAGACGCTGGATCATGTCTGCACTGCAGAAGACGCACAAATACACTCAAACTGTCCTGACCAGACAAACAGATTTACAAAGACTGGGACAGACTGGTCTCAGATATCTGAAGTATTTCCTCACCGCGATGACGTTGACGAAGTCGTTCTCCCCCAGTGTGTCCAGTATGGTGTTGATGGTGTGTTTGGCGATGGTCATCTTCAGCCCCTTCATGCTGCCGCTGATGTCCACCATGATGATGATGTCTTTAGGGGAAGTGGCGGCCTGGATGTACCTGAACGCACCGACGGAGATACAGTATTGATTATTATCGGATTTATTATTATAGATTAAAACTGAAATGAAGGAAAAAATAAAGATTTTGTAAGAATTTCAAAATAAAATAATTTTCTTGTAACAGCTCATTAATTGGTCATTTCCTGGTTGATCTGTGAGTCATCAAAACAATCGACAGAACATGTTAGCGAGAGGCTAAGAGGCGCCGTCGCTTTAACCCCCAATTTTCACCGCATCAGGAACGGCTACGAAAAGGTCGTATCCTCCGATCGTAGCTGATCGTAACCATTCAAGTTAACGTGTCAATTTACGTGTTTCAGGAGGATCGTATTTCACACCATGCAAACGGGCGGAGACGAACAAGTGAAAGGTTTTTAGACGTCATTTCACCCCGATGACACCATGGATGAGGAGATGCTGATTCTAGAAGTCTAGAAGTAGATTTCCTCCTCTAGAAGTACACAATCTACTGCTTATATGTCTATGTGTCTGTCTTTAGAGAGACAACTCATTTTCGCACGATTGAACGTGAATCTGCGGGTTCCTGTGAGTTCTCGTGATTCCTGCTGTCTGTAATTTTCTGCACCTTTTAGTTGGACAGTAGGAAAGTTTTGTTAAGTTTTGATGATCTTTCTTCATTTGTCAAAGTTTTGTTTACGATCTGACTTCCTAATGACGAATTCGAGCCGTTCACCTTACAGCTCGAAGGCTAGCATGCTAACACTGAAGCACGCTCAGAACTCTCAGTCTGATTGGAGGAGAAGATGAATCCCTGACAACATCCATCTGTGTTCCCCCAACTGTGAGAAGTTTAATTCAGTCAGACTCATGTGTTCAAATGTTTATGAGGTAAATAAAATGACTTTTCAAACAAAATGTAAACTTGCTGACTGTGACTTTAGTCCTGTAAAATTACAACCCTAGAACTTAACCTCTGAATGACCTTCATGTGGTACCATAAATATCCCCTGAGTAAAGGACATAAATACTCTGACTGAGGCAGCAGTGGCTTGAATGTTTTAACGTTAATTTTCTACCTCATAACAGCTAACATTTAAGAGTCATGTCGATATTATATTCCTGTGTGAAATCTTAGATTTTGCTGTAATTAAAGTCAATTTGCATTAGCCAGTCTGATCAATTCAAAGTACACTCTTCAGACCTCGTAACAACACAGAAATGTTCACGTTTCACAGCAGAGATAGAAACTCAGTTAATCCACAGAACACTCAACACTCAGTAACTGACATATTGGATTATTGCAGCTCTATTAAAAATGTTTCCAGCTCTGACTTTTTATCTAAAGAAACAAACGTCTTTGTTTTGTTGAAGAAGAAGCGCTCGGCTCCGTCCTCTGGTCTAAGAAAAGAGTCGTCTGAGCGTCCAGCTGCTCATGAACAGATCTGATTAGACGTTCCCATCCTGTCCCTCCACACTGTTGGGTAACTGGAACACATTTGCACACCAAAGCTTTTCCAGCTCAGCTGCAGTGCAGAGACATGACGGTGCGTTCAGGGACATATGCGGCTCAGTGGTATTATTTACAAATGCATGAACAGACACATATGGTGCCATGTGGGCAGCAGTGACCCGGCTAAGGAGCAGCTTATCGTCTTTTCCAGAGGATCAGGACTCTGGCTGGCCGCTGCTCAGCTGACACACATCCAGCAGACTGACGGGCTCAGTTTGAGTTTCCTTTTGGAGAACAAAGTCTGAAGTTTGCTCTTAGTGAAACAGTTTAACAGACAGAGTTTTTGATTTTTTGATGACGAGGATTTAGATCATAACTTAAGGTTTGAACACTGTCCTTTTCTAACTCTACCACCGCTGCTCTCTCTCTGTCTCTGTCTTTGGCTTGTGGCCACGTTTTGATGCACAGGGTAGTGATGAGTGTTTGCAGATGCACAGGTCTTGTGTTGTACTAACAGCAGCTCACAAACAGACAATAACATGCTGGTGGTTCTGAAGAGTTTGGACTTTGCAGCTGCAGGATGTTTTAAATGCCGGTACCACAGATTGGACCTTCTCCTTTTTTCCTAATAGTAGCTGCGTTTACACGGGCACAAATAATCGGAATAAATGCCAGATCGGAATAAAAATGTGTCATGTAAGCATTTCAATCGAAAGATTCTGATGCAATTCGGCTCAATCGGAAAGAAATTGTATTCCGATCGAGAGGGGTGGTTTATGCTGATCGTTATTCCGAGACGCGTCCATGTAAACACTCGAGAAAACCGAATTATCGCCTTACTCCGATTAAGAACGGACAACTGAAGTGGATGTAAACACCTTAGTCCAACTATGACTTAGTCAGAGAACTCCGATTTAGACACCCAGTTAATACGATTTGAATCCGATCTTCTCTACCATGTAACCAGCGTAGTCGGATCGGACAATGCATGTGCACGTGCAAATACGACTCTTCTTCTTCTGTGGTTGTTTTAGCAAAATCAGACAACTCATGTCGCGTGTCCAGATGCTTCAATCTGAATAAAGTTTGGCGCACGTAAACGCATGTCATGATCGGATTATTTGATTTAGCATGCATATAAACAGTGAATTCAGATTTTCCGACCCCTCAAATTTTAAATCGGATTAAGAAATTTAGCACATGTTAACGTGGTTAATGATTACAAAGACATCTCCGATCATAACGAGGAGAACAGCGTTAATCAGTGCGGTTACAGATGCAGCTTTCCAAACAGATCCTCAGTATCCTCACCTGAATTATCTTTAATTTGATCCACTTATCCGAACGTGTTCACCTCTGACTCTGGAACCAAAGTGCCAGAAAAGGTGGTGCAGATGCACACCAGCCTACTTCCTCATTTAGAGTCTGAACTCACCAGTTTCTGTTCCTGCAGTCGAAAGCCGCCACGCCGTTCGCATCCGGAGTCCATTTGATCCCTGAAACCAGAAGACAGAGGGTCAGTTTGCAGTTCGTACGTTTGTACTATTAAAGCTAACCTTCTTGTCCTTCACTGGCAAGTCTCAGTTTCAGTGTAAAAAGGACGTTTCACAGATGCGTCACTCTGGTTTACTTTACTCAGTCTCAGTCTCTCTGTAAATAGTCGCACATGGGTTTAGGATTATAGTCCATCTATTCTGGTGGGTCTCAGTTTCACTGTCATGTTAAATTTACTCAGAAGCTTCACTAGGTTATTTTTAGGTTTATTTCACCCATACGAGTGAAAACAGAGGAGGATTTTCTGGAGTTGACGGTTTGAGTTTGCTTGAATAACAACATGATGCAGATTTTGTTTGACGTTCAAGCCCACACCAGCTGGCTCCTCCTTCAGGATTTAGTCTCAGACTCACCGGGGTAGACTCTAAAGAAGCCTGTGGAGCTGCCAAAGTACTGCCAGGTGAGCGTGGGATCCTTCTGGAAGTTCCCGATGAAGACGTCATTCAGCGCCTCCGAGTTGTAGATGGCATTGAGGATGTTTGGATCTGCACACAAAGGGCACAGAAGCATCCTGGGTAAAAAAAACTAAACTCTAAAGTCAGTTTGAGGTGAGAGTACAGGTGGTCCATGTCCGATGACCTCTGACCTTTGTTGTAGACGTTGGTAGGGACCTGGATGTCGCTCTGCTGCGTGTTCACCGGCATGTTGTTGAAATGTTCGTTCTCCTCCAGAGGAAAATCTCCGCCAAGGTCCAGGGTGTTCCCGTCCTCGTCCGCCGTGTTGATCAGCATGGCGTTGTAGTAATCAAACTAAGAACGAGACAGAAAGAGGGGGGAGACTTTCAAAATAAGATGCAGCAGAGTTAGAGTGGTTTGAGAAAATAAGGGACCAACGTTTCAGAGGCCATGTTTCCAGTAGGGATGAGAAGACTAACCTTTACGTATCGATACGCGGTCACGCACGTGCAAGATGTGGGTGCACAAGTTTTATTTTTTAGTTACCGAACCATTTTGAGGGCATAATTTACTCGGACTTGCGGATGTACACTGCAAACTAAAGTATCAGCTCCGCAGATGCACTACATGCGCCGTGGATGAATACTAGCAGTAAGAAGGAGTGTGAGGAGTAAGGTAAACAAATAAGCAAATTTACCCTCGTCTGAGTTGTGAATCTAAGGTTTGGCAACACTACAGGTTTTACAAGAACAACTCTGCAAGACAGATTTGTGCCGCTCTGCTGTAAAATACACAGGCAGTACGACTAATCTGATAACTCAGCGTCACAGTGTTGTGGAGGGGTCTGGTCTGCTAACGCCCCCGTCTCCCCGGCTCCTAGCTCAGATTCGCCTCCAGCCGGCAGCTCCAAAAGTGGTGAGCAAAGTATTGCAAGTTTCTTCCATTCCCCGTTTGCTAATAACTCTATGTGCTCAATGGCAATAACGTTTGCTATAGCGTTCTTCATCTGCAGAGATATTCAGCCTCACAGTGTAACAGAAAACAAAGGTTTTAAACACCTCCTCCATGTCTTGGAGCCTCGATTTAAACTACCAAACCGAAAACTATTCTCTCTTGCATAACACCACACACGTATCTCAAATATATCGGATCGGAGACATTGTATCGAGATGTGTAACGTATCGGCCTTATATGTAAGATGCCAAACCTTAGTTTCCAGATATCGGTAATATTAAGAGAAACCCCCTCCCCCCCAGCCCCACTCGGTGTTGTATCTTGGCCGCGGCGTTGACCCAGTTCCCTCACAGGATCAGTGAAGTTTGATCTGATCTAATTTCAGGTGTCAGCCGAAGCTTTAAAACCTCAATCTGCTGCAGAGACCATGACAGACTGACCTGCAGTTACCTCTGATACACACACACACACACACACACACACACACACACACACACAGAGAACACGCAGAACGCACTGGCATGCGAACACAAACAAATACACATTTACCATCTGAACAAGCTATCGCAAAAAATAGTAATCTTTTTTTATAATGATTATTATTATTCCTTTTTTTTTTGTTTGTTTGTTTGTTTTGTTTTTGATTATTCTTTTTATTTTATTTATTTATTTTTTTTTGGTTTTGTTTTGCTTTGCTTTTTTGTTTTTAATTATTCTTTTTTAATTTTTTGTTATCTTTTGCTTTTTTGCTTTAAATTTTTCGTTTTGCTTTATTTTTGTTTTGTTTTGTTTTGTTTTACTTTTGTGTTTTTAATTATTTTTTAATTATTAAAATAATTTTGGTTTTGTTTTGTTTAGCTTTTTTTTATTATTCTTTTTAAAAATTGGTAACCCTTATCATATGTGTGAAAATTTTATAAACCAACACCACAACTTACTATGCACATATTTCTTTGTTTACATTTATTTGTTTGGACTCACTAAAGTTTGAAAGGAAAAGAAAAAACGAAAGAGGATAAGGAAATATTTTGCACTTTTTCTTGCTGCCCTTTCTTTTGTTCTTTTTGACTTCCCTGCTTCAATGAAAATCAGGACTAATCAGTTAAAAACAAACAAACAAAATAACACGAGTAAACTCAGTTACACCATCAGGCTCCATCAGAGGTTTGTGATCAAAAAGGGACAAAAAAAAAAACAGACGGACTGTTCCTTTAAAACTTCAGATAGCAGCAGCTGCACTCACCTCTAATGAAGCGTTGTATTCATGGTACAGGTCGGCGTCTTCTGCAGACTCCGCTAACCTCTGAAACAAACGGAATGAAATATGAAGTTTTGAAGAATGAACTGTCATACAGTACTTCTGCTAAATTTATTACAGTTAGTTCTCTAACTCATGATCCACCTGAAGGAGTTGATTTATAATCAGAGCTCAGTTTGAGGAGAGTTTCCCTCTTTCGGACCTGTTTGGTGGATCATAAGTCTGATTTCTGAAATAAACCGCTGTGGTCGTTCTCACCTTCACCGACTTCATCTTGCTTCCTAACATGCGTTCAATTTCGTCCGAGTAATCCTTCACCAGGTCGTCCCCGTTCAGCTCCACGATTTTGACGATGGGCTCCACGTCCTTCAGTTTCTGTGAGGAACATCAAATAATTAACGTAGAATTCAGTGAAAATATGAGGAGAAGATGTCGAAACGAACCAAAACCAAATGCTGATCTGATGAAGTCAGTGTTAGATATTTAAATACTGTTATTTTCCTCCAGAAAACCACAGAGCGTGTGAGTTCTATTTCATCTATGTCTACAAATTCGACCCATCTGGCCCGAGAACTGATCAGGTATCAGTGAGTTCACGTCAGACTCAGTTTTCCTCCCTCGCTCCTGACTTTGTTTGAGTTTTTTCGCTTATTTTCCGTCTTTTATATTTGTTTTGTCCGAATTCGTCCTTGATACTGTTGTAACCTTCATCACAGCAGGAAGTGACCTTCTCTAACCCGATGTAGGGATGTTAATCTAAACATGATCAACTTTATTTCAGGACTTGTCCACCTCACAGGTGAGACCGTGAAACCGACCTGACAGTCTTGGCAGACTGGTTTGTTTTGGGTGGATATTTCAGTTTCAGGGAATCGCTCTGGGATTAGATTCAGCCGCTGTGATGTGGTTCTGGTTTTATCACCAGGTCACTTTCTCTGGATCAAGAAGCTGGACGAGTCTGCTGAGAGCGAGGAGGGAGGGACGAGCCAGTCAGCCAGTAAATGTGGTCGTTTACTCCGATTCAATCGATTTAAGTCTTTCTCTAATTCCACTTCCAGCCCACTTACTGATGAGCCATTAGTCTGGAGAGCCGCTCTGGACTCGGATCACAAACCCTGGAGGACTAAGTTTAATCATATCGAGAAGGTTAAAGAGTTTACCGTTCCCTCTGCAGATGGTGGACTCCTCGGTACTTCAGAGAAAATCAGCCTCAAATAGATAAATGAACATGAGTTAATTTCCCTAAAATCAGAGAGGTTTTTGTCTGCATGTTGGTTCTGGGTTGACGTGACGTCTCTGTATGTTTGAAAGCAGACCGCCCTTCATAAATCTAAATCTGACTGATAGATGGAGGACTGTCTGAAATCAGAAAAGCCGGTAAAGAGGGCTCGGTCCTCAATCTGGGCATTACCCTGATCCCTGTGTGTGTGTTTGGACTGCCAGGCAAACATATTAATGGACAGACACAAGCTGTCGCAGACGCTCACTCTCTGTTGGAACTTCACTTCTAAATAAAACTACAGTCATTACTCCTTACAGAGGTTTTAAATTTTAGTCATTTTTATGGTTTCTACAGCAAAAACTTCTCTAATTTTAAAGTTCATGTCATAAGCCAAAAAGACAAAAACGTCTCTGTAGTCCAGACCAAAAATAAGTCCTGTAATATCACTCTTTATGCAGATGATGTGCTCGTATATCTTCAAAAAGAATAATCATTGCTAATCTATACTGTGGGTACAACTTTATATAAAGTTACTACATGACTAACTTCATTTTTAATTTGTGTTGGAGAATTTTATGATTTAGTGACGACAAAAAAACTGGAGATCAAAATATGTGAAGAGTTTTCATCGAGTGACGCTGTAGGTACCAGATGTGTTCGGGCTGCAGGATCGGTTCGCGGTCCAGCGCCTGTTGAAGACGTCACACTACGGCAAGTCCAATCGGACAAACTACATTTCGCTCCATTTAATAAGTCAAATGTGCTCAGTTACAAGCATAGACTGTATATAGAATGGACGCCGTCTGCCTCCTCGCCGGGTGAAGTCACTATGACCTTTGGGTAAAGACCGAAAGAACAAGATCGCAGATCCAAGCGGCTGAAATGGGTTTCCTCCTCAGGGTGTCCGGGCTCAGCCTTAGAGATAGGGTAAGGAGCTCGGACACTCGGGAGGCGCTCAGAGGAGAACCGCTGCTCCTCCACGTCCAGAGGAGTCAGCTGAGGTGGCTCGGGCATCTGGTTAGGACGCCTTCTGGACGCCTCCTGTTAGAGGTGTTCCAGACATGTCCCACCGGGAGGAGACCTCGTGGCCGGCCCAGGACCAGGTGGAGGGATTATATCTCTCGCCGGGTCTGGGAGCGCCTGGGAATCCCCCCAGAGGAGCTGGTGGAAGTGGCTGGGGTGAGGGTCGTCTGGGCTTCCCTCCTGAAGCTGCTGCCGATAACGACGTTTGTTCATTGAAACTTTCACTCCATATTAAACAGAGAATTACAACTTTCTGTAATTTTGAGACGGCTTTAATTGTAACTTTTCTAAGTAAAAGAAAAAGAAAAAAAACAGATGTACGCAGGATCTCCGTTTATCAAAAGATAGTTTTGCTTTTATTCCACATTTCCTAAAAGAGGCGGTAGTCCAGCTGTCATAAATCCCCTTTGATAAGTACAGATAGATTTCTTCGTTAAATTCGTCCATGTTTCTCTGAAGAACTACAATCCCATGAAACCTAATCCGGTAAAAACCACTTCAGTAACCATAGATTTCTTCACCACTACTATTTTCATATATTTTATCATTTTTTAATAAACGCTGAGATTCACAAAGAGGTTATATATCTTTTAAAGTTTTGTCTGTGAAAGACTTTGTTGGAAGGTAAAAGACTCTCTGTTTGAGTGTTTTTAAAGGACAGAAAAATCTCCAGACTTCTTTAAATGAGTCTCATTTTAACTGTTCGGTCAGATCTTCCCTCTGAACCTCCACTTTTCCTGGTTTTTACCTTTTGCAGCAGCAGGGAGCCGGAGTATTTGGTGCTGACTTCTCGGAGCTGCACCGAGATCACAGACGCCCACTGCTGCACCCTGAAAGGAAAGGAAATAACCTGCGTGTTATAAATGATGATGGATGAGTTCAAAGAGGACAATCAGGGAGAGAGGACAGATGTCACCTTCAGTTTGTATCATCCTGATGCAGCAGCAGCAGCAGCAGCAGCAGCAGCAGCAGCAGCAGTGTGGTTAAATATGAAGAGATTTAGATAATCTATCCCTGATGTGGGTCACGGCAGAGGACCACAGGTGTCTGCTCCGCACAAAGTACAATTAACACACAAGGACACAACTCATGAAGTACACACAGAGCTGCAGGCGGAGTCTGAGAGGACGCCACAACAGAACCCCCCGCCAAAGTGTGCGATCTGGTGTCCACTAATGCAGAGGTGGAAAAACACCAAAACGGACCAGGCGAGCCCTCCAGGAGAACCCGTACCAGTTCACTCCACATGTAGTCCAGGATCTGACCCGGACAGGAGGGCGTTAGGGTGACTCACAGGGGTAACCGCTCTGAGTGTTGTGTTAAAACTTCAGTGTTGTTTTTTTACGTTTGTGTAACTGGATAAAAAATCAATAAGACGATCAAACAAGCCGCCGACAAAGTCCTTCACACGTGGAGTAATGCTGTAGACCCTCTCAGAGAGGTCTGCTCTCAGCTTCTATCATAGATACTCTGTCTGAATAATAACCAGGGCCTTTTTCTCACTCTGCTTCAGATCGGTAAATGACGATGTTTCGTCTGTTTCCTCGTCCTAAACTTTCCAGAGTGTGAAACGTGACTCAGCGTCTGTTCAGCTCAGCGAGGATTTACTAACTTTAACTCGGTTTAAATGGCTGACTGCTCCTCTGTTGGGCTGCTGTTTTGTTTGGTATTGTTCTGGGATGTTGATGTACCCCCCCCCCTCATGTTGGCTGTCCCTGAATGACTCAAGGAAGAAGGTCTAGACCTTTTCTTTTGGTTTCCTGAAGACCATCTGTAGAGTTTTCGAGCTGCAAAAAGGATTTTTATTTCTGTTCACAACCACAGTGAGTGATTTATAGATGATCTATGATAGATGTCTGTCTGAAGACGGTGCAGCCCATCAGGTGAAAACAGAGAGAAACTGACCCTGTTCATACAGAGTCTAGATTATGTGACCTAGAATGTAAACTTTTACGAGTCTGTTCGATCTGTCCCAGATGTCACTTTGCTGATAGAAAACCCGATAATAATATCAGCAGTTATACTTCTATTATTGCTGACTTAATGGTGCGTTCCTGTTGTACTCGGAAGTCGGAATTTCCAAACTCTGGGTCTGAAATTTCAACGGGAACAACTCCCCGTCCAGCACCACCCTGCAGGTTTGAGGCGTGGAAGTGTTTCTAACCTCCTCAGAGTCTAACATCTGTGAAACGATGAGAAAATGACCTCATTTCTCAGTTTCAGACTCTCGAACTCGATAACTTATCGAACCTTCGTCTGATCGGTACTGTGCAACTCCAAACAAAGATGAAGTGAGACGTCTCATTCTTCAGCTACTCTCCCATGAAAACTGTATCTGCTGTTTAATTAGATTTATAGATCCTAGATGTCTTTGGGTCCACTTAGACGACTGGATTTGACCCGAGAGCCGCTGACTGAACAGCCTGACTGAAATGACATAACTGAGTTTGTCCTAAACTGTTTTTTTACGATGTCCTGAGATAAGTTTTGTTGAAAAGTCATCTATTGATTGATTTATGAAACAGTTTTTTTCTCTTAGCCCCTCAAAGAGCGGCTCACGGTGAAACTACAATCCTTCATAAATCCTCCGTGTGTCCGTCAGTTCCCCGCAGATTTACTTTAAGTCCTCCATCTCTGCTCAGGCTCTTAACAAAGGAGCTCAGCAGCACAGAGGAGAGCTCTCCACATCTACATCTCACACACTAACATGAGATGTTGAACGCCGACCTTTAACTGAACTCAACGTTCAGGTTTTTTCTTTCAACAGAAATCATCTTGTGACATTTTTACACCTGCTGTGTTTCCCATCTGTCTCCAGATCCCGACCAAAAACGCCCAAAATTAATCCTCCATCCAGATCACCTCTAAATCTAATCAGCCGGGCCGCCGTGGTTCTGAGGCTGATCTGAGCCGCAGATTTGGACCAAATCTGACACTAAACTGGACGCAGAGACAGAAAACACCGCCGTAATCATCCGTTATTTTTTATCTCAGGTTAAACAGAGATAAAAAAACTCCTCCTTCTGTGTCGAGTCGAGGTGGCGGTCTCTGAATGTGGGTCAGGGTAGAAGGTGACCGGGCTAACAGGGCGTGGTCGGTGGCGGTCTGCCAGGCGAGCCGTGCCTGTCACACAGATGGTGATGATGGAGGAGGGAGAGTTTGTCGTCCGTGCAGCTGCAGAGACACGCTTCATCACAACGAGGTTATCAGAGCGAGCAGACCGTGACTGCACAGGTGCATTTTGGGAAATGAAGTGAGAAACTTGGACGCAGAAAACAGACGGAGACGGATTTGAGACTAAAAACACTCTGAATTTTCACAGCTGTAGTTTTAATTTTGTGTCATTTTAAGATGATTGATTATCTATTGATTCGTTTCTCCATCTTCCCCCTTTTTTGGAACAGCAGCGTTTAACGGGACAGATTTCCATAAATAACGAGGAATTTACAGCCTGTGTGTTTATTGATCTTAAGAAGGTGTAGCACATTCCTGGTTAAAAAGCTATCTTGAAGACAGGTATCAATACGTACAAATCAACAATGATAAATCTAATATGCAAAAAGTAAAGTGTGGAGTTCCCCAAGGATCTGTTTCAGGTCCAAAACTCTTCACTCTACATAAACGATATCTGTAACGTGTCGAACCTTTGAAAATATGTTCTGTTTGCGGATGATACAAACTTGTTTTGATTTTGTTCAAAGCTCACAAAGATCTCCTTCCTTCCTGTATTCAGAGGTTGTTCCAGAACAAAGAGAACAAGTATGAACTTAGAAATAAAGATTAAGAAATAAAGAAGGATGTGCAGTTCAACACGTGGGTTCAAGAAAATGTTTCAATATAAAACGATAAATAAATACAGAGAGACTTCATGATCGTATTATCTATTATTGCACAGTATAAACAGCAATGTGCTGTGTATATGGTAGATAATGTATGGTCTATGTATAGGGTGTACGTGTGTGTATGTATGTATATGTAGGTGTGTGCATATATGTAGATATGTGTATGTATATGTATGTTGGTGTTTGTATGTACACGTGTGTATATGTATGTCCTGATATTCAAAACCAGATTTATTTATTTTTTTTGCTTCTGTTTTGTTCAGATTTATTTTGTTTATTTTTGTTTTTACTTGTTTTCTAAAAAAAAAAAAAATTGCATAAATGAACCTGGAACTGAACGAGTTAATCTGTGAGCTAAACCCGGCTGCCCTCTCTGATATCTTTGACTACACCTGAGTTATCACTCCTGCAGTCCAAGGCCTTGATTGTCACACACACACACACACACACACACACACACACACACACACACACACACACACACACACACACACACACTTTCCTGCCACGTTCACATCAGTATCCATCAAGATGGAAAGGTAAACACCCAGTGATTTTTGATAAAAGACACAAACATTACAAAGATAACGACCTGAAGGACGACTTGTGGAGAGTCATAGCGTCGGATTTCTAATCTGACGATGGTTTGTGAGCTTTAACAGTTTGATAAACGTCTTTGTTTGAACTTTCATCTGTGCTAAATAACTTTAGCTCGTAAGCTAACCTGTTCAGATACAACATACCATATGTACTTTCACTGTAAACTCAATCACAGCGTTGCTGTCACAGCACCATTAGGTCTCTGTTGTTCCCTTACGTTTATGGATTATAGTTTAATGTTCTTATCTGGTTCTGACCCAGACTCAGTACATGCTATCATGACAGACAGACATCTCAACACTAGTGTCTGATCAGAACTGAAAAACACTCAGTCTGCTGTTGGATCAGTCTTCTCGCTTCCACCCAATCGCATTGGGCTTGATGTTTATAGTCAGGCGCGTCAAAATTTGCCTCTGAATATTTCGTAATTTCGCGTTCTACATTCGTGTCGGTCCCGGTGTGTGAGGACCTTCACACTGACTGTATGTCTGTGGGATTATCCCAATATATAAAAATGGAGACAGACATTTATTTACAAATTACAGACCCACTTCCCTGCTCCCGCAGTTCAGTTATAGAAAAAGTATTTGTCCATCGACTCGATAACTTCATTGAAAAACATTTTGTGTGATCAACAATTTGGCTTCAGAATTAATCGTTCCACCTCAATGGCAGTGATGAGTTTAAAGGGTTAAATCCGTGGTCATGATGGCGTGTGGAGTAAAGTGTCAGCTGATCACTCTTTCCCCTCAGGACTGTTTCTATTTACAACTCCAACTGAGCGCACTCAAACTCATCCCCGCAGGAGCACCCTGAAAGCCCAGTGCACTCTGGGAGTTTGTCGCCTTCATCTATTGGGAACAAGACTTTAGTACATCAACACGCCAATGCTGCTAAAAAGGCGAGTTGAGCGTGAGAGCTGGCGTTGTGTTGAAGCACAGAGATGATGACTGACAGGAGGAGCAGATATCATCGATCATCTACAGTGTCACCTGTTGGTGTATCTGCACATGTGCGGTGAAGGAAACATGCCGAACCAGAGAGAGGGTCGTGGTCTACAAGGTCTCAGTGACCACCTGCTGACCCTCATCAGCTGTTGTTCAGAGGCGGAGTCTAAATGTTGTCGTCATTAGTATAAAAACAGAAATAACATTTACTCTGTTAAAACAGTTTTTCTTTAAACACGTCAGAAATTCTGTCCAACAAAGTTTTTCTAAATTGAAATCTGAATCTGAAAAATTCACATCTATAAGTTTTTGTTCGACCGACCAGAATCTGAAGAAAAACAGTTAAACTCAGCCTCTCTCTGGATCATCCTGTCCCTTCTGACACTCCTGCTTCTCTCCCTGTTGTCCTCTCCCCTCCTCCTCCTCTATCCTCCTTCTCCTCTCCTTGCTCTCTAAACCCCAATTTCCACCGCATCCAGAACGGCTCAGAGCGGCGATCTTCATCATCCGCCGATTCCTACCAGATCTATTTGTGAGGCAAGTTTTGCGGCCGATTACGGACAGCGGTAATCACGAGAACTCACAAGAACCCACGGATTCACGTTCAGTCGCGCGATAACGAGTTGTCTCTATTAAGACAGACACATAGACATACAAGCAGTAGATTGTGTCCTTTCCTCCGCCTGTTTGCCATCCATCCATCCATCCATTTTCTACCAGCACCCTGTTAAGTTCCCCATCAACCCTGTAAACTGTTTTAGAGCACGGCTAAACCTGCGATCGACAAGATGCTACCACTACGAACTCTAAACCAGGACAAAGGCCGAATATGTTTGCGTTGAAGTTTCAGGATGAGGGCGCCACACCTAAACGTCTTCCTGCGCTCATAAATTCAACCTTATAGAAATTTTGCGATCAGCTGTGGAGTCCGGCGATCCGCAGAGGAACGGAAAGAAGTCGGTGGAAATTGACACGTTAACTTGAAGTGTTACGATCAGCTACGATTGGAGGATACGACCTTTTCGTAGATGTTCTGGATGTGGTGGAATTTGGGGGTAACTTCCTCGGTCTCTCACACCTCATTTATCTTGGATCTGAATTTCTCGTGATGGAGGCGCTTTAGAAAACTTCATTTTCACAAACTTTATAACTTTATAAAACCGTCGTGGCTGCAGCAGCTGTTTTTTATGTTTTCGTCTATAACTGACATTAAAGTTCGTCTTTTCAGATCATCTTCAGACCTTCATGTCTGTGAGGATTATTTCCACCATGACTCGTCTGAAAGCTTCAACCTTTCATCACATTTACTATTTCAGGAGGAGACACCGACATGTCAGAGGGGGACATGAGTTTACAGAGAAGAGCTCCGCGCCGCAGGTGGCTGGAGTGGAGTTACTTACGTCTCCAGTGGGATCTTCATCTGAGCCTGAGCTGTAATCCACAGGAGGAGAAATCCCAGAATCCCCAGGAGGGTCCGCACTCCCAGCGTCCTGCCCCCCATCCTGAACCCTAATGTCTCCTAAAGTCTAAGATCTCAGAGGCTGTTTGAGGAGCAGGAGTCAGCTCTGAACGTTCAGGAGTTTCCTCATGTTGGCTAAAGAGAGTCCAGGATGACGAGGAGCTTCAGACCCTGACGGCTCTTCTTCCTGTCATGATGAACCCGTCCTGCTGCAGACATCTCTTCTCCCCATCCAGACTTTTTATCTCCTTTAAAGAACCTCCAGAAGTTCCTTTTTCTACTTTTAGGTCAGGAAAATGGAGAAACTTGAAGATGAAAAGGTGTCCTTCTGAGAGAGAGGAGTCTGCTCCAAGTTATTCCAGACTTTTCCAGGGGTTTTCCAGGTTTTTCCAAATTGTTCTTCATAAAAACAGGATCAGTAAGTGAGTTAATTTCTGCAGACGTTCAGCAGGGCATGAAGCCGGCTGTCTGCTGCAGATTTTACTGCCACTCGCCTCCACTGTCACCCAATTTGCAACATAATCCACTTGGATTAAAAACTGCTCTTCCCCATGGAGAGAGAGAGAGAGAGAGAGAGGGAGAGAGAGAGAGAGGGGAGGGAGGGAGATATTGGAAGAGAGGATTGGACGAGAGCTCGGTTTTATCTAAGAGGATTAGAGTGATTTGAGGAGACGGACTCCTGTCCGACCAATCAGAGCGGCCGGAAGAAGAGAAGAAACTCTGAGGTTCAGAGAGAGAGAGAGAGAGAGAGAGAAGTGAAGTGACGCCCCAAACACACACACACACACACACAGTCAGGAATTCAAACTCCATGTCTGACTGAACCTGAGAGACGAACTGATCTGAGGTCAGAGTTTTGATCAGAAGTTTCTAACCCCGATAATTCAACGCCTCTGTAATCTCAATCCTCTGAGGTAAACTGATCACTAATCTAGGAGGCTGCAGGTTGGTTCACAGTAGGGACGGCGATAAATTATCATTCAGAAAATTCCTTCATGATAAATATTTGCTATCTCACGATAATCGCGATACATGGAAGTTGATGATGTTAGCTCGTTGTAAAAGTCGGAGGAAACCTCAAGGACCAAAACCAAGACTGGATGGTCCTGATCTTCAGGCCTTCAGGCAGCTCTGTATTGAAAACAGACATGGCTCTGAAGTGGAAATCACCACGTGCATACACATAGGTTAAATCTGCATGTAAAAGAGGAAAAACACCATCAAAAGTATCTGAAATTCTGGGGTCAGAATAAAACCTGTGCATGAATTTAAAGTCCTTCCTAGTTTGACCTGGAGTTAATCTATAATTTCACCTGTTTTATAACACCCTGAGTGTGTGTGTGTGTGTGTGTGTGTGTGTGTGTGTGTGTGTGTGTCCTGCAGGAGTTTAAAGTCTTCAAAAATCCAGAAATGTAACTCATGATAAACTTGGATCCTCTGACACTAAAGTAATTTGGTGTTAAATGTAGAAAAACTGGGTGCAGGTCTGCAGGCAGCAGCTACAAGGTTTCAGGGTTCCTGAATTATTGATCAGAGTCTCCAGAATAACCACAGAGTGATCAATCGATCAGAGGTGATCTGATCCTTCACCGCAGTGACCGCCGCCGCCGCTTTACGTCTACGAGTGCTTTTAGTAAACTGCAGCGCTGACTCAGACACTCTTTATTTACTGTGTCTATAGAATAAGATCATCCTGAGAGATTAAAACAATAAATGGATTTTAAACTGCTCTGTTGCAGAGACACACTGTCCGCAAACACCTCTGTTACTGAGTCCACAGCTCCCTCTAGTGTTCAAACACAGAGCTCACAGGCTGTATCAGCTGTAGGAAAGAGTGCATGACTGCTAAGACAAAAACTGACTCTACTCTGCCTACTAGTGGACAAACAAGGTAAAACATAAAGCCACTACTGAACAAAACTCTCTTCATCTCTTTTGTTATGAATAATAATAATAATGATAAATAATAATGGAGTACATACGGTATGCTGTATAGTCAATATATATTACATACCATACATGTATCATATCATAGCCTTTGTATTGTTAAACATGTCATATCAAATTCTCTGCATATACTGTATATCATGATATCATGCCTCTATATCATGATACAAACATCAAAGCCAGTGTATCATGATAAATCTCATTATCCTGATTCATATCAGCAATGGCCTCTGTGTTATGTTCACATTATAGCCTTTGTGTTATGTTTTAGCCTCTATATCAACCTCATCAGCCTCAATACCCTGATACATATCATCTTATGACCTCGGTATCCTGATATGTCATCGCCTCTATATTATGACATTCATCACATCATAACAATTGCACTATGATACATATACTCCAGCCTTTATACTGTTACATCTATCTGTGTCATGATACATATTAAGCTGCCCCTAAATCATTATATGTATCATATCACGGCCTGTGTATCATTACATGTACTACATCATCACATTTATATCATGACACAGATCCTATTATCGTCTCTGTATCATGATACATAGAGCATCCCTCAGCCCTCCTGATATGTACCATATCATAGCCTCCGTATTATATGGACAGTATATCAGGACCCTTGTATCATGATATGATTGCATCACAACCTCTATATTTGAATAAATATACTGCCGCCTCTATATCATGATAGATATCACAACATAGCATCATCCGTATCTGTTGCATATATGATAGCCTCTGTATGGTGATACATACAGTTTATCAGTCTGAATCATGACATGTATCTTATCAACTATATCATGACTCTGTATCATGATATATATATTAGTCAATATTTAATTATGTGACATATCATGGCATCTGTATTATGCATATAAATATATAAAGGCTTCTATATCTTGATACATACTATCATAGGTTCTGTATCATGATATGCGTCCTATCATGGCCTCTGTATCAGGATAATTACCATATCCTGAATTTGTATTGTATTTTGTACATAATATCAAGCTCTCTGTGTCCTAATACTGATAATATTGTTGCTTCTGGATAGTTAGAGCTAACATATTACCTGTATTGTGATATGTATCATAATATGACCTTTATGTCATGACAGCCTGGGCTTTGTATCATGACATGTAGCTATCATGGCCTCTGTATTGGCATAGAAATCACATACTAGAATGTGGGAAATACCCCAAAACAAATGACCAGAGGTGAGGATTTCTGATCGATTAATAAGTGACCTGAAAGCTTCTGACCTGACCTGACCATGACCTGAAAGCGATACCAGCCTATAGAATCCAACAGAACCACATCATCTGCATCTCACCTCTGAGGCCCCCCCTAACTGCAGACCCTCCTCCCCCCAGGCTGCTTTTGAGACTGAAGTTTCTCCTGATCGAACCATGAACACAACCCACAAAGAAGACCTGAGTGATGTGGTCCAGTCAGAGTCGGGGCGCTTTAATCAGATTTATTAATAATCAGATTTATTGATAATCAGAGTTAAAGTTGTTGGTTTGAGTTTTTCCATCACAGAGGTCTCTCCCCCACTGTGATTGGCCCAAAAGACGTCTCCTGCTCCCACTGAGCACCTGCAACACACAAACATGGACCTCAGAATGTTCATATGAAGACCATCAGGACCCCCCACCCACTTTAAGAGGATTTGTTTACGATAAAAAACAGCATATGGGAAAGCATTTTAACTATTTCTTTAAAATAAATGTTTATTTTACGGTTAGTTTTTATTTAAAACTCATTTATTAAGATTCCTGATGAGCAGCTGATTTACTTCATCTAAATTACTAAAAACATTTTCTAAAAAACTCTGAACTCTGTCTTTAAATTCAAGAACTTTAAACTTTTGATTTTACAGCCCAAAATAAAAATAAAAATCCAAATTAAAGAGTTTTTTGACATCAGACAGACAGCAGCTAAAATAAGAGCTGAGCAGACATCGCTTTAGAGCAGAGGTCGCTCTAACAATAAAGGTTATTAAATTAAGAGGATTGTAAACGAGCAAGTAAACGGATTTCATCTCACTTAATGCTGCTGTTATCATAAATGAGGTTCATTTTTCAAAAGAAACAAATTTGGCACAACTGGACAGATTTACACGAGAAAAGACAAAAAAATTTAAATATTATAATTCTAGTATTTTCTGTCGCTTCAGACCTTCATCGGTTTGTTTGTCTTTAGAGTTAGAGGTTCAGAAACAGATCAGAGGAGTCTGGATCATTAAGATCACACACAAAGACGGTAAACACACAGACAGACAGAGTCTCACTCTGGTCTCAGATGTCGACCTCCTCTCAAAGAGTTTAAAAGGTTTTAAATTTGTGCTGCTTCCTGTTTAGTTTGGAGAATAAAACTGTTTGATGTGATTAAGAGCACCTTAAGTTACTTCCTCTGATGTTAATGATGTTAAAAACTCAAATAAATCAAATCAAAGTACATCCACTCACCTGCTCCTGTCAGGTGACTCTGGCTTCCTCTCCCACAGTCTGTATCACAGCAGGTACATGCATCATGGCTGCCGCCGGCCTCCCTCCACCTGTCAATCAAAAACTCGGCCTTTCAAAATAAAGTTTGATATTAAAGATTTCTCATTTTTCTCTGTCAGAGACTTTTTCATTCATCACCTGTCAGCTCTTCACTTCTCCTCGTTCTCACATCCTCCTCCTCTTGACCTCAACCGTAAATCTGTTCTCCTCAAAATTATGTTGTGTTACCATGGCGATTAATGTGTCGATTACTGCAGCTATAACTTTGGTGACCGACACTAGGACGACAGTTTTCCTGTCTGTTTTCCAGCACATCGCCAGCTCCCAGATTTCAGCATTTTTTCCCGGTTACAGTTTTAGTCGAGGAACAAAACTGAACTGTTTTTGGCTGTGTTAAATATATTTGACTCTGATTGGCCGAAAACCCAATGACAGGAGCGATCAAGTCTCAGGAAACCATGGTGACTGCGTTTTGAGTGTTTTATAGTGGAGTTAGAGCAGAGGAGGTGTTGGAGGAGATGTGATGAATTCAGCTGATGAGTTATTGTTGTTATTTCTGCACCATATGAACATTTTCTACGATGAAAATATGATGCAAAAATATAGAATCGGGTCCAGAAGTGTCACATGAAATATAAAGTATAAAGAGTTTAAAAGGTGATAGTCACAGGAGTTTCAGGTTAAATACGATAATGTGGATAAAACTCAAGATCTGCTCTTTGATACGACACTAAAGTGAACTCATTTTTAAGCAGAAATGAGGCGAGTTGTTGTGAAATTAAATTAAATGTAAAGGAAGCTGTTATAATATCAGATAATCCTGGTGTTAAAGGTGTTTGGAGCAGACGTAGAGTTAGTTTAGTCTCACCCGTTGAAGAACGAACACGCCTTATTTGAAGCGTCGACGGCTGCAGACGCTACTGTCGCTCTCACACTGCAGGTGATGTAGATCTAAAGACATTACAGCGTTAACTTTAAGAATAAAATGTTAGAAATGTTTTTAAAAAATCTGTTTAACAGTGAAGAGAATGAGGACGATGATGCGTTCAAGGTCTCACCGTGCCGCTGTCGTCCTGCTGGAACCTGAACGCCTCCAACTCGAACTGCAGTTTGTCATCCTGAGACCGAGGCAGGAACCGAGAGCTGGAGCCGGTGAGCTGACTGTCGAACAGGCACCTGAACGCAACACAGAAAAATCAGGTGAAGCTCCTGAACGCAACACGGGAGACCGCTATAAAATCCTGAACAAAAAGACAACACACAGAGGAGGAACCTGAACGCAACACGGAGAAGAAGGTGGAAGAGAGAAACCCTTCAAACACTGGGCACCTGAACGCACCACGGACAGATATCACACAGAGTAGACAGATGATGACAAAGACCGCCCACTGACCCGTTATTTCCCAGGAAGACGTATCGAGGGACGGTGTCGATGTTGGGGTGGACCGTGGCCACGCAGCTGTCCACGGTCACTCTGAGGGGAGCGTGGTGAAACTGTTGGACTGAAACCTCAAACTTCATCATGTCTCCCAGGATGAGCTGAGCGGACGGGCGAGGGAACTGCCAATCATCTGAGAGACGGAGGAGAAGGAGGAGAAGAAGAAGAAGAAGAGTGAAACACAGGATCAGTCAGACTCTCATGTTCATGGATAACACTAAAACAAACCCGTGTGAGGACTGCATATGAGAGTTAGTACCATGTTCTTCCACCGGGTGGTGCTCTGACTGTACTAGAGTATGAGGTCCACACACATGTTCTCAGGGCTGGACCTCCATCATGTTCTGCTGCAGCTCATTAAATCAGAATATCAACAAAAACTTGATTTATATAAAAAGTTAAACTCATGTTTTATCGATCGATCACACGGTCTGATTGATCTAACTCCTTCTTCATCTTCCTGATCGATAAACTCAACGTCTTTCACTTTTGTTTGTCCAAAAGTTCATCAATAACAAACTGAAACTTTCAGAAACTTTTTCACCTTTTCATCCGACCTTCACCCGTACTCAACAAGACAACTCTGTAGAACTCTGTATCAGCCTATCAGCTTCGTTCCCTCCTCGCTCTGTTTTTAATCTGTGCTAAATACAGAAATACAAAAATACAAATATATTTGAACACAGAGTCACGAGGAAGACGAGAGGTGACCAGGAGACGATCATTGAGGAGGGAGGAGACTATTTACTGGATCTATGTGATGTTTGAGTTTCACTTTTTTAATTAATATTAATGATATCTGTACAGTTAGTGATACATTAAGATATGTTATGTTTGCAGATGATACTAATTTATTTTGTTCATGAACATCAAGGATTCGTTAAAAACTGTAGAAATAGAATTGATGAAGTTAAACTAATGAGCTGTCGTTAAATTAAATCAAACTAAATTTACGTTGTTTGGTGGTAAAAGGACAAACATTGAGGTACAACTGGATTTAAACAATGTTGACATAGAAAGAGGAGATGAAACTAATCAAGAAGCCTCACATAAAAGATGTAAAACAGAAATGACCAAAAGTTTATTTCTATTCTTTATAAAACTAGAGATTTACTGAGTAAGAACTTCCTTCATCTGCTGGACTTTTCTCTTATGTCTTTTATGACAAACTGAGCTGAAATCTGGGGAAATTAATATAAAATGAATTTAGATCCAATAATCAAACTGCAGAAAAAAAAAAGAGATATTAGGAGAATAAATGAAGTTTGAGTCGACAAATCAGCTTTTTATAAAGATCATAAACTAATAACTTTATTTAAAACATTAGAAATTATGTTTGTCGTGGTAAATAAGATGATCTCTGTCTGTATTCAAAGAATGTTGAAGCTAAGGCCTTAGGAGGATTTATAACTGAAGGGGGCGCTAATGTTTGAAACTTATAAAGTCAGAATTAATCTGAAGTCCAGATGTGTGTCAGTTTGGAACGGACTAAACCATGAAATAAAGATGAAATAAAGATGAAATAAAGATGAAATAAAGATGAAATGCAGATGTGTAACTCTATATTAGTTTTCAAGAAGACTCTTAAATGATCAAAGTTTACAAAGAAATTTGACTGAATTGGATTTTTCAGTTGAAGCTCTTTTGTGTTTTGTAATGATAAACTAGTACTGATGTTTTTATAGTGAATCATTCCTATGATGGTTCAGGATAAAGAAACCTCGGGGCTTCAGCCTTTTCCTTTTTCAGTTTCTGTCTGATGAGTTTTTTGTAAAAATATGAGTTTATTTTTTGTTTTTAAGCTGAAATAAAAACATTAATTCATTCATTCATTCATTAATAAATCAACTTTTCTAATGATGTTCTGATTTATTGAGATGCACCCGCACATGATATTTCACGCTGATCTAACTCTGGTTAAAAGAGGGTTAACTCAAAATACAACTTCCTGTTTTATGGCGAAACATCAAAGTTTGACGCAGAAAAAAAGCCGAAGGATGATTTTAGTCAAATCTGTGAATAAAGTGATTAAAATCAAGTCTAGATGGTGGACTTCCTGTTAGGTAGGAGAGGGTTTTTGTAGGTTTTATCATGGAATCATGGATGTAAGCTGAACTGTGTGGATGTTTGAAGTCTGGAAACTGAAGGGGGCACTGCAGAACCATCAGAGAATTCAGGCCTGCTGTGTTTGCAAAGAAGAGGGGGCATGTTAGGACCTCCAAAACAGATCATCCAGAGGACTCAGATCATCAGGAATGAACTCGGACTGGACTTTAATTCCTCTCCGACTCTGACGCTCAGACTCCAGGTTCGGTTCTCAAACTTTAAACGTCTGAAAACCATCAGGAAACGTTTGAAGCGACACTAACCCGTCATGAGGCTGAAGGAGAAGTAGAGACTTTCCTCTGAAGCTTTGCTGTCTCTGAAGGGGTTCCAGGTGGGCTTCAGGACCTCGCTGCTCACATTAGACTTCCTAAAAACACAAATCAAACCAAAGTCCTCCTCTCAAAGACACTCGGATTATCTGAAAATCTAAAACGTAAACAGACACACGTGTTAAACCGACCTCGGGTAGTGACACTGGATGCTGACTGAGACGTCTCTGGTTCGCAGGATCTGACCGTCCCCCAGAGTGGGGGTGTGGATCAGCGTGAAGGTGTAGATGAACGAGTCTTCGGTCATCTGAAACAAGTTTAAAGGAATCAGACGAAAATAAAACTCTCTGTGTTTGAACAGGAACTGCACTCAGGTCACTGAACAGAGCTTTGAGACGATCCTGCCGGGATGAAGATGTGAAGACGGCGTTTACAGAGGCGACATGTTGACATGGACATCAGAGGTTTGGGACGAGGGTTCAGAGTCTGAAGACAGGGTCCTGTTTACTCTGAAGAAAGCTGCTGGTGGACTCAGACAGGCAGAAACCTCAGGGTGGAGGAAGCTGACTTTGTTTATCATTAACCCTTTAAACCCCGACGATCAAGTATTTAACTAACGAACTCACAGCTCTCAGGGTTTTGAGGATGTCTGCAGAGGACGAGGATTTTATCAGAGAGAAACGAAGAGGAAGGACTGCCCGTATAAACCAGTTTGTGTGACTCTGACCCATGTTGTCCACGTTAAACCCTCACCTGTAACTGACTTCCACATCCATGCAGCTCCGACTCAAAGACCAGGACCTGAGCTTCAGGGTCCTCCCCTGTTGCAGGACATCCTCCCAGCGTCACGTCTTCAGTCCGGACAGGTTTACCGATCCCCAGAAGGTCCATTTTGGCCTCCACCCGGACTGCGCTCTCCCCACAGACGACGCTGACGCTGTTGGCGGCTGTTGGAGTTTTCAGTTCAAACTCTGGAGGGAATCGAGGCTCGTCCTCCGGAGGAGGGTCAGGAAACCTCCAAGTTAAGGGTTCATAGAAAGACTGTTTCTGCTGGAGGAGAGCTGAGGAGGAGGGGATACGATCCATCAGTCCAAAATTTAGAATTCACTGACAATCGACTGTTGATCTTGTAAACCGACAAACTGACTTTAATTTAAACAGATTTCCATTTAAGGCGAAGGTGAAGGGTCGGTCTTTAGGCTGCAAAAGAGGTGGATCATGATCTAAGATGTTTCACTGCAGTCTCTCATATTTTAGATTTATATTAAACTGTTTTTTTTATTGTTTTTATTTAGTGTCCTATATTCTTAATCTCGGTGTATTTGCACTCGCAGAGTTACCTGCCTAATGCTGTCGTATGCAGAGTTAACAGTAACAATAACATATCCTAACTGCAGAGATTACAGTTCATCTCAGTTACTCAAACACTAAACCTCCGACCTGAACTCTTCGTGGTCTAAACTCACTTTTCTAATCAAACCTGATCAGGTACTTGGACGACATTTTCAGACTTCATCTGCTCTTTTTTAAAAACCTTAAACTCTTTCTCAGTCACAAACACGTTTCACACTGTGACGGTCAACACTGGCGCCAACATGTGAACACAACTCCAACACGGCGTTCACCATGTTCACCAACAACCACCTGATTTACATGATATTAAATGAATGTTGCTTTGGTTCATGTGGTGTGGATCAGGTCCAGACTACCTGCTGGTTCCTGGCCTCCAGTCTGGTCCTGTTTCTGCTCCCGGTGTCGGTCCTGAGCGGCTGAAGCTCCAAACAGCAGACACAAACAGATTCTGACGAGCAGCTTCATGTTTTTAACTCGAGTTTGTTTTTCTGCTTTCTCTTTTAAAACTCACTCACCTGAGCTGCAGGTGGCTTTGTAGAGTTTCAGGTTAGCCCCGCCCACTTCCTGATTGACCTCATGTTCCTGCAGCTGTGACCTGCACTGAGCTGCTTCATTCAAACACACAGAACTTTATTTAAAACACAATCTTTGAACATCCAGATTCTACACAGCTGGAGAAAGTGAAATTGAAGCAGTAAAGACGTAAAATCATGACAACAGTAATTAAGAATAAATGATAAAATTAAGATTATTCTTGAATTAGAAAAACTAAATAAAAACAGGAAACAGTGGCAGACGTGGGCAGCTTGAGGGGCGGGGCTCTGGGTCCTCTACCAGGGAAATCTGAACATCCTGATTCCCTGAATTCTGGTGAATATTTATGAAAACTTTAGTCATGAATATTTAATCATGTAGAGAGAAAACACTAAATAATCAAAACACACTTTAAAATATAACACTACCAGCTCAAACTGTTCATGTCAGTCACCAAAAAAACACTTTATCACTTTTAACTCTTCACAAACTATACCTGAGGGCAAATTTTTGACATGAATTTTACTTTAGGGCCTCCAGGGGCCCCTTTTCTATATCTGACAAACTGGAAGGGTATTCAGGTGAAAGGTTGATGTTACATTTATTGAGATTATTTAGTATCAACAAGAAGAAAATCAAGAGGGTATTATTTCAGGGGCTTTTTTGGTAGGGCATCCAGAGGGAACTTCTTAAAAAGGTCTTTTCCGTGAGGGGTATCCAAAGTGAACTTTTTGAGATCTATTATACTTGGAGGGCATCCAGAGGGAACTTTTAGGGGTCCTCTATACTTGGAGAGCATCTAGAGGGAACTTTTAGGGGTCCTCTATACTTGGAGAGCATCCAGAGGAAACTTTTTAGGGGTCCTCTATACTTAGAGGGTATCCAGAGGGCACTTTTAGGGGTTCTCTATACTCAGAGAGCATCCGGAGGAAACTTTTTAGGGGTCCTCTATACTTGGAGGGTATCCAAAAGGCATTTTAAGGTCTTCTATGCTGGGATGATTTTGGGTTTCATATTTTGGGAGTGCATCCAGAGGGAACTTTTGAAGTTTCAGATGGAAACATGACTCAATTATTTTAATCAATTCCCACATCTATCACAAACGCCACTTACAGAAATATTTTAATTTTCAGAAAACAAAATAATGAAGAGTTTTTACTTGAACTTTAATAACAATAATAATAATAGGAATACTTAAGTTTGGTACTTAGAAAAGAACTAAAAAGAAAATCTCAGATTCTTCCAGAGGTCCCAGAATATTAACTGACATTTAATTTGACATTAGAGTTTGGCATTTGAGCAGTAAAACTTATAATCAGCAGAGCTCTGTTCTCAGAAAGTTAAAGCTGTTTTTCTGGAGAAATTTGAACATGAATAGAGACGTTATTTTCATATGATTGATGATCTATTAAGAGTCTGAGACTCATTACCAATCAGGACCCTCCCACACTCATGCAGCACAAACCTCATGGTCTGAAGATGCTGCAGTTTTCATGGGAGCACGCCGACTCCGTCTCAACGCTCCACGGCCATGATGAAACGTTGGCAGACAGCAGGGCGGCAGATCAAAGCTGTGGCACAGACGCTGCATACAGACTGATCCTGGATCAGCTCAGCTCAGGGTCTTAGAGCCAGGATCGAGGTCGCATCAGACAGGTAACAGAAACCCCAAAGTGATGTTTGCCTTGTTGTGTGTGTTTGATATCGCAGATACTCAGTGTGTCTTTTTAAGGTAGGATTGGTTATCTGAAAGTAGAAATTAAGAATATTAATGTTTATTTGTTTATAATTTTTGTAAATCTGGTTAAATTTGAGAGATTTTGCAGGGATTTAATTTTCAGTGATTGGATTTCAGGGCCTGTGTCCACCTAAAGCATTCTTGTGCTTGTAGTGCTCACAACCTCAATTTTTAAGGTTTTACTTTTTCTATCTACAAAAGTCAACCCACTGCAATTTACCTTCCTTTAGCAACGACTATAAGGTCTGTTTTTAATCTGTTATATTTGCTTTTATTTTGGAGGCAGTTTTAGGCTGCCAGTGCAAAATGAGCAAAAAAACAAAAAAACTCAGTCAGTGGACACAGGCCCTTAAAATAAGATTTTACTCATTTTTCACGCTTGTCGTAGCACATTATCGTACATCAGTTAGTCGAAATGACATCAAGTTTTTTTCGAACTAGCGATGTCAGCATTTGGTTGGATCCAGAATTCCAAGTGTGTGTGTGTGTGTGTGTGTGTGTGTGTGTGTATGTGTGCGTGTGTGTGTCACAGACTAATGAAGGACCTGATGGACTTCATTCTGTTGAAATTGTTTATTAATCATCAGAGGCAGAAAAACGTGCCTCCCTCTGTGTCCTCTGTGAGCTCCATCAGTCCAGCCAAGGTCAAGCTGACACACACACACACACACACACACACACACACACACACACACACACACACACACACACACACACACACGCTTTAGATTACTTGTGATAGCGATCCTGAGAGGAAAAGAAAAGGAGAAGTGATGGGACACGAGCAGCAGACAAAGAGAACAGGGAGGTGAGGCTGAAGATAAAGAAACAGTTTGTCTGTTCGTCACATGGCTGAGAATCTAGAACATCTCTAATCTACATTTTTACTGCAGATTTCACTTTTAACTCACTGTTTAATATTTATGACCCTCTTTAAAACCTTATATTTGTAGTTCAGCTACATCTATTTTAAATCTTGTTCTGTGGCGGTCGATCATTTTAAAAAATTTTGGGTAAGAAAGGTGAGACGGCGCCCTCGAACTGTCTTCTGACGTTACTGGATTAAAGTTTTTATCACATGATGCAGAAGACCCTTCTGAGTGAGAACAGACAAACTCTGATCCACCGTACTCCACCAGAAACACTTTGCAGTACCGTATTTTTCGCACTACAAGGCGCAACATCAATGAACGCGTCTATTCGCTTCATACGGCGCACCGGATTATAAAGCGCATTAAGCCAAACAAATCAGTCAGATAAATCAAACTTTATTTAACTCATTCAATAACTCCGCGAGACTAAGGTAGCTGCAGCGCTCCGACAAGCCAAAAGGATTTTAAGTGCGCCTTATAGTGCGAAAAATACGGTAAGTTACAATGGAGAGGAAGAACTTTCGTCAACAGGCAGAAACCTCGAGCAGGACCAGACTCATTTTAGCACCAATTTTCACCTCATCCGGAACAGCTCCAATCTGGAACGGCGGCAATTTTTGCCGTCCGCCAATTCCTACCAGATCCATTAGTGAGGCGAATTTTGTAGCAGATTACGGACAGCAGGAATCGGGAGAACTCACAAGAACCCAAACACGCTAATATCATGTAGACCATTCAGAAGGAGTTCTGGCGCTGTGGGCAGGTACCGGGTACTGCTGGAGGACTAACCCGGGATTCCCACCACTTCCGGGACGGCTCCAATCCAGAATGGCATCGATTTTCACCGAACACCAGTTCCTACCGGATGTGTTTATGAGGCGAATTTCGTGGCGGATTTTGGACAGCGGCAATCATGAGAACTCACAAAAACCCGCAAATTCACGTGCAATCACGCAATAACAAGTTGTCTCTATAAAGACAGACACAAGTCCGAGCTTCATCAAAAAGGAAAGTTCTGTTTTTTATAAAGATTTGATTTGATCCTCGTATGAAATCAAGTAAGTGTTAAATAATGAAGGGAATGTGTGTGTGTGTGTGTGTGTGTGTGTGTGTGTTAGCATAAGCGTTAGCACTGGTATCCTCCTTCCATTCATTTCCTGTATAAACTGCAGCAGCCTCCTGGGGCTGTTAGCGGCTCACCTTCACTGATATTAATGAGCTCTCTCTGCTCATTTCCTTTATTTATTAACCGCTAACAGCCGCAGGAAAGAGGAGAGAGAGTGTGTGTGTGTGAGCGTGTGTGTGTGTGTGCGCAGAGGGCTCAGTCGTTTAACGTCCTGTTATTTTTACGCAGACGTGGCTGTTTTTGTGGGTTTTTGTTGTTTTTTATTTCTGGAAAACGAAGCAGTTTGTTAATGATGTCGATGGCAGCAAGTTTCCAGGACGACCTTGACGAAGGAGGAGGAGGACAGAGGTTGGAGATGGAGAAACTCTTCTGAGTGTTTTTATTTAATGTGGACCTGTTTCATCTATTGAAACGCTCACAACTGTGAGAAATGCGGACAAAGATTTACAGGAAACGTAACATTTCTGCACAAAAGCATCTAAAGTCATCTGAACAGATGATGAATAATCTGTTTAATTATGTAATCCCAGAGAAACTCTTCTTACAACACTCAAACCTCGATAATCTGGAGTTATTAAAATAGATCTTCACTAAATAAACACCCGACTGACCTGAAAGAGACAGAGGTTCAACGTTCATGTTCACAGTTTTTATTTATTCTTTTTTGTTTGTTTTTAAAACTCGTCTTAAAACCCATTTTTATTAATTGGCTTTAAACCCTGTATGAGACTCGGATCCTGTTTTAGTGTTTTATGGTTTGTTTTTAGTTATTTGTTTCTATTGTTCTTAAATTTTTAATATCTGCTTTTATTTTAGCCATTGTTTTAATTGTTTTTTTTTATTGTTTTTATATCTGCGTTCTTTTGTCTATTTATGTACAGCACTTTCTTCAGCTGTGGTTGTTTTAAAGTGCTTTACAAATAAAGTTGAGTTGTTGTTTCAGTGTAGTCAAAAAAATCTTCATTTAAGCAACAACTTCAGATAAAACTAATAAAACTTCAGTGGATTAGTCTTATAGTTCGATTCTGTAGTACTTTTTCTCTGCTCTCTTCTATTCTTTTCTATTTTATTTAAATTTTTTCAATTCACTGATTCCATTTTTTCTATTCCATTCTTGTCTGTTTAAGTCTCCTCTTTTCTCTCTTCTATTCTTTCATATATTTTCTAACCTAATCTTCATTATTTTAAAACCAAACTCATAATATACCTTTTTAATCTTGCTTTAAAAACCATTTTTATATCATTAACCTAAAGTGTTTTAGCATTTATCTCGTTCTAGTTTTAATGACAGCATCGTCTCTTATTGAGCATTTTTGTTGCTTTTATTTTAGTCTTTTACTGTTGTTTTAATTTCATTTTATTTATTTATTTATTAAATTTCCTTTTAAGTTACTTTGATTTTAGATTTTAAACCTCCAGAGTTTCTTTATCTTGAATTTTAAAACGGCGTTTCCTCAGTGCGCACATTCCTGTTTCTATGAAATCGAGCCGTTTTTAAGTTCATGCGTTTTAATACGTGTTTCTGGGGCAGAATTCTTTGCTTTTTTTCCTCCTTCGCTGTGTAAAGCACTTTGTACTTTATGGTTTTGTATGAAAAGTTCTGTATGAATATGAGTATTTCACTTTGCTATATTTAATCCTTAGTGTTTCAGTCTCTTTTGTTCTCCTTGATTGTATTTTAATTCTATTCTTTTAATTGTATTTAATTTGATCATATTCTATTCCTTCTATTCTAATTTTTTATTATACCCTTCTTTATTCTCTCCTCCTGACTCAGTCGTCTAACATAGACACCGACCACATACTCTAGTATCTGCTGATAGTCCAGTATGATGGCGGGTAAAGTAAACACATGAATCAAGCCTGACATTAAAAAGGTTAAACTCAGAGTTCTCCTGAGTGTCTCAGTCCTCCTCCACTCCACATCACTTCTGTGTATTTATATATAAACTGTGTTACCTGAGTCGGGGTCATCACTGTTCACTCATTTTTCTTGATTATAGTATCTGGAACCACACTGAGCCGCTGTAATGTAGCCCTGAATAGTAAGTGCCATTCACAGCGCTCTTTAACAGCGGGAGCTGTCGCTGCCTTTCTTTAGGATTCTTCACAAAGCCAAGGACGGTTACTCACCGCAGTTCTCCGCCGCTCAGACCTCACACTTACTTCTTATTATAACAGTGAACAGCACAGGAAAGCTGCTCCTATGAAGTGACTCTGAAGAGTTCGCTTGTTCCTGTTGAGCCGGATTAAAACAACATGTTACGGGTCCCGGGCACGGTGACCACGATAATAAAAAGAATGCGATCTGTAGACTAAAGGTAGAATCTCAGAGCAACAAGAACTAGGAGCACTTTATCTTTCTCAGTATCTTTAATTTTAACTTTTTATGTTTTACATTCATTTCCTTGTCAGGGCTGCTGAGTGTGACGGCCCCTGTGTAGGGTTGGGTATCGTTTGATTTTGAATGATTCCGATTCCTCTTTCGATTCCGGTTCCGGTTCCTAACGATTCTCTATCCCGATTCTTTTAAAAGGCATGGCAGCTGCTCTCCCTTATGTTAGTCTCAATTAACCAGAAATTAGAAAGTAGGTTTTAAATGTCGGCGCTGTTGTGTGTGAAAGATAGTTAGAGATGCCAAGACCCGCCTTACGTTACTTCTGATTGGTTTATGTTGAGTGGTGCCTTCCGTGGTTGGTGAGATTGAGATTTAGACTCAGATTCAGACAACTTTATTTATCCCCAAAGGACAATTCTGTTTGCAGTTACCCTGCCGTTTGATCCGTCCAAACCCACAAATCAGCAGACAAACAAACCAGACAAGTGCAAGACATTAATAGCAGCTAGTAGACGACCACATTCCCTTGTTAGTACTCACAGATCAGCAGGATCAGCAATAAATAGTTAAATAAGTACAATAAGCTGTCAAGTTCCACAGAGCAATGGTTCAAATACAATAAGATCCACAAGTATGAGACACGAGATAAGAAATAAAACACTCCTGAAGCTCCAGTTCAGCACAGATATGACCACCACATATGACCATCAGCCGACTTCCCGGCATTTAAGAGCCTGATGGCTGAGGGGACAGATGGATTGGTAATCTCGGTCAGTCATTTAGAGTTACTCGAACTACAGCAAGCCAAGTTTATTATCATGAGAAAAATAAATAGAGTATTGAATGGGGAAATATGAGCGTGAGAAATGTCAAGTTTGGATTGTGGTGTGAGAAGGGGTCGGATTTGACTGACTTCAAGGAAAACAGTGCATTACTCTGGATTCTTTTGTTCATTGAATCTCTGACTGAATATTAATTATTTTAACACGACTGTTGAAACCAAATAAAACCAACAGATAGAACATTCAGGAACCATCAAACACATAAAGTCACATCAGGAGGCTTGAGAAATTAATACTGATAATTTACATGAATGAAAACTAACAAAGAGGGAACTGTGAGAGAAAACAGGATTTAGCGCGAGCTGGCAAACTCTCGCGATAACACAGCAAAATCACGCGAGATTATCGGCGCAGCGCGGCTGGCTTTACCGCCATTACTTGCCGTGGCTCAATAAACTTACTCTAAAGTTACGAAATTCATCCAAAAACTAGTATCTGTAACTTAAAGACGTAACACAAAACTTAAATGTTTCATTAAAAGCGATTTCAGCCTCTACTAACCTGCAGAATAAAGGAGGAGCGTCAGAGAAACAGGAACACAGATCAGTCTCCAGATTAAAGGGGACAGGAAGTCCGTCATCATTAGGTGACCAGGATGCGCGATTACAGTGACAAAGGTTCCGCTTACCATTTCTCTCCTTCAGTCCAGTGGCGGCCCAAAGGGGGCGCTGGGGCGCCGCCCTCCCTGAAAAAATGAGTGGAAAAATGTATCTAAAAACATATTTATACAATAAAGATGTTTTTACCAACTATTGTGGGGCCACTTGCAATACCAATCATTTAAACTACATTCCCACCTGCTATTTTTCATTTACCGTTAAATTTCCACTGACAGACTCGGTCAGATTGCCCCAGCACTGTATGTTGTGAGGCGTGGGTAGCTCGGTGGGTAGCTCGGTGGGTAGCTCATCCAGTTGGAGTTCAAATCCTGCATGAGACACATCAATAAGGAGCAAACTACATCTAGTTTGAGTCCTTATGCAAGACCCTTAGCGCTATGGCCTACCTCATAAACACGAGTGTGTTACCATTTAAAGACAAACTGGTTTAGACGTCGCCAAGGTTACCAAAGTCTGTGTCACATGATGAGGAACCAGGGCAATGTGATGAGAAATGGGCTTCTGGAACAACAACAAGAAGGGGATGGACATGAGATGAGACATAAATGTGGACATAGTAGTGTTTGCCTATCCCGTCCTCTGCCCGCTTGAGGAGCATCTATAGACTAAAAAGTTCCTCCTGGTAACTTTTGACCATCTAATCATTTATTGTGAAAACACCTCTTCTCTGTCACGGTAAAAAATGAGGAAATAAAAACCATAAATCTTGTCGATGATCTCGTTTACTCTCAAATATTATGTGGATTTTCGTCAATTTCATTAACGTGAAAAACTCCTGGTTTGATTAAATAAAGACTCAGGGTTGTGCATTCATTAGCATGATGAGGGGGCGGGGCTGACTTGACAGACAGGTGGAGGTGTTGCAGCTGTTTTTCAGGATGATTGGGCTCCGCCTCTTCGGCTGTTTGCAGAGATATTAAAAATAAAGTGGAGTCAGCGTTTTTAACATGGAAACCTCCTCTTTATGTGACATTATGATTTAAATGGTAAAGGGAAAATATTACATGTAAACTGAAGTAAAAGTCAGAAGTTTCATTTTCTTGTTTCAGGGTTTATCATGAATCGTCTTTTGAAGCAGGTAAATTTTAGAGCAACGTTTTCTGAGTCTATTTATCGTTATCGAGGTGAACTGATCAATACATCGTGATATTGATTTGAGGACAAATCGCCCAGCCCCACATGCGCTTAACTATACATCCACTTGGGGGCGCCACTCAGACTCAAAATTGACCCCGAAAATGAAGAAGGTGAGTCAGACTCATTTGAAGCCCACCCTGAACTCCTGGAGGACACAGACAGACTCTCTGTTCAGTGTTTTTTCCCCCTCTGTCCTCTGTCCTCTTACCTTCAGGCGTGTACAGTTGGTGTGTGAAGGTTGCAGCTCAGACGGTCGAGGTCAGAGGTCGTCAGAAGACAAGTGAGCGCTGCTGTGAAATCTGCTGAGCGACGCAACTCCCGTCTGACCTCTGACTCCGAACATCCGACTCCATAATCAGATTCCTGCTGCGTCCTCCTGCTGTTCCACTCCCACAGTCACTCAGTTTTAAATAGAGAAAACTCCTCTTTACAGACAGTAGCAGCTCTGTTACTCATATTTGTCGTTTTTACCTGTTTTTAAAGGTGACGACCTACAGGACGAACATGAACAGACATTTCTAAACCTCTGCATGAACCCCTCCTCAAACAGGAAATCCACAGGAGCCCTACAGACAGGTTTTTCCCATGCTTTTAACGCTGACTCTAACATCAGTCCTGCAGACGGTGCCTGATGCAAACAGCAGAGCTGCTCAGGACGAGCAGATGGAAGGAGACAGTTGGTCCAGGAGGAGCAGAAGAAGAGGAGCGGGATGTTTAGCCTCTGTCTAGCCTCTGTCGGCTCGGCGGCCCTCGGCTCTTTACTCTCCAACAACGACTCCTTCAGGACCTCGGAGGAGTCAAAACATGTTTCAGCTCCGCTTTATTATTCATGTCTGGAACAAACAGGGCTGACACTGAGAGGAGGAGGAGGAGAGAAACAATACAGGAGGACTGGGAGGCTCCACTGATGAAAATTTGAGGTAACCTTGTTCGGTGATTTAAAGGAGTCCAAACACGTATCAGCGTCTCATTTAAAAAATCTCACTAAATGACGCAAACAGAGTCGAATTTATCATTTTATTTTGCTTCTTAAACCATTAAAATAGAGTTCATAGTTCATCACAGTTGGAGGTCATTTTTACACTCAATTTCTACAATTCCTGCGTTACACGTGTTGGGTTCTGTTCGGTGGCTGGGGTAGCTCAGCGGGTAGAGCATCCTGTTCCCAACTGGGGGGCTAGGGTTCGAATCCATGAGACACATCTGTAAGGATGAACTACATTTACCAGTGTGGGTCTTCAGGCAAGACCCTTTGTTGTTCCAAAGGTCTGTGCTATGGCCTACCTCATTAACAAGAGTGCGTTGACAGCCAAATCAGCTCAGACATCACCCGGGTTAACAAAGTCTGTGTCACATGCTGGGCAACCAGGGTACTGTGATGAGAAATGGGCTACTGGAACAAGAAAGACAGGACAGACTATAGACCTGGTTTAGACAAAATGGTACCAGGTTTCAGACCAGTCTTGAGACGTTTTAGACTCTTACTGGTTTTGGCGGGTCTACCAGTCGAAGCATTGGTGTTGAATCAGTTTAAGACATTTAAGACTGTCCTCAGTCTGGTCTAAACCAGGTGACGATCTGAGGGGGGATTAGACGAAGTTTAATCCAAGGGGAAAAGATCTTAATTAATGCTGGATTAGTTTTAGACAGATGAGACCAGGTTTAGACCCAGTCAGACTTTGTTTACCCGGGATGGACTTGGTAATCCCCGTCATACTGGGTTCAAGTAAGTAAAGGTCAGGTCCACTGATAATTGGACTGGGTTTACTCTGAGTTTAGGTCAGGTTGGATTTAATTTATATAAAAAAAGACCAGGATTAACTAGTATAGACCGGTTTACACTCGATCAGACCAAGTCTTCTGTCAACACTCTAAAAACTCTGAGGTTATTTCTTTAACCCAACTCCTGGGTTATACATGTTGAGTTACATCTCTGGGTTTTTTTTCATTTGGTTCGATTGACTCTACGTGGTTTCTGGGCCTAATGTGTGTTTTGAGTTGTGGGAACTTATTGAGTTAGAAGTACGTAAAAAACACTCGAGGCGACCAGAAAAACTCTCAAAATTAACTACATGCGACTCTGTGACTCTGTAGTCGTGTCCTCTTTTTGGGGATATGGTCACCCTAACTTGTGCGAATGAGGCGAATTTGCGTCAGTGGCTCCAATAACTCATCCATTTCGTGTCATCACGCCGCAGAGTAGTACGGGCGTCTAATTGTGTCTTTGCATTGACTTAACATGTGATTCGTTTACGCAAATGATTTACTCGCGCTTGGTGTGAACGCCACATTATTGGTCAATCAGTCGTTCACCAGCCCGTCTCATTTATCCAATAACACAGTGGCTGACCACTTTTCTGCTCGTAGCTCCTCCCCTTTTATTGTCCCCATGTAGTCGCAGCATCATCAGACCAAGATCAGACACCTTCAGTCTCAGAGTCCATCCACCGTAGACCTGTCGTATCACATTACTGTCATATTTGTTGTTTTTTGTCGTCTTCACTCGTCTTTTCTGGGTTTAAACACAAACAGCTGAGCTCACACATGAAACTCTTTCACCGATTATCCTGGTTTCTTGAACTTTGTGTTAATCAAAAACTAAATTAAAGACCTCCTGAGGGGAATCAGTCACAATCTGGATTAATTAAAACCCAATAATAATTACTGGACTCAAATGTCAACACTGCGGGGTGACAGGGAGGAGGATAATCTCAGTCTCACTGAAAGTCCAAGATAAGACATCCTAAGAGGGCAGAAGGGGAGGCGGATCATAATTCAGGACCGGACTCTTATGGGAACACTTGGACTGAAAATAAGGGAACTAAAACTGTCTTAGTAAAGAAGGTGTGTTTTTATCTTTTACTCATCCTCTCCATCTCCATTTTCCTCATTTTCATCCAGAAACTTTCGTCACTGATAAAGACATAACCAGGTATAACGTTCACCATTGTATCAGCTGAGTTAAAACATTCATTCATCCTGATTCGTTAGATTTCCTTTCAGAATAAAAGCATAAAAGCCCAAAAAGATTACTAAAAACAGCTAAAATCTGCTTTCGTGTTGATCGTTATGCTGATGATATGATGTTATTTACTCACAGCTTCAGCCACAGAGATGTTTGTGACAGTCACATCGCTGCTGTTAGTTTATCGTAAAAGTTAGATGTTTTATTGTCCTTGTAAACGTGTTTGTTTTTTATTGTGGTTTGGTTTCCCTGATGCTGCCTGAAGTTCTCGCTGGATTTCAGGGCTCAGGTGAGGATTCCTCTGACAGTTTGAATCCAGATTTGGAGGTTTAGACAGGACCTGGACTCAGAGCAACGCGTCTGTCTGATTTTCTTCTTGTCAGCGGTTAAGACGATCGCGCAGACAGCCGAGTGAGTGTGTGTGTGTGTGTGTGTGTGTGTGTGTGTGTGCGGCCTGTTTTTGAGGGATTGTGGGTGAGATTTACAGGCAGGTCAGTTTGAAGCTGTTGATTTAATAGGAGACGATGTTCAGAGGAGGCGCTCTGACTCCTGCGGCTGTTGGTTAGAGCAGATCAAAGCTGCCGTTTGTCTGTCGAAATGTTTCTGTCAGGATGAATCTGCTGGAGCTCAAACTCTCACCGTCTGTCTGACACTGTCTGTACGGGAGAAGTGAAGGTTATCAGAATCAACCTATAAGAAGCAGGAGACAGGACTGACCCACGTTATGTTTGGCTCTCTGGGAATCCTAACAGCAGCTTGGTCTGAAGGCTCAACCATCCATTTAATCATCTATAATTATTCTTTAAATTTAGTTTAAATAAAGATGTAACATCTGAGAGTCAGACTCATGACTTTAAACCCTGTAACAGCGATTAATGAGAGCTTCTCCTCCAAGGTTAGGTTGGTTAAAGGCTCCAATAAAACTTGGATGTTGTTTAGGGAAATAAAATACTTTGTGTTCAAATGAGACTTAACTAGCCAAACGATGGATCCTAAATAATGTGTATGATATAATGCAGTGAATAATGCAGAGTGTTAAACATAATCATAGACGTATGAGACATAGATGTGGTCTCAGGGGTGCATCCATTGATTTCAGAAGCTGCGTCCTAATTGGGAGGCTGCGGCCCTCGAGGATCAGATGTGTCACAGCGGCGTGTCAAAGGTTAAAACACTTCTGAGGGTACTCCAAATGCGGCCGACTAATTAGTTGTCCTTTTACGTAAAGGCTACATCAGGTGTCTATCTATCTATCTATCTATCTATCTATCTATCTATCTATCTATCTCGGACTAAAACTACGAGTTTGAGGGCTGTAGGCAGAAACGTAGCTAGAAGGTCGTTCTTTGGTTTCATACCTTTAAGGTTGAGGCTCCTGCTCAAACCGCAGGTGTTGATTAAATCAGAATTTCAACAGGCTTTACATGACGGCCTCTTTCTCTCTGTGCTAACCACACTTTTCTGTTTTCATCTCTTAATTTGTGTCTGTTTGAAAAAGTCCATCAGGAAGTGCGAACCGTCTTCCACACAACACACCTCTGTTCCCTCTGATCGGTTTGATACTGAGTTGTGGGTCTTCATCAATAATTATTCAGCTCTTAAATCTGTTTTGATGTGCGAGACGTCACACTGAAGAGACTCGACTCGGTTCTGACGGTGAATTAACCTGAGCGGAGTGAAACTTAAACTTCTTCAGGCGATTCTTTAAACTTTAAAGATTTCTCATCCTGCAGGCTGAGCTCCTCTCTCTCTCTCTCTCTCTCTCTCTGAATGAAATGAAACCAGGATGAACATCAATTATATAATGAAACACGCTGTAATTGAGGGCGTAGCTCATTATGCCACATTAGTCTGATATAAATAGTGAGCTATTAGCACTAATTTATTAGAAATCTGCCTCTTATTAAAGAACTTGAACCCTCATTATCTGCTGAGGCTCCTCGGTCCCTAAACTGCAGAGAAACAATCTGACAGTCATAATGAGAGAGTTTGTTCCCGACTCAGACTCTACCTGGACTCTCTGAAGTCTGACAGCAACGTTGTGTTCAAGTATTTTCACACAAAAGGCAAATTTCTGTGAGATATTCCCAAGATACCGAGCAGGACAGTGTACGGAAATTTACATATTTATCTCTTTTAATTCCCCTGTTCAACCAAAGGGATGGAAACAAGCTACAGGACGTGTTCAGGGACTGGAAATAAATAACAGTCTCACAGTCTCGCTGTGAGGTTGGCAGAGTCCTACAGGGAGTTTTCCTTTTTGGGGGAAACTTTGTACCTAAACAGAAAAGTCGGAAATAAATGAAAAACAATGATTCATGTGCTGATATAAGAGAATTGATGATTCAGTGATACGAACCACAGCTCTGATGATGTTTTCTCCACTCAAATAGTCATTCTTTGTTGGAAATGCTCCTTAACGATTCAGGTATCAGTTTTTTTCTTGTTTGTGTTTTCTCCACCAGAACAGATGACGTTATTTTAATATCCAGTATCTCCCATTTCCTGTACTTAGAGGTAACTCTGGTGGATACTTCTTCCAGCTTTCTCCATTAGCAGGGGGAAACGTCGTGTTTTCTCTACTAATTGTACACGTTAGAGAGATCTTTTTTTTTTTTTTTTTCCTGTATAGACAAAATGTTATTTCAACATATATTTCACATTTTACTCATTTTTCAAACTTTACAGGGGCGTACACGATGTTCCCGACACTTTGAAGGAACTGTGGTGGACTCTTTATTATGTTTTCTCCACTAAAGGGGAATCTTCCAAAGCTTTCTCCACTAGATGTGCATTATAATTTGGCATCTAACATGTAACCTTCAGTATATTCCACCAAAAGAGAACTATTGAAGTGTTTTTCGCCACATTTTCTCCACTGGCAGTTCCCAGAACAAACCATGTCTCATATTTTCTCCACTGGTGGAGCACCTGAAAAAAACACGAATGAAAACATCCATATCTGGCATTTTAACTTAAATCATACATGAAGATTCAGATGTGTTGTGTCGTAGTAGTATGTAGTTTGTAGTATGTAGTATGTACTGTTTATTATTTCAGCATGTTTTCTCCACTGCAAAATGACCTTTTTAAGAGTCGCACATTATGTCTCCTATTAGAGTTCATTGAGGGAACAGTATTTGGGTAGACACTTACTCATACACTCTAAAAAAGTGGGACTGGACTGAGTTTTTTTTCCTGTGGAGCGTTTTATCGTGTTTTCTCTGTTGGACGTGCTCTATTAAAAATTGTATTTTGTACACATTAGATGGGTCATGATCCAGTTTTCTTCACTCGGAGATCACTCTGAGGATAACGTCCTATTTTCTCCTATTGACCTTAAAGGGTCATGCAGCATATTTCCCCTGACGTTAGCCTGTTTTCTCCATGATTGACCGTTTTTTAGACAATTCATCACACTTCCTCTTCTAGCGGAGCACCTGGAAGACAGTTTCATCATCAATTAGTCTCTAGATTTCCACCTGAAAGGGAAGTCAGTCTAGTTTTCTCTTCTGAAGGGAAACCTTAAAGGTTACTTTATACTATTTTCTCCACTGGAGGCGCACTATTGGGGACAAAGGAGACTTTTAACTGAAGAAGTATCCTTTAGAGATACTTGATGTACGATCAAGAAAACATGAGGTCACATTTTCTCCACTAGAGGTCGAGTCATGAATATTTAACCCCATTACTCCACAGTGGAAATTGTCCTCAAAAGTAATTCAGGGCCAAACTTCTTTTTAAATATCTTTTAATCGTATGCCATCTCTGGTGTTTAAAGGGCTTTATCGTGTACGCGTTCAGCCGCTCCCTCTCTATTTTAACTAAAAGGCGGAGTGAAAGTGTTCCTGAGATGCTAAAGCTAAAGAAGCTAAAGGTGCAGCAGAGTCGACAGTTTGAGAGGCAGCTGTAGGCTTCGTGAACTCCCTGCAGAAAAGAGAGATTTAATGTCAAACTGTAGTTGTTGATGATGTTTCAGGCTGTCCGACATCACACAGCTGTTCCTGTCTGACATCCTCGCTCTGGTTTCTCATTTCTCCTGGGCTTTTTTTTTTCTCCCAGCGGTCCTTTTTGAGCGGGACGGCTCATCTGTCATCAGCTCCACCTGCGTCAGAACAATAATATCCCTGCCAGGTGTGATGGACAGCTGAGGCGAGGCGGTGACAGCAGCGCGGCGTCCGGACACAGATTGGAGGTGGGGACCGACGTCGACATTCCCGTCAGGAGTCTGTTCACAAGGACATTTGAGCCGCCTGGAGACGCCGCGTCCTCCACCTGCAATAAAACACCTCCGCCCTCCGAACGTTTCCTCAAGGCCTCGGTTGTGATTGCAGCGCTCATTCTGTCACGAAAAAACAGTTGAGATTCCACCGCACTGTGATTTATGAGATCGGGTGATTTTCTGGGGGAGGACAGGTGGAAACACGAGTTCTGTTTCTTTTACTTCTCCACAACTTTTGGAGTTTGGTTCGCAAAGAAGATGTCCGAGATTCACTACCCTCTGATTGGTTAGTGCTGTGATATGTGATCAGGTGGTTAAGTAAGTGACGTTGTTGTCATGGCGATGTGGCTGAAAAGTAAAAGTTCCGCTGAAGAAACCCCTCCGTCTCCATCCTGCTGTTTCCCATGAGTAGAGTTATCCATCCGCCTCACATCGAACCCTCACGTTCCTCTTCATTCTGATTGGTCTAAACCTTTACCTGCTCATTTATGCACTCGTACGGTTTCATTTAGGATCACGTGAGAGCTGAACAGCCGGCGTGATTTCATCAGGCGCCGGATGAGTGTTTGCAAACAGATTAGAGATGTCACCGCTGCTTCAGGCTTCACACACAAACCCCCGGACCCTCAAAGCGTCTGTCAGACTTCGTTACTCAAACTGACATTTTTCATGATGTTTATGAGATCGCCGACACACAGGACCTGATCGTTTTCCACGCATACACAAAACCGTGACACAAAATCACCGTTTGACTCCAGAAAACCTCTAAGTGGGGGATGTTCCCGCGGCACGCGAACCCTCAGTGAACGTTTTCAGAATCTCCAACCATCACGGAGATGATTAATATTCACATCAGCTCCATGTCCTTCATTAGAGGGACAGAGCTGATCACACTGATCTTCACCTTGCTGTGTGTGTGACAGTGCAGACAGAGATTGGATGTCTCACTCCGCTGAAGTAATGAGCTCATTCCAGTTGACAGACTCACCTCAGACTCTCTCTGATTTTATAATAAATATTGATCCATCCACCGAGAAATCGCAGACCCCCTCCGTCTGCTCAAAGTTCACCCAAACTTTTCAACAAACGCTGAGATATTCTTTTTTTTTTGATGCAGGCTGATTTCCTGTTGGACTGGATGTGTGTGTGGAGAGACTTTCAATCAGGTATTTAGATGCCGGTTTTCTTCTACCCAC